AAATAAAAAAGGTATAAGGACACTATTACGAAAGAAGGACAAATCGTTAGAAAGGAAAGGCGAACTCATAATAATGTTCAAACGTGTTGGAGTGACTTATTATACATACAGAGCTGACAAAAATCTCGAACGGTTTGATCTCAAACGAACAGTTAATCCGTCGAATAACGGTGATTAGAGAAAGAGACTTCCCTAATCAAGATCATTATCATCCAGCGCTGTTGTACGAAATATAAGTGTTTGACGCCCATTTTTGACGGAGGATCCTAGTACAAGCCAAAGGGCTTACAATTCGGTGCCTATACGGAACGCCGTATTACAGTGACCTGACCTGAATTTGCTCGCTATAGTAAGGATTATACATATCAAAAAAACGTAGAGTTCATCTACGACAAAGACATTGTAATCGGAAGCGATATAAAAATATAGAGATACAATCCACTCCTCAGATATACCAAGGAAACGACTTAAAGAAGTTGACTACCTATTCAATCGAGTACCCGATGATACATTCCGCGCGCTGCTCTTTCCGTCTACCTCTGTCTCAGTGTAGTACTTCTGTGTGTAGCTCTCACTCTCGTTGTGACATGTTTAACAGACTCTCGCTATCATCTACGAAAAGGTATACTTCAGCGTGGCCCGTGGCCATATTTTATTTTCTTATTTTCATTCTTGTATCTAACACAAAAAACGTTAAGTTACGGTAGGTCACCGAGCTTCTAACAGGAATGGCCATGACGCTTTCACTTACAGAATAGAGAGCTGAGCTGGCAACCCCAATAGAATTTTCTGATGTTAAAAAATGCCTTTGTTTTGCAATGGACAGCATCGTACTGAAATCGTCTTAAAACAATCTTAGTGTTTATAAGACAATATTTTATTAACTCATGTTTTAAAAGCGAATTTCAATTAGATTTTATAATAAACATAATCTGAAAACATAGTAAACAACATACATAGATAACACGACGCAGCCTTTTCCCAATTGCAAAACATTTTGTTTGTTACACCACCATATTTTATGTACATATTATGCTTAAAAATTATTTAGTATTTCTCATAATAAACTTACAATTTCATCAGGGGATAAAATACCAAATTGTACTCTTTTTACTTGCCGCAAAGGCGCTTTAGAATCGTTCGTGGACGCCATTTTGGACGACCAATGATTTGAGTGACGAGTCAGTGACCTTATCACTATCACAATAGTCATTAAAACCCATATTATGACGGACATATATCCATTATTAAATTTTTACTATATTTATTTTCTTTCTTTCTCTAAAATACAGAGAAATTAAATAGAAAAGAGTATAAATTTATTTAAGAAATCTTTATATATTGTTATTTATAAATTTAATTCATTTTTATAGATACTAGTAGGTAAGAAGATAGTAGTAAAAGGAACGTAGAAGTCAGTAATTATTTCATATTCTGTACAAGAATAATTATATAAACATTAAATAATAACAAGTGTGCTTTATGAAGTATAAAATATAAATTTGTTAAAACAAAACACTGTGGATAAGTATATATTTTGATTAGGATAATCATGGAGTATCATAGACATGAACAGACTAAAAACCATTAACTTTTTGAATCAATTCGGGTAATCTTTTCATGGGAATTGTGAAATTGGCGATTGAGTTATAAACATTTTTATAATTCTTATTGCACATGTCAAAATGCTGTTTTCAAAAATATGTAATTTTATATTATTTCATATACTAACAAGATAATAAAATAATTTCTTAGCGTAACTCGAGCGAACATTAATATTTTAAATTAAAAAAAATCGGGGATTTACTTTATTTTTGTTTCCCGACTTTTCGAATGCCAAAGGATTCAGTCACGGGAGAGATTACTGAAAATACATATTAAATAATATGTAATATATACATAATAGTACTAAAAGTAATACATAATAATAAAGTGGAGACGCTTATTATTCGTCTATGGTAGAGACTATGTAGAGATTATAGACCATGGAGCATAAAAGTCTATGCTCCATGGTAGAGACTGGTCGAGCCTAAGATTTTTGACGTCGACGTAATTTTTTTTAATGTATAATTCTAATCTGTGTTGCTATAGGTTAACAGTTTGATTTTATTTAATTTGATATTATTTTTGGATACTTACGTATTAACCCCACCGCTGTAGGTTGGCGGCACTTACAACCGGCCAAATCTGATTAATAATATCTGCCACTTCGGTAAAGCGGCCGCTATCTGCGGTGGCGTTAATACGTAATTACCTATTTTTGTTATAAGTAAACTTTTATTATAATTAAAACCAAATTAAATAATATGTATCATATTTTTAAACTGCTAAAGGTTATTTATTAATATAGACAGATAGGCACAATGTTAGTATATGGAGCCTAGAAGAGTGAGTACTATATTCAAATAGGAGAGGTAATGGGGAGCCTAAGTAACTATATAAATATAATTTTGAGGAAATGAAAAAGACAAAATATATGTAGAGTTAAACTTGTAACTTCTATTAATTATACTATTCTATACTTTTAGTTTTATTATATTCTATTATATTCCTAATCCGAATTAAGTGCTTACAAATGATAAACAAATAATGAATGAATCGGATATGTCCTCTTTTCAAGAAAAAAATCACAGTCTTATCAGCTAATATTAAATTGAATTCTTTGTAGTAGTAGTAGTAGTTTTAGTTTTATTAATAGGAAGTCAAAAAATAATTCAAACGCGAAATAGGGAAGAATTTTGCCTTTATCTCCCGCCAGATGTCGTTATGATTATGGCCCTCAGAATATTGGAAAGCTCTATAGCGTGGATAGACTTTTTTCATTTTAAAATTTAAATAGATATCATTTGTTCCCAAAAGACATAAACTGAAGAAATTGTAGGCTTAAGCAATAAGACAAACAAAATTGGCGAAATCACAATCTTTATATTTAAGGCTATGTGGATTTTAAAGGTGATTTTAAAACTCTTAAATCATCTTCAGGTGAATTCATTTTTTTTATTTTTTGTACTTTTTTACATATTAATTACAGAGTTTCATACAAACTTTCATATCCCAATTTATCCCTTTATGGGATTGAATTTCAAATAATAGTAAAACACGTATTTATATTGAAGAGCACTAATGCCAAATTGCAAGTAATTCCGATCATAAATAATTCTTGGCCCATATAAACTTTATTACACCCTTTTATCCCTGTAAGAGATGTATTTCGAACAAAATTAAATTAATATATTTCTTATTTTTTACCTTAAAGCTCAAAACCACTTTCTGTGTATTTTACATTAAGAATGACAAAGTTCCATACAATCTTTAATTCCCTATTTTATACACTTAGGGGATGAATTTTGAAAAATCCTTGTATCTGATGCCTACATCAAATAAGAAATACGTCCTCCTTTCACGCTTCTACGACCAGCGGTTTAGGCTGTGTTGATCCATTAGTCCGTTAGGACAGTATGCACTTCTTCCTTCAGCTGGTCTAATTTTCAGGTACAATACATTGCACAGGTAAGATGTGAACACAATAGAAGCAAAAAAACAGGTATAAAAGGCACATCACAATACATTGCTTAGCCTCAGACTGAATGTGAATAGGCCATACGTGTAGCGCCCTCCTGTCGAGAAATCTTCTCCATTCAAAACCTCTTTTGGTAGCATTTCTTTATTAGTGTGTGGTAGTTTTTATTACTATTTTGATTAGTTCATAAATTTCAATAGATGGCATTATATGTATCAATTCGTTATGAAGTTTTGTAAGCTTATTAAAATTTAAAATTAGATCCCATTAAGGTGTACTATGATTTTCAAAAATTGACTAATTTAAGGAAATTGAAATAATACTTGTCAATCTAATTTAGTTTTATTTATTATTAAAGAATTAGCATTTATATAATGGGTTTATAGTGCAATCACTGATGGCATTTTTACTCTTTATGAATTGCATACGTCTAAAAACTAATAAAATCACTGGAATTTATTTAATTAAAATTTTTAAATACGCGACAAATGCTAGAGGCAGAGTAGTGCAAAAAAATCCACGCAACTAATATCAGATGCGTAGGAAGTTTTTATTTAGCTGAGAAATGAAAACACCATAAGCCGTTTATTGTTTTATTAAATAAGTTACAGTTTCTACAATCAACTATTACAAGGAACTTAATTATATATAAATCTTTTTTCATCAAGTGATATCAAAATCTTTGTATGAAAAAATAAATGCTACTTAGAAAATAATAATATTGACCATTGTGACTAAGAAAAATTTAAAAACTGCCTTTTGAAATGCACGATATTGTACATTGTGTACAGAAATACGTATAAATCGTAATTAAAAATATATTACGATTTTCCTAACCTAATTCGAACATTTCATTCGAATACTTTACAGAAATTATCCACTTAAAATTTTTTTTCCTTTTCTCATTGTTATTTAACTAATAAAATAAATGGCATTTTAAATATTGATTTATTTTAGTTACTTTAAGCAATTATTTTAACACAATGTAATATATCTTCTAAAAGGAAATATCTAGTACGATATAGGTTTATATTACGAATTTGTAATTCGTTTAATTAGGATTTAGTAAATATTAATTTCATATAGACCAAACACTTTATAGTCCTTTTCTTCGACTTATATTGTGAATTTCTACACATGAGACATTTAATGTAATAGACAAATAGTACACAAAGTTTTTTTTTCGTTTATATTGTTTTTGTCCTTACATAAGTTTGTAACTATTGATATTGTAATCTAATTAGATTGAATTAAACTATATTTAAGACTTTATCAGTAAATAAAGCAGTACATCTAAACTACATCTAACACATCTAGTTAATTAATAAAAAAAACTAAACTTTTATCTTAGTTCTAGCTTCAATTTTATTAAAATATTGAAGTGGGCTCCATGAATTAGAAGTAATACTCATAAAAAATTCAACGATAATAGAAAAATAAATGTCATTAATCACAAATTATATACTTTTATTATACTTTAATCGTCCATATCGTCATGAGAGGGGGAAGTCGGTGAATAGTTGGGAGAAGTGGGTGAATATGTGGAGGGTCCGGCAGAAGATGGGGAGTACGCGGGTGATGTAGGCGAATAGTTCGATGACGTAGGGGTGAAGGTCGGTGAAGTCGGTGAATATTTTGTTGAAGATGGCGAGTATCCTGGTGAAGATGGTGAATAATTTGGTGATGGAGAATAATTCGGTGATGAAGGTGAATATTGAGTACTTCCTGGATGTTGTGGCGAAGAAGGTGAATATGCGGTACTCGTTGGAGAGTATTGTGGACTTTTTGGCATATATTGAGGATTCTTTGGTGAATATGTAGGACTACCTCCTGCGAGTGACGGAGATGTAGGTGAATAATTCGGTGAGAGCGAATATTTTGGTGAAGACGGTGAGTAGCTTGGTGAAGTTGGAGAATAGGCGGGAGAATATGAAGGACTCGTAGGAGAATAAGCGGGTGCTGTTGGAGGGTAGTTAGGGGAAGACGGAGAATAACTAAGAGAAGCTGGGCTGTAAGCTGGACTTGTTGGAGAGTAACTTGGAGAAGATGGTGAATAACCCGGAGATGTCGGCGAATAAGCAGCACTTGTTGGTGAATATGACGGGCTCGTAGGTGAATACGACGGGCTTGTTGGTGAATAGCTCGGAGAAGTGGCTGAATAACTTGGTGATGTCGGCGAGTACGCTGGACTTGTTGGTGAATAGCTGGGGGACGTTGGCGAGTAACTAGGAGACGTCGGTGAATACGACGGGGATGTAGGGGAGTAGCCCGGTGAAGTTGGCGAATAGCTGGGCGAAGTAGGTGAATAGATAGGGGAAGTTGGGGAATAATGAGGGGAGGTTGGCGAATATGAAGGGCTGGTTGGGGAGTAATGTGGGGACGTGGGAGTGAGACTCGGGGATGGAGCAGCGTAAACAGGGCTCGTTGGTGAATAAGAAGGTGATGCCCCAGCTGGAGAAGCATATGGCGATAAAGGAGCCCCAGGTGATCCAGGAGACCCGGGTTGTGGTGACCAAGAACTGCTGTATGCTGGTGACAATCCTGATGCATCTGACGCTCCTGATGGTGAGAACGATGGACCACCCGGAGTCATACTGCTACCAACTGGAAATTTAAGTTTTATAATTATTAATGAGTTAATTAGTAGTAATGTAACAATATTTTGTAAAATAATACTAATGCAATAAATTACTTTTATAAATACAAAATATTTATTAATTCTTTATCAGCATAAATATTCATTATATTATAAATGATTTAATTTTACCTTGACCAGGAGACCAAACACTGCTTCCATATCCAGGAGTATTTTGATTAGACCAAGGAGTCATCAGCGGTGTCATTGACGGGGTTCCCACACCGAAATACATTCCGCCGCCAACTCCCATACCAACGCCCAGACCTCCCATTTCCATACCATGTTTACATTTCTCAGCATCAAGTAATAGGTCAAAACAACCTGTAACACAAACATATTCATTAGTAAAATTATATTTAGATTAATATGCTAATATGATTGCAAATTAAACATTTATTTAAAAGTTTACAATTCAGGGAAAAAGAAAGACTGCACCCTTCACTAAGAATTTAATAGGCCATGATTAGTGATACTCTAGCTCACCAAAAATTACAATGCATTTTGCATCACAGAATTTATGATGTTCTAATTCAAATTAATAATCTACAAAAATACAATTTATTACTAAGTAATAAAGTAACACTATAAGTCTTACAATGTTCATTCATGCAAGATAAGTGTAGCTCAGTATATTTTAAGTAATTTTGATCTAAAACTAAAGTGTAGCGGTAAAAGTATACTTAAATATAAATTAATTATGCACTATGTATTATTGGAATAATATTTTATTTATTATTTGTATAGGTGTTGGTACAGTATTACTAAGTAATATAAATATGGAAAACACTACAAATTGAATCTACTATTTCTTGTAGTATTTTCGTTTATGCCATAATAGATCCAAAACCCAAATCCTGTACAAGTTAATTTAGTCTTGTTACTTGCTACATGCTTATACTTCCTTTGATTCTGACATCATAACGCAACATGTGATTTATAAAAGCATAAAATTATTATTATCATACAATCATTAGAACTCATATAATTGAATTAAATCTAAATGATTATATAAAAAATTTAATTTCTCACCTGTTCCCATTCTAGGTAACTGTCCCATAATAATATTTTCAGATACACCTCTCATTGGATCCACTTCAGCATGACTTGCAGCATCAAGTAAAACATCAACGGTTTCCTCAAAAGAACATCTCATAAGAGCTCCAGTGTCTTGCCTGTTGATACCGTGACGAGTGATAGCCATAAGATGACCTTTAGCTGTCATGACGTCACAAAGCAAAGCAAGATGACGATAGTTCACGTACAATCCGTAGAACTGCAATACAGCATTCATTTCCTTTTCCACAGACTTTCGCACAGCTTCAATTCCAAGCACTTGGAATATTTCGCAAATGTCGTTACTGAATGTTCTTATAGGGTCGACATCACGTTCTGAAAGTACTTTCATCAGTGACGTACCGTCAGTTTCCAACAACCATTCTGCGATAGCTTTGAATTCTCCTTGTTCTGTGATTATAATACGTTTCTTTGCTTCAGTCTGGGGCAAGTGCATGTACACCTTTGCAATAGCTTCTATACCTTGTAACGTCATATCAGATAGCATATTAGCTTCAATACATCTCAAGAACATGTCATCTTCCATCTTATCAACTGTTTCCTCGTCGTTATCTTGGAATTTGCTCTCCTCATTGTTCATGATCCTGATACGTAACACAAGTTTCTCTGCGTTGTCGTCGTTGAAGATACAATTAAGATCATCTCCAAATCCAGCATTAATTTTCTCTGCAATTTGCTCCATAGATAATTTCTTATCAGTCATTCTTTTACGGTCTAATTCGATACGTAACAACCACGGTGAAATCTTTGTCGGATCGAAATCAGGCATTTCATAATAAACATTAACAAACTCTTGATCTTCACTAATGACAGTATTCTGCGGGTCAGGGTCGTAGTAAATGGCCGTATTAGCGGTAACTTTACGTAATGTAGTATGTTCCAATCTACACCGTACATTTTTAGCTTTCTCTGCGTCTCTTGCTGCTCCGCCAGTGAGAAATACAGTGAGGGAAGGAGCTTTGGGTTTTTTGGATATGTTAATAATTTCCTTTAGACGGGGCACACCAAGCGTTACGTTTTTGGATGACACACCAGCAAAGTGGAAGGTGTTCAATGTCATCTGAGTAGCAGGTTCTCCAAGGGACTGAGCGGCCAATGCCCCGACCATTTCTCCAGGATTCACTTGTGCTTGTTGGAATCTTGTTTCTATTTCTCCAATCAACCATTCAAAAGCTTCACTAGATAACCTGTAATCTTCGGAAACAAATTTTGTGCACATTGTAGATCTCACCAGACATTGGAATAGTAATGTAGCATTTTCATTAGCTTGTTTGGACAATCGATCTTCACCAGCTACGATCACACACTTCTTTAACAGATCTTTGACGCCCTGTATAACTTTAATCGGACTTAAATCGGTGGGTACTCTCTTGTTAATATGGAAAATCTTCTGAACATTCCAAATCATTCTCTTGAAATTGCAAGGCAGTACAACTTTAGACTCTCCAGTGGGGAAAATTTGTCGCAGTATTTGTCTGTCCCTGCATAATTGTTCCCATTCACTTTCAAGATCGGCTATGACATATCCCGATTCTGTAAGCTCTTTAATAATTTCTTCATTAAATATCCGCTTCAAATATCTTTCGTTTGTGGGATCAAATTTAAACTTCTTCTCAAATGCTTTGTTAGACAGTTTAACCGTGGGTAGATTTTGGAATTCTAGAGTCTCTCCAGCAAGTCCGTCTTCTCCGTATCTTAATTGAATCAATTGTCCGACAGAATTACGAACTGTTCCATCATAATGTACCATAACAGACTCCATAGCTTTGATTAGACGTCTCTGAATGTAACCAGTTTCGGCAGTTTTTACAGCAGTATCGATAAGACCTTCACGGCCACCCATAGCGTGGAAATAGAACTCTGATGGCGTCAATCCGGCGAGATACGAATTTTCGACGAAACCTCTCGATTCAGGACCATAATCGTCTTTAATGAAATGTGGCAGTGTCCTTTTACGAAAACCAAATGGAATACGCTTTCCTTCTACGTTCTGTTGTCCCACGCAAGCAATAACCTGGGAGATATTAATATTGGAACCCTTAGAACCTGCCACCACCATAGCCTTCAAGTTATTATACTCTGTCAACGATTTCTTGGCTGAGCCTCCGGTTTTGTCACGAGCATCGTTCAAAATACGATTTACTTTATTTTCGAAGGTCTGCCTGAGAGTGTTACCAGGAGACGGCTCAAGTTCCATATTATGGGCTTTTTGAATTACCTCTATTACATCATCTTTAGCTTTAACTATGGCACGCTGAATTTCCTGATATGTTTGAGGATCAGCAATGGTGTCACCAATACCAATAGAGTGACCTTCTAATAGAAGCCAATTGTTGATTACCGTCTGAATATTACCATAGAATCGTCCCGCAGTTTCATGTCCTAATTCTAACATGCAAATGTGAAGCAAGGAACCTGCAGAGGCACCCAAAGATTTTTTACATAGAATACCCATAAGTAACTCTCCATGTTCTACAACAACTTTCGTATCTCCAGGTGATATCCATGAATATGGTCCATCGTCTTCCTCATCTGGATGAGTGCTGTGAGTTCGAACCATGTTTACATTACCAGGAATGATCAAAGTAAAAATTTGTTTTCCAGTCCAAAGTGGCTGTGGCTTTAAAATACAGGGTTGTGGAATTTTTCCATCCCAAGTGGGCAAAAACATAAGTAGATTCATAACTTGTTCTTTGGTCAAAAATACATCTCTCTTTGTCATTTTCCTTACAGCTGTCAAAGTATCCTGCACAATACCCATGACTGGTTTGTTAGCTTGTGGAGTTATAATCTGCCTTGGCGTTATGTGAATGTTTTCAACTTCTGCACGAGTTTCCATAGACTGAGGCACATGTAAATTCATTTCATCGCCATCGAAATCGGCGTTATATGGTGAAGTACAACTTAAGTTCATACGGAATGTGGACCAAGGCAATACTTTTACTCTGTGACCCATCATACTCATCTTATGCAAGGTTGGCTGTCGATTGAATATCACCAAGTCATCGTCTCTCAAGTGTCGTTCTACTTTATAGCCATATTGCAAATGTAAGTCTGATGGTTTTGGATGAAATCTCAGATCTATTCTTTCTCCATTGTCTCTAACTATATACTTTGCACCTGGATATTGTGCATTACCACGACGAACCAACTCTTGCATCCTATCTATATTAAATGGCGTTACTAACTCTGGGAATGTTAAATTTTGTGCAATGGACCTAGGCACTCCTACTTGATCGATACGTAAATTGGGATCAGGCGTGATGACAGTTCTAGCAGAAAAGTCAACACGCTTCCCCATAAGATTTCCACGAATTCTTCCTTCTTTGCCTTTTAATCGTGCCTTAATAGCTTTTAATGGTTTTCCAGATTTTTGCATAGCTCTGAAATAGGAAAGTATATTATAATAGTGAAGATGAGATACATTCTATATTATGATTAAAAATTTAAATATTATTCATACATACTTTGGCATACCAGGCATGTCATTGTCCACAAATGTTGCAACATGAAATTGTAGCATCCTAATATTATCTGTTAGAACATGTGCTGCTGCACCTGACTGTTCATTTCGCATTAATTCATTGTTAGCTTTGATTATATCTGCTAACTTGTGAGTTAAATCATCCTGATTTTTTGCAGATCCAAACATGACTACAGCTGGTCTTACAGCTAAGGGTGGAACCGGTAAGACTGTCACTATCATCCAATCTGGCCTCGCAAATTTAGGATCCATTCCCAATATAAATGATTCCTCATCTGAAACAATTATTTGTAGATTTCATTTAAATATTTAATAGAAAATCATTATTTATGTCAGTTCATTTTAAAATAAGTTATTATTGTGACAAATTTTATACTGAAATGGCTGGATAGCTTTGGATAAAATGTAGTACACAAATAGGCTATGAAGTAACACATAGGTTTACTTTTAGCCACCTAGAGACTCGTTCGAGTAAAGTAAGGGTTAGTTGCTAGTACCTATACAAATAGGTTTCATTATAAAAGCTTTTTAAAAAAAAATAAAAACCGACTTCCAGGCACTAAAATGTAAAAAATAACTAAACGGAGGTTTTCATTTAGTATAGACACCTAATCAGATATTTTCGAAGTCGGTGTCAGCCGATGCAAAGCAAATCTAATATATCTCGATACGTAAAATACATATTTACCTATTAGATATTCATATTTTAAAATATTGTAGGCTTTTATTTTTTGTTAAAAAGTTTTCATTTTTCCATTTGTAGTGTAGACGTAATAAGCAGGTAATTTGTTAGAAGAAAGTTTTTTAATAACATATTCGACTAAACAATTTATTTGAAAAAAATATTTATTGTTGATTTTTTAAAAAACCGCTTGACCGATTTCGATAAAACTTATATGGGACCACCTGGGTAGTATACCCTTTGAAACAAAAAAAAAATCCAAATCGGTTCAGGCGTCTTCGAGTAATTGGTAAACATACATAAAAAAAATAAAAAGATTCCGACGAATTGAGAACCACCTTCTTTTCGGAATTGTAAGCCGGTTAAAAATATAAAAAATAATCTTTTGTCTATTTAGTATGCTTTTCAAATGTTTGTGTTTTAATGTAGTCTCATGAATTTAAAAGTAACCTTGATAAATTTGCTTAAAATACATTATGTTTATTTGTATGGCAAATTATTACTTCAAATTTAAGAAAATAAATCAAAACATAATATAGTAAGAATATAGTATAAAACATTTCGTCATATTACACCAGTGACATACCAATCCTATACTTGAGAGCATCCCTAGGTACCTAAAGATGTCTATATGCCTCAATAAATCATAATTTGCCTACATAGGTGTCTTATTTAATGTTTTTATAATTATTACTAAATAAAAATTTATCCAGATATTTCAGCATGAAGGAGTAACAAACAGACACAAACTGTTTTTTTTATTAATAAATATATTCATACTACTCATGCAAAATAATGTACCTGTTATATGTTTTAGAATTTCATACACTCTCTCAGCAGTTATAATTATTTTCTTATCTTGAGTATCTTCATTAGCATGTTTCCATTCTGCAGTTAAATCTAGGCCTTGTCTTCTAATAGATGGTTGGTAATGTCCACAACCTCCATGACCTGAACCCCTTTTGCCTTCCTCTCCTTCTTTACCAATATCCATATCTTCACCACCTTCGCAAATATTTTTTCCTTTACATAAATCATAAACATATGTCAGTCTTTTTCTAGGCTGTCCTTTTGATTTCATTACAACTTCTTTTATCTTTGGATTAGTCTGAAATTAAATACTTGTAAATTAAAAGTACACACAAATAATGAGTCAATAAATATGACACTATAATTTATACTTACGGGACTGACAAGCAGCTTGGAACAATAAAAGCAAACACATCTTAATACTTTTATTGTTTTTGTTATAAACCCAATATGAAAAACAGGCTTTGCCAAGTCTATGTGGCCAAAATGTCCTGGGCATTCTGTCATATTACCAGCACAAGTTTGACATCTGGAACTTCTGTCTATCACCCCTTGTCGGGGGTCCATGAGGCCACCAATCTTAGGCCTTCCACCTTCCATAGTTTCAGGGAAGCGGATTCCTCCATCTGTGACTGACATGCGTCGCTACAAATTAAATAATTTGTTTAAAGAGAGTTACAGTAATTTGTGCTCGATTGAAATACACTCTATTTATCGATAAATTCTCTTAGTGTTTATCAGACATAAAATTTTATTTACAAAATAGAATCTGAAAATATACAACAACACGATGCAATCTTTTCCCATTTGCACAATATTTCGTTTTCACATCAATAACTCTATTTTAGTATATCTCTGTATAAAAATAAATTGAGTATTCTTTTTAATAAACTTACGATTTCATCTGGAGATAAAATACCAAACTGTACTCTTTTTACTTGGCGCAAAGGCGCTTTAGAATCGTTCGTCGTCGCCATTTTAGACGACCAATAACATGGATGACAAATAAAGACCAATAATGAATAACTTCTGTCAGTGACACTTTCTGTTTTCAATCTATAGTCCGTAAAAGTTCTCTATGGTCATTCATATCTTTTTTAAGCTTAACTATAAGTGTTTTAAAGGACCACAATCATACAGCCAAATTTTTGAAATAGTTCTTATGGACAATAGGGAAGTTTTCTCGAAAGGAGGGCATCACACATAGGGCCTATTTATATTAGTCAGCAATTTATTGTCTATGATATCTCATTTATACCGGGTTTTTTTACTTTTATTGTTTTCGCATCTTACCTGTGCAATATATTGTACCTGGGAGTTGGACCAGCTGAAGGAAAAATTAAAAAGATAAAGGTTTTTTTTCTTTTTATTTAAAATTTAATTAACAAATTGTGCAATAGCAAGATGCAAGGAAAATGGATATTATTTGTTCCCAAAAGACAAACTCTGAAGAAATTGTGGGCTAAACCAATATGACCGTTATGGGATTAAATTACGTAAAATCGTATTTATTTAATTGTGTTGAAGAGCATTAATACCACATTTCAAGTAATTCTGATAATAAATAATACTTTGCCCACATAAACTTTATTATCCCATTTTACTCCTTTAAGTGATAAATTTCAAAAAAATATCAAATGAACATGTTTCTTATTTTTATCTTAAAAACAAACACCACTTACTGTGTACTTCACATTACGAATGACAGAGTTTCATACCATCTTTAATCCCGTATTTTACCAACTTAGGCGATGAATTTCGAAAAATCCTTTCTTATCGGATGGCTTCATCATATAAGAAATACGCCCTCCAAATTCCACGTTTCTACGACCAGAGGTTTAGGCTGTGTGTTTATCTCTATCAGTCGGTCAAGACCACCGCAGGATGCTTCTCTCCTTCTCATTTCTTCCTTCAGGTGGTCTCACTTTCAGGAACACTACATTGCACAGGTAAAATACGAACACAATACAAGCAATAAAATAGGTATAAAAGAGATATTACAATAAATTGCTTAACCTCATATTGAATGTAAATAGGTCATACGTGTGGCGCCCTCCTTTCGAGAAATCTTCCCACTGCATGGCATAATGGTAAAGGTAAGGACAACCATCTCCGTGTATGATAAAGTTTCCGTCGAAAAGCAAGAAACAAATAAGGATGGCGCTATAGTATCAACAGAGAACATTTAGAAGAAAGCGCCAAAAGTATTATTAAAAGTTCACAAAAAATAAAACACTCACTACATTTATATCATCACAGTTTTTTAGATTATAATTAGTAAATTATTCAGGACTACGTAAATAATTTGTTTCAATTGTAGTTTTTAGTTTTAGTAAATACTCCAGTTACCCAAAATATTAAATATTTCAACTCAGCACACTTCACTTCATCCGCCGTCTACAACTGCTACATTCATAACATACCCTGCTACTACACTAGCGCTATTCTAGGTTTTTGCTGTTTTACCGCTCTCCCATATAAGATGGTTCTCCTTATCAGTTCTCTCTACCCTCCATAATCTTTATAAAAAAATTATAATACTAAAAAAAATGACTCAAAATTCGATATCTCGAATATGTTCAAATGCGCCAAAAAATCTTTGGATGCCGAAACGATGCTCTATGCCAAATTTCATGACGAAATTCAATTTTCGCTTTTCGGAAGCATAGCCCTTTTTTCTTCTTTTTTTTTAAATACTTAATGAAAATTAAAATTTACGCATACCATGTGCATACAAATAGGATGTTATGTGTGACCATGGACGTACTATCTGGTACTCGCTAGCTAGAGAAGCCAATACCTTCCACTCATACACAATGGTATTTCCTCTGCCATAATGGCACGCCATAGGATCATTATAGCACTCGACCATGACCAATAAACGACGACTGACCTAACGAGGTAGACTAATATGAACAATCAGGGGTTTGCTCCAACGATAGATAGTTGGTGTCACTGATCAGAAAAGCACAAGGAGCAACCCACCGCTTTTAACTTTACCAAATCACCACCGTTTAGATTGCCAATCGTTAGAGATAAAATATCTACAACGTTAAATCAATACTTACGTACTTTTTTACATTATTCATTATAGAGTTTCATGCAAATTTTCATCCCCCACTTTACCCCTTATGCGATTTCGAATTATATTGAAGAGCTATTTATTTCATTATATTGAAGAGCATTAATACCAAGTTTCAAGTAATTCTGATAATAATTATTTTTTTGAGTTGTATTATAACGTGTTTTCCCGTGGGAATTAGATAATCTGCCGCGGTTAAAAGATGCCTATGTCTCTCTCCAGCCCTCCAACTATCTCCACACAAAAAATCACGCCAATCCGTCACTCCGTTTCGAAATAAAATAAAGACAAACAATCAAACACACTTTCACATTTATAATATACTAATAATGGATATAAATTATCAAATCGTAACCTAAAACTCATTACTCATAATCTTTTATTTATTCATTAGAAAGCACACTAACGATACACATGTTAAAATAAATCAATACAATTAAAGTCAACAAAAAAAAGCAGACATCAATTACAAGTGTACATAGCATTCATATATATAATATTAATTCAAATTAATCTTATTTTAAATGTGTTTGTTTTTAATCTATAGACACCTTTATCCTTTTATATTAAAACTTTGTGGAGTTTTACACTTGTCCGGGAAGGTATTGCGGACGTAACGTACGATATGCGACGGGCAAGTTACATGGAATATACTCGTATAATAAAGATTTTTTTTTAAGGGAAAGTCTCGGAAAAAGCCAGTGTTGGTACTTGGTAGGGACATTAGGTTTGATACACTCATAACTTCACGCTATACCTATTTCTTACGGGGTAACCTTCGATTAAATTATCAATAAATAACCCACTAAATTTAATTTATATATTTACTTCATTACTTTTTGCTTTGTGGCTTGGTGCAAATTTTAATATATTTGTGTTTTTGAATGTATGCGTTTTGATGGAAAATAATGTATAAGTTATGTGATTTTGGCCGATAGGAGTTTTTTTTTTAAATATTTAAAAAAGGTGCGGACTGCGGATATTCATTTGTTTTCGCGCGCTTTTGTAGAGATATCGGTACTACCCTGTAGTGACTAGCCACGAATTATTTGAAATACTGAAAATTATGGTTACAAATTATGTAACTCACTGACGATTATAAAAGTACTAAATATAAGAACATAAGCCAGGAATATCTCAAAGTTTTACAATATTCAATCAATTAGTTTTTTAAACTATACAATAGAAAAAGTGTGTCATGTGGGCAATTCACACACGGTAGAAGTGAAACTTAAAAAAAGTAACCTACGAGAGAATGAGACGAATATAGAGTATCAGGAGTATGATAATTATAAGGTTTATTTATTTCATATTATTTTTACCAAGTTTTAAAGGTATTTTATATTTTATTTAACATAAATATACATTACACGTTATTCATCACATACATTACATAGTATTAATTTTATTATTTTTCAATTCCTGTGTAATTATTACTGTGTACTAACTATCACATTCTCTTGCCGGCCTAATCATTTCTCTTTGTCATGGCGCATTCCCGTTTCATTGAGTTTCAAGTCACGATTCTGAAGAAGTTTCACTTCAAAAATCTCATCGAAATCTGATCAACTATTTTTTAACTAAAATAAGTACAACTAGACAGACAGGCAACAAGCTGAAAGCTGATTCTTATATAATTCTACGAATAAACAATTATTTATTCGTAGCATATTATGTTACATACTAAATATTCGAAAAATATAAATTAGAAGAAGTATTACCTGCATGCCTTTAATCCTTTATTTATAAAATTATGTAAAGTATAATAGAAGTATTATTAGTAAGAAGAAGAGGGATAAGGAAGGGGTAAATGCCTTACATGAAAAGAAAATAATGGAAGCCTTTGAAACTATTTTATTGCAAAGTTATGTTAATAAATATACTTTGGCAAAAGAAAATATCTAGCTTTCATAAACATTATACAAATGTGCTTGCCATCCATTTTATTGAGTTATATCGGTGAGTAATGTTTGCTACACTTTACTACTGGAGGCATTATTTATATGAAACTCTAAAAAGTCTTTGAGCAATGTTGTCCGTCTTTTTTCTGCAATATCCATTTGATTTTCTAAATCACCTCTGTCAGTTGTTTCTGCTCTTTCTACCTTCCAAGATAAATTTTCAATTTCTGCTTCTAATTGTGCCTGCAAATAAATTTTTTTTTCAAATATAAAAAAATATTTTTTATTTTGTTAGTTTTATTTAGATTTTTTGTTCCCAATGTTTTGAATGATATTATCAGCAATAGTAGTCACCATATATATACCTATACATAAACTACCATTCATTTAATATACCAAAAATGTATATGAAAATGTATATTTAGGTCAGAAAAAAAGTTGCCACTTTAGCACACTTGAAATAATATTACACTTTCTCCATACTATTTGACATTGGCAAAATAATTTGTGCTCAAATTTAAATGGAATAAAACACAGGTATTAGGCACATGTTTTCTCTCTTTCCAAAGAGTGGTCAATTTCATGACAGTATTGCTCAGTTCATTCTCTTGGTCTATGATGTATTTATGTTAGATGACAACCCAAATAGCTATTAGATTGGTAAGAATTTTAAAAATGCACTAAGACATACAAAACTAGAAGAATAAATAATAAATATTCTTCTCATTGAAAAATGCCAATATTATCAGTCTAATAATTTCTTATAATTCAGCTTATATATGTCACATTTTGTTCTAAACAAACTGGCCATTCAAAAGTTATTTTGCAATTTTTTCTTTATCAATTTGTAAAAAAATTTACAAATTTGGTTGATACAGATTTACAATTTAAAATATTTGAACCTTTATGTGATATACATTAGTTCCCCATTTTATATTATGTACCTATATTGTCATGGTATAAAATAATGAACATAAAATTTACAAAAAACATCACTATTCTATTTCTTTAACCTCACAATAATGAAATGAATTAAATGTATAGTTGCACTAACCTGTTGATATTCAAAAAGCTCTTTTCGAGGGCCTACTTCCATATAATATGCAAAAGGATATGTATACTGTAGAGTGTATCTGCAGCGTTTTAGTAGCCTTGCTGCGTCCCACAGATATTGCCAATCAATCCAAGTACCTTCTCCAGCCATGACCTAAAATTTATTTTTATTTAGACATTGAAATGATTATATTTAGACATTGAATGATTATATGCAATTTTGGAGTTGATTGTTTTTTTTTAATTTACATTTTTATTATTACAACAAATTAGCTATAAGTAGTTTAGTAATTTTTATCTAAACTATACTATATAATATACTATATAATTTTATAAATGTGAATGTGTGTTTGTTTGTTTCTCCATCTTTCAAGTCAAAACAGAGTGACGGAGTGGTGTTATTTTTTGTTTGGATAGTTGGAGGACTGGAGAGTGCCATAGGCTACTTTTTACTGCGGAAGATTATCTCATTCCTACAGGAAAACACATAATACAACCTACAACAACTCATCATGCCTATGTATATGTATAATATACTAGCAAAACCCGCGGCTTGAGTCACACTAAAACTAAAAAAAACTGAAAAGGTAAGTTTCATACAAACTTTCATCCCCTATTTTATCCTCGTAGGGGATGAATTTCGAAAAATTCTAAAACACATATTTATTTACATGTTGAAGAGCATTAATATCAAGTTTCAAGTAATTCTGATCATAAATATTATTTTGGTGTGTATTATAATGTGTTTTCCTATGGGAATGAGATAATTTCTCATGGTAAAATGTAACCTATGTCATTCTCCAGCCTTCCAACTCTCTCCACACACACAATCACGCCAATCCGTCACTCTATTTTGATATGAGAGAAGGACAAACAAAAACACACTTTCACATTTAAATATTAAGTATGGAATTATGAGTCTATCTACTCCATATTAACTATTATTATACTTATTACACATATTAAGTGATAGACATAATTCTTATAAGGAAAGCTATAAGTAAATAATAAAAGTGTCATACTTTCTGATTGATACGGCTTTTGAGACTTGCAAGAGTTTGTTCTTCTAATTTTAATGATCTGGCATGATTTTCCCATCTTTCATAGTAGTGCAAGTATTTCTTGAGAGCTTCTCTTGCCTAGAACATTCCATAATTTAGTATATATCTAATAGAATTAATAAATAGTCTTCCATAACGAGAAAAATTAATCACCTGAGCATGTTGACTATCATTTGCTAAATTAGGGTCTTCTTTATAGCGACTGCATTCATAATATTCAGAACCATGAGTTTTCCAATCACCTAAGCATACCCAACAAAAATCATGTCTGCAAGCACCACACTGCATATGATTGCAACCACCATTCTTTTCAATACAAATTTGACATTTAGGGCAATCCTGTAAATAACAAAAATGAATAATACTATCTTAAAAAATAGCAAAAATGAATTTAAAGATTATTTATAAATAAATTATGTTTTCTATACCCTGCAAGGGTTAATATATCAATAGAGATATGGGTTCACTATTACAATAAAAATTAAAGTATTAATTTGATAAAAATACATACTTTAGTATGAGCACTTATATAATTAGCTGTTTCTGAATCATCAGCACATTTAGTAAGCCAACGACGAATGGTTGTGCAGTCTGTTGGTGCATGATGGGGAGCTCCACATGAAAAACAAGTTAACAATTCACAGCCTTGGCATTCCACCTTTCGTGCGCCTTCTCTTACCCAGGCTTGATAAATCCACTACAACAAAATCACTTCTGATATTACCATGAAAATTTTATAATAGAAATATTCATAATTGTCATAATTAAACTCATATAATAAAATAAGTACTATGTACCTGACAATTTGGTCCTGGACAAAATCGTAGTTGAGGATGGGATTTAACATGATCCTTAAACATAAATTGTTGATAGCGTTCTCTCAAAGCTGGTTTAGTTACATGGGATAAAACAAAATCTTCAGGAGCTCTAACTTCACAATCCTGAGCCATACATTGTATTGCATTTGAGACACCTACAATGTTATACAATTGGGTTAAAATTAAGAAAATGTCAAGTAATTTAATTTAACAATAATACTTTACCTTGCATTATTTGTACTTCAAAATGCATCGCCCAGCAGTCATTGCAAAAATAATGCCCACAAGCTAGTGCACTATATTTCCTCATTGCTGAAGTGCTTGTACATACAGTACATACTGTACGACTTAAATTTCCTTGAATACTTGGCATACGTGGTTTAACACGGCTATAAACTAGAACTTCGTTAGCATTTTCTTTATATTTATTTATAATTTCTTGAGCATTCCATCCATAGGCGTGTAGCATTACCTAACAAATAATATAATTACATTAACTTCTACTTATAAATAAAATAAATATATATCGATAAATGATGAACAAATTTACCTTCGCAAGTGAGGGCGTTATTTGAAGGCTATCGCTCAGTAATTCAATCGATTCATTTAACAATTTTTCTACTTCTTCAACTCTTAAGCACGAATATAAAAAAAACTCAGGATCCGTTTTACTACGATCTATTGTTTCCATATCACAATCATCTTGTCCACCGTAATAATCGTAATCATCTCCATCATTATCCGAATATTCCATATCAGATTCAGCAGACATTTTAATGGCTACCAAGCAATGTGCAAAATCTATATTTGTAGGATGATTTAATCGTCAACGAAGTATGGATAAAGTAATATTGGGTTTACGGCATAACACAAAAATATGCAAGAAACATAAATGCTTAATTTATATATTGTTTGTTTTACAAGCAAGAAGTAAATTCCTTGTACAAAACACAAAATATAGACTAAAAAAAATTTAATACTTTACTGTCATTGTCAAATGTCAAACAATGTGGTTTTAATATTTTTATCATAGACGAGTAATAATTTTTTTGCTATTATTTACCCCGTATGATTATTTGAGCGGAATTTTAAGAAAATATATTTTTGTGTTGCGAATTAATGATCACGCTTATATACCCCGGTTACAAAAAAACCACTGGAGGGATTTTGATGAAATTTGGTATGGTGATAGTTGGTTATCCGGGTCGACACATAGGATACTTTTTACCGCGAGAAAATATCTCTTTTCTAAGAAAATATACAAAAATTGCAATGTAAGAGTATACTAATATGTAAAACCCAAGAATTTGGCTTTTGTTCATCTGAACGCGGGCGAAGAAGCGGGCAATGCTAGTATTTAATATATTTGTCAGACAATAACAATGGTTACCATGGCAACAATTAGTCATAATAGCTATTATTAATTAATTTATGCACATTTATACCTTATTTATAGTAAAAGTTTTTTTTATCAAGTTTAAAAGTTATTTTACATTTTATTTAACATAATATTACTTATTTAAGATATTATTCTATAAAATTTTTCACTTCCAGTGTAATGTACTCTATCTCATTCTCTCGCCGGCTTAATACTATTTACTCGTATATTACTATATGTGTGTTTGTCTTTTTCTCGTGTCGCTTTTCCGTTTCATCGAGTTGCAAATCACAACGATTCTAAAGAAGTTTCACGCCAAAAATAAAAAACATATTCACCTGTAAACGATTTAAAAGTTTTAAAATCACTTTCTTTAAAAAATGATGTCCACATCACAGTCTTAAGTATAAAGATTTTGATTTCATCAAATTTGGTCGTCTTATTGCTTTGGCCCACAATTTCTTCAGTTTTGTCTTTTGGAATCCTGGCGGGAGAAAAGGGCAAAATTCTTCCTTATTAATGGAGCCTTGTCGATAGGTATTTCTTAAACTTATTTATAGATAATACACAAAAATTTAGTACCTATATTTTTTTATATTAAATATTATCTAAACTTATCAAAATTGAGCGTGAATAGGAAAAATGTAACCTATCGGCTGTCAAAACTCAACTCTCAAAACCAAAAGTCTTAAAATAAAGGTCACCTTGATGAAGATCACCTTCTGCGGCATTCAATTAATATAAGTACTGAGTTTATGTTTTAGGACTTGTATAACATTCTTTAGTAAGTTATATTGTTTGTAATTTAATAAAAATAGTTGCTTTTACCAAACTAAAAGTATAAAAATTACTTCATTAGTTATGTCTGTTATTAATACTTGTTAACGTTTGTTGTAGATACTTGGAAACTTAATTTATATAAAAAATGGATGTAGCAAGCACGCAAAGATTTATAGAGCGAGGCTCTCATAAAGGAAAGGGTCTCGCTGTATTTACAAGTGGTGGTGACTCTCAGGGAATGAACGCTGCCGTAAGATCTGTAGTAAGAATGGGTATCTATTTGGGCTGTAAAGTGTACTTTATTCGTGAAGGATATCAGGGTATGGTTGACGGAGGTGACAACATTGAAGAAGCCAATTGGTCATCTGTTAGTTCAATTATCCATAAAGGTGGTACTATCATTGGATCAGCTAGATGTATGGATTTCATGTAAGCATTTGTGCCAAGCATTTATATAAATTTTATTTCTATTATCAATGGAAACTGTGCCAAAGTGAATATTTTCTTTTTTCGTGTTACATGTACTAGAAAAAAAAATCAATGTAATTTGTAATATATATTTCTTGATACTATTAAGCAACGATTCTCTCTAGGAAACGTGAAGGTCGTGTTAAGGCTGCTTATAACTTAGTGACAAGAGGCATTACTAATTTGGTAGTCATTGGTGGTGATGGTTCACTTACTGGGGCCAACTTATTCCGACAGGAGTGGTCAAGTTTATTAGATGAATTATTAGAAAATAATAAAATAACCATGGATCAAAGAGAAAGATATAAATATTTGCACATTGCTGGAATGGTAATGGCTAATCATGTTTTTTTTTGAAAATGATCAATAATGTCACATACCTTTATATATTTAAAACCTGTTTATAACAATAATGCATGTTATTTCTTTTAACAGGTAGCATCTATAGACAATGATTTCTGTGGCACGGACATGACTATAGGTACAGACTCAGCTTTGCATCGCATTATTGAAGCTATTGATGCTATTGTCAGTACTGCATACTCACATCAAAGAACTTTTATTATGGAGGTGATGGGAAGACACTGTGGGTAAGTCTAATGAATAATAATATTTCATCAGTTGCTAATCTAACATATTTATGTCATCTATACAAATAAATAAAATTGAAGTATCTGTTTGTTATGTCAAAATAACAGCTTTTTACTAAATGCATATGAAATTATATATGATAAACACAATTTTTTTAAATTTTGTCTATCTGTTTGAAACACCATCTTGTTAGGTTGTTAAAGAATTATTTCTAATATTTTTTCTATATTAACCAAAATGATTTCTATGTAGAATCATATAAGCCAATTTAATAATGAGTTTCATATGTAAATTATAGTAATAAGTGATAAATGAGTTTGTTGATATAGATATCTTGCTGTGGTCACAGCCTTGTCATCTGAAGCAGATTTTGTCTTTCTCCCAGAGGCACCACCATCAGTGGATTGGAAAGATAAGCTTTGTGATAAGTTAGAACAGGCAAGAGTACTTTCTTTACACATACATAATTATGTTACCCTTACCATCCACGCCTGGAATGATATGCCCCTTTTGATATTTATTTTTGTTTTGTTACATAATTTGGGTATCTCCTTAGTTTTCTTGCAGTATACACGGCACTCTGTACTGATGCTACATATAGTTTTATTTGTGAAGATCCAGCGCCTCTCAATTGGGGAATAAAGTTGTGTGAAAAGATAAAAGAGGCAAGAATCTGTTATTTTGATTTTATGTGGGAGCAGGATCACTTTACTTTCCATGTCATTGTTTGTTAAATTGGCAATCGAATATAATTGGAATTATTACATTTTTTATTATATTGGCAACAATTACTTTTATTTTTTGTATGGTAAATCTATTAAAAACATTCATCTTATTATTATTTCAAATTACAAAATTTGGTGTCATTTGGTCCATCATGGGGTGCTGCTTGTTGCAGTTATCTGGCATTAGTGGCCGCTCTGGCGAGCGAGGCTGATCAAGTTTTCATACCTGAAGACCCTGTTCCCAATAATTGGGTTGAAAAACTTTGCAAACGCTTACAGCAGGTATGCCAGCTTAATTGAGCGGCACTGTACACATATAACACACAATGTTGTATTCTAAATGTAATGTTCTAGTAATAATAGTAATTTATCTTGATTATACGCAATTGCGCATTTAATTCGAGGTGCCTTACTGACTTTTGGCAGCTGAGATAAATTTAAATTTGCAAGTAATTTTAATGATTGCCTACTTCTTTGTGTGTTGTTCGTTAAATCTATTGCTTAAATATAAAAAAAATCTATTACCTGCTATTTCTATAGAGTCCTCTATTAAAACACGTTTTTGCTAAGTTATTTGTGAAATGAATGCAATAATAATCCCCTTTCCATAACATATGCTTGAAAAATTAGGTGCATGATTTATCTGCCACTAAAGCTATACAAAAGTATTAGCTAGTATTGACCGTGGTACTAATCGTGCTGTTAGAATCGACGCTTTAATTTTATTTCATAATACTTCTAATTTGGCTTTTAAAATATTGTTTCATTTATAATTTAAATATAATTTATTTGAATTAAAAAAATACTAATTTTATTATATTTTATTTAACTGACACTTTATCGGGTAGAATGATTTCATTAATAATTATCGACTAAAACTAAGCTATTGTTTGATCTGCCAGATCTCAAGTTGGCAGAAACTCCATAACAGATATCTAGCTTTGGCAGGCCAAAGAATAGAAAAGCATGTTATTGATAATGATTGATGTGTAATTTTAGCCGTAAGTTTTCTTAGACAAACCTGTCCAGATAGTCTAGTAAGTTGTTTATATCTTATTATCTGTATGTATACCAACAATATGAACATTGAAAATCGAATTCGCGATCTTTAACACGTAAAAAAATATAATAACTTAGTATATTACGTTACACTAGGAACGCAAGTCAGGTCAGCGTTTGAACATCATTATCGTCGCGGAGGGCGCTATAGATCGCGAAGGCAAGCCGATAACCGCAGAGCTGGTGAAGAAGGTGGTGGTCGACAATTTGCAACAAGACACACGCATCACCGTTCTCGGACATGTGCAGCGTGGGGGCTCGCCCTCTGCTTTTGACAGGATTTTGGTTAGAATTTCTTATTCTAATCTTTTTTCTAATATATGAAATTCTCGTGTCACAGTGTTTCTAACAAAACTCTTCCTAAACGGCTTTACCGATTCTTATGAAATTTTGTGTGTATATTCAGTAGGTCTTAGAATAGGACGTAAACTATTTTTCATATCCCTAAGTGATAAGGGTTTTCCACCCCAAAAAAAAAAATTTTTTTTTGACAAACATTTTTATTTTAATTTTTTTATGATTCGGCATTAAAATTGAGTACTTACATACAAACTTAAATTTCCACTAGGGATGAACCTGAGCGGGGCGAGGGTGAGTCGCTAGTAACTATATTTTATGTTAAACTGGTACAATAACAAAGTATATAAGGGAATTCCGTTATCTATAACGATCCATAATTTACATAGGTTCTATAAGTATTTAACATTTAGATATAATTTTTGGTTTATTACTTAATAATCATTATACTCGTAGATGAATATAATGAAATTTTAATTTATCATTTATTGATAAATTTCAGGAATTTTCTTATTTACACTGACAAAGTCCGCTAAACTCGATTGCATACAAAGACGATATTTTTCATCACGCTTTACGCAACAACATCGATATATGAAGTCATATCGTGGATTATTTATTTATATGTTTATCTTTTTGTACGTTAAAATATATATTTTATTATTCCACCCTAATAATTTTCTATCTGTTGTATCATGTGTGTATCGCATCACGTACATACCAATAGTACGTGATGGATGTCACCTTCAACACTCTAAGGTCATTTGAAATGAGTTCATTGACCCGCTCGCGAAAATCGTCCCGCGTTAGTATAAATGAGTAGAACTTCTAGGAATTTAAATTACATAATATGTAATATGTATACTTAGTATAAAATTGAATCTAATTTTCTGTTGTTATACCTTTCAATAAGCAATGCTAAGAAATTCGAAATATTTTGATTTTCGGTCACACACATCACTATGATTCCACTTATTAAAAGCAGTTTTTGAGATATTTTTTTTTGTTATAATAATATATATATATATATATATATATATATATATATATATATATATATATATATATGTCTGTGTATCTCACACGAAATAAAATTGTATACATAGACGCAAAATCGGTCATTTAATGTTATAAGATATGTATACCTTGTAGGTATTTCATATTTGATCAAATTGTACTTAGTTTTTTTAGTAGGAACTAGGATGTTCATTTTATTATAACTATATTTATATATGAGTTTTGTTAAATATTTCAGTTCATTTTAAAAGTTATTATAAAAGTTATATGACGATATTTGATGTAGACTTATGGTCTATGATAATAATTGTTCGGTTGGAGTCAAAGTTTTTATTTATTGTAGGTTGAGAATGGAAAAGGTTAATTGTATTCAATTACAATATACTTATATATTTATAATTAACAAATTTTTTTTTCATAACATTTAATTGTATTCTTTTCAACGGAGAAGTTTAAATTACGAAGTTTTTGTCTCTGTCTGTCTCTTTTATTTAGGTAATTTCGAAGTGATATATTTTGTAATAGGGTTGCAGAATGGGAGCTGAAGCAGTAATGGCATTAATGGAAGCTACACCCGAAACTGAATCATGTGTAGTAACCTTAGATGGAAACCAGGCTGTACGGCTGCCTCTAATGGAATGCGTACGTCGTACTAAAGCCGTCTCTCAGGTAACGTAATTTTTTTTATTATCTTCTTTAGAATCATAGATTTTATCTATAGTAAATTCAATTTTAATTCAATTCAAAAAAGCTATGTTTATGTTATGTTTCATCAAGATTGGTTAATGCTTTGGCCGTGAACACTTAACAAAAAATTTAAATTAGATACATAATATACATATGTATTAATTTGTATTAGTGTCAGTAATTCATATAATTTGTTATACTCTAAATTAATTTATTTATATGCAAGAATAAAAGTGGCTTATATAATTCTATAAAAATAAATAGGAAATTTTACATAGTTATTAACATACGTCTATAACTGGCTCCTAAAATATCACTGTGAGAATTAGGTACGTCTCTCCATTATCTTATTTCTGCGCATAAGACAATCCAAATAAACCTACTTTGCTATGCTTATAAGTTATATGTTAATTATACATTTTCATTTTATACAATATTTATAGGCTATGGCCGATAAAAACTGGGATCTCGCGGTGCAACTGCGCGGGCGCAGTTTTGCACGCAACTTGGAAACGTATAAGATGTTGACACGACTCAAGCCCCCTAAGGAAGCTTTCGACGAATCTGGCAAACCTGCGGTATGTTCATCTGTACATGCAAATTAAATATATATCAGTTTTTATAGTTGTAATTTATGAAAAAGACACCTATTATAAACATTTTGGTTTTCTTATTAGTTAATTTTAAGCTAATTTTATGTGACAGTGATGTCGAAATATTCTGCAATGAATTATGTTTTTAGGTTATTTTACAGTATTTTCTATACCCGAAGGGATCGTTTTACCTTAAACTTTAAAGGGGTATGTTTTCTGCAGTGGTGTATTTTAACATTTGGTACCCTGTGCGTACTGGATAGGGGGTAGTTATTAGTCATTTATATATTAGCGGTACTCGAACCCGCGACCGTCGACTCGGCCAGTACGGTGACCACGCCGCCCGCCGCAGGAGGGGCTGACGCTGGCGGTGCTGCACGTGGGCGCGCCGGCCTGCGGCATGAACGCCGCCGTGCGCTCCTTCGTGCGCAACTGCATCTACCGCGGCGACACCGTGCTGGGCGTGCACGACGGCGTGGAGGGCTTCATCGCGGGCAACATCGTCAAGATGGACTGGTATGGAATTATTTTTCTGCTTACGGTGTTCATATTGATGTACACTAACGACTCGCCCTCGTTTAGCTTCGGGTTCGTCCTGAGACAGAAACGAGTCTATTCCACGGGAACCGTACATTTTTCCGGGATAAAAAGTATTCTATGTCCCATTCTAGACTACAGTATATGTCTGTGCTATGTTTCATCCAGAAAATAACAGTATATGAGATCAGGACAATTTACACATATCTTGAATATAAATTATTAATATTAGATAAATAACAATTTTGATAATAATTGTTAATAATAAATGTAATATAATTATGAATATAATTGCTAAGCAAAGATCAAAATAAAACGCGACAAAATCCGAAAAAAAAACAAATTTATTTAATATTATACATATAACCTAATATATAAAATTCTCGTGTTCCAGTGTTTGACCGATTCTTATGAAATTTTGTGTATATATTCAGTAGGTCTGAGAATACACGTAAACTATTTTACACATACCATTAAGTGATAAGGGTAGTCCACCCCAAAATAATTTTTTTTATTGGACAAAAATTTTTAAGTTAATATTTTTAAATTTTAAAAAATACATACAAACCTAAATTTTTACTAGGGACGAACAGGAGCAGAGCGAGTGTGAGTCGTTATTTATAATATAAAATTATGATTATAAATCTCAGGTCCGACGTGACGGGGTGGGTGGGCCAGGGCGGCGCCTTCCTCGGCACCAAGCGCACTCTCCCCGGCGACAAGAAGGGCGAGATCGCGGCTCGCATCAAGCAATTTAACATACAAGGACTACTTATCATCGGCGGGTTCGAGGTCATTTTGATTTTTTAAAACACCATTCGTTTTTTATTGACTTCAAAAAGTTAAAAATGAGGAGGTATGCACTTTGGATAGACATTATTTTTGTGTCTATGGTACATGTTATAACGACGGAATATCTTCGCCATTTACGAAACGCTTTTCACCAAGGTGTCTTTCGCGTTAATTTAAATTAGGACTACAAAATTAATAAGTAAAAATCTAATACAATCTACAAAATTCATTTAATCGTTTGAAAAAATTATGTTTGTGGTCAGAACGAAAGTGTTACCGAAAAATGTCCAGTGGTCCAGAACCACTTATCTGAATGCTTTTTTTTTAATTTTTACCCCCTACATTATATGTTAGAGGGGAACATTTACTCGAATATTAAATTCTTATCCATGGTCACCTTACACCTTTATGTTACACCTCACCTATGAATGAGAGACACCCTAATCTTTATATATATCGTAATTTGATATTATTTTAAACTTTACTAGTCTCTGATTAAATAGCTGTGAAATGGGAACATGAAATTATAAAGATTCCCTTTGGCCGTAGCTAATACGGCAAACACATTCTACAATGAATAACAAAATGGTTACATTTTCCAGGCATACCAAGCGGGTTTGGAGATATACGAGTCCCGCAAGCAGTTCCCGGAGTTCTGCATCCCGCTGGTGGTGATCCCCTCCACCATCAGCAACAACGTGCCCGGCACCGACTTCTCGCTCGGCGCCGACACCGCGCTCAACGAGATCACCGAGATATGCGACCGCATCCGGCAATCTGCGCAGGTACGGCGGCGCGGCTCCATAGTGTGTGTGTGTATGGCTTTTGGTGCCATTTCGTCAATTGATCGTTGATCGGTCGATCAATCGGTCGATGAGTCGGTCGACCGATCGGTCGAACAATCTTTCGAATGCGTCTGATTGTGAATGAGTATGATTTTGACTCGTGCATCGAGGGTTCGGTGCCGCTGAATATTGTGTTGTATACGTATTACAGAAATATATTTTTTTACGTTTTCGCAATGCATATTTTATTATTTGCAAAAATAAGTTCGCGGTGCGTTTCATATTATTTCTTAAATATATTATGAAGAACAAATTTAATTTTAGTGATCGTAACTTAAAATATCCATCTGTATATGAAAACATATTTTACGAATATACTGTAAAATTTTCCGTTTTAAGTATTTAGCAAGCCCTTCTTACCTCTATTTTTTGCACATTTCATACTTAATCTTTTCAAAGTTAGAAGAAGACACAATGATACGACTCGCATACAATGTTTAGGACTTAAGAATCATGTAACTATAACATACTGATCATGTGACCAGCCGAGTACAACAACATGACAACATAATTATTTTCCTTTGAATTTGAGATAATATCTGTTCTGTATTCTGTATAGTAAGTGTGCACTTTCGGATAACTTGAGTTGTTCTGTTTAAATAAATTTCTTACGGGGATTTCAATGAGCGGGAGTTTAAACGCAGCGTAAGCCGTTTTACCACCTTCTAAAAGTGTAGTAGCATTTCAAGACGAGGGCACAGCCCACAGCTAATACCAACCCCCGATTACTTAATTTAGCCAAAAGCATTTTTTTATTTTTGAAAAAACCTGTATCGTTAAAGCGTCAATATCATTAATGCAGATCTTTAAGTCAACTCGACCATGATAATATTTTTACCTTCTCAGGGGACGAATTTCAAATAATCTGATTGATAACACGTATTGCTTATTTTTTGTCTTGAATACTTAATTTTAACGATAAAAATGACGGATTTTCTTACCAACTTTACTATCCGTTTTTACCCCCTTACGGGATGAATTACAAAAATGTTATAACACGTGTTTATGTAATTCGATTAAAGATCATTAACACCAAGTTGATCAGTCAAGGTAGTTATTACAAATAGCGTTATATTTTATAACCCAATATATTTTATGTTTGTTACTATTTTAAGTTTAGTTATTAAAATGGTGATATTTGATGACCTACCCTTTTAAAAATGATAATACATACTTTTATATAGTGCTTAGAATTATTTTTTAATGTGTTTGTGTAAAGTCTTTTCAGATTACATTATACCAGTACTTATATACATAGATTATAATTTATAACGCTTATTGATTACAAATAGACTGCAATTATAAAATGGATTATTTTGTCACTTCAGGGGACGAAGCGCCGTGTGTTTGTCGTGGAAACTATGGGTGGTTATTGTGGATACCTTGCCACATTAGCAGGTAATACATATTTTTTAAAAAGTATTAATATGACGGAAATGCTTAATACAAATTATGTTATATTCCTATTGGCAGTAAAAGAGCAGATATAGTTAGTTTTTAAATTAAACTATTTTTTCGGATTTTTTCGCGGATTTATTTGGATTTTTGGTTTCCAAACTAAAGGGAATCTAAAATCCAAATAAAATCGCGAAAAAATACGAAAAGATCGTTTTATTTAAGATATCAAATATTCGCGTAAATCTAAGGAAGTATTATAGTTAGTTTATTGAAATCTATAGATACTTTCCATGCCGGTACAAGGTTGAGATGAGAGTAACATCGTCCTGACAAACGAAGTCACAATAAACATTTACTTAGAAGTCGAATCCTCTACCTGTGGTATAATTAAATATATTATGCAATATTTAATTCAAAATTGTTTCATGTTTTGCTGAAGTGTTACAAGATATTGGAAGTTAATTAAAATTATTTAGATTTAATAAATAAATATATTTGCAACAATATTCTAATTAGGTATGCCAAAATCAATAAATGATACTATATCCCAGAGATATCTTTACTGAGATAATTTACGTTAATTAATTCATGAAACAATATTATTTGAACTTTATTTCATAGGTTTGGCTGGCGGAGCCGACGCTGCGTACATCTACGAAGAGAAGTTCTCTATTAAAGACTTACAACAAGACGTATACCACATGGCGTCCAAAATGACCGGCGGCATCCAGCGCGGTCTCATCCTACGCAATGAGAAAGCCAATGAGAACTATAACACAGATTTTATCTACCGCCTTTACTCTGAAGAGGGCAAAGGTCTCTTTACCGCTAGAATGAATGTACTTGGTTAGTAAAATACTTAAAATTCTTTATAAATATATACATAAATATCAAACACGTAATGGAAATAGCATTACATACTTTAAATATTTATTTTAATGAATCACGCTCTCCTTATTTTCTTATTATTTGTTTCTCGTCTATTCGAGTAACTAGACTAGACTGAACCAAAACTCTGTGGTATTACTTTTTAAAATAAAAATATATATTCATACTCTCATATACACAATTGTGCCTTGTTTTAATAATGAAATGAAATCACTAGGTCACATGCAACAAGGCGGTTCGCCGACGCCATTCGACCGTAACATGGGGACTAAAATGGCCGCCAAATGCTTGCACTGGCTCGTAGACTCCATCCACAAAGGCTCGGCGAATGGACCAGATTCGGCCTGCCTACTTGGTATCGTCAAGAGACAGTATAAGTTTAGTCCACTTGAAGAATTGAAATCTCAAACAAACTTTGCGTAAGCTTTTTTTATATTACGACTTCCTTTATATAAAGATTATTCATTTATAATACTAGCTACTTACTCTCGTTTCGCTCGAGTGCGTTCTAAGTACGTCCCAGTAGCCTATTTGTTACAGTCAATAAGTCCAGCCCTTCCAGCGAGATCATTCCCACTTAACAAATATACATACAGACATACAAATTTTCATACATCTATGGAAAGCACAATAGAGTCAAATGTTATTGATTCTTATTTACCCCAGAATGGGACAAAATAAGAATTATAGTACGCGCCACGAAAGATGAGACTTGACAAACCACGTGGTTTAACTTGCGCATCAGACGATTTATAGGTCTCTTTAGCGGTACGGAGTCTGAGGCGAGAAGGGAGCGGGCGTCATCGGGCGTCGAACGCAGCGCGGGAGTCGCCGGCCGCCCCGCTTGACTCCGCAGTACTGACGAGTGCAACTTGTGTTTATAAATTTCTACTTTGTTTATAGTTGTGTTGTATACTCGTATAATTTTGTTAAATTTTGATTATGCCTCGAGGTAAAACATTAAGAAGACAAAGTAGGAAGATGGTTTACGAAGTGTACAGTTATATGTTAAAAGAAGCAAAGGAAGGTGAACACAATTTGAAGCAGGTACAAATGCGTACCATGCGTATCGTTTCGTAATAAATATTGTTAATAATTTTAATATAACATTACTATACACCTTATTCCGAATGATATCGAATGATCTCTAAATATATATAGAAATAAATTATGGATAACTATTTCGTACACGACTGTACCTGCGCAGGATCCCCACTACTGACGCTCGTCAAGTCTCATCTTTCGTGGCGCGTATTATAATACATTATCATTTAATTTATTGTTTAAATTATAATCTTCTATACCTATAACTAAGAATTTTTTCAGGCAAAGAACAGCCAAACAGCAGTGGTGGATGAAGCTTCGTCCACTTTTGCGTATTTTGGCCAAACATGACTCTACATATGAAGAAGAGGGCATGTACATGACTGTAGAACAAGGAGAGATAGACTCTGAAAATGTTATTTAAATATTTATTCAACTAATATCTCAACCAGGCTATAATAGATGAGAAAAGTATGAATCAAGTTATTAAAGACAAAGTACTTTTTTTATTTAAGATTAATATCTTCGATATACATAATATTTAATATACATATTTTTTATTCGTTTTATTTTATATATATTTTACATTGGTGTCTTCTGTTACACACGCATCTGTTATAATGCCGAGGCTGCCTCCTTTGTAATAGGTTATAGTCTAGTCCTGATGTACCTACTGATGTTATGAAATACGACAGCTTAATGTTGCCATATTATGTTTCTTTACAATTTAATTGAAATTAAAAGCAATTAGTTAGAATATGTTCTATTAGTAGAATAATAAAAATATAAAGTATTAAAAAAATACAAAAGTAAGCTGATTATGTGCTTCTTAGCATATATGTAAAAATAAATAAGAGATTTATTTATTGCTAAAGTAGTTTAATATTTAGATACTATTTGAAAGATGATAATGAACGTAAGTTGTACTTCAGGGATAAAAAACAATGGACTATGATACAACAGTATATGCTCTATTTCAATGGGGCTGCACAGTGTACATCCTTTATAAGGTTAATAAATTGTTTTATTACGATTTGAAAATTGTTTAATTGCGATTTTTCGTATACATAAAATTATACTTTTAAATATTATAGTTTAGGTACTCTACAGTTTACATTGAAATTATGAGTGATTATTGTAATTGGATTGTTTTTGATATTTTTAAACGTGACTAGTTTAAAAAATTGTGATTAGATTTTAGTATTCAATCTAAATGACAGCGACAGTATTTAACAACGTCTTAGTTATAGAAAATTATAATAAATCAAAAACAAAAATTTAACAAATATTTAAATGTATCCTTAATATTGTATTATTGTTTTCAATAAAAAAGTTCGATCAAACTGTTGTTTTATAATTGCCTTAATTTCTACTTATAGAATTATTTCTTGCAAGTATATATTCTTGTTACTGATTGATGATTGTTACTGATGAGATTGATGAATGATCCTTTGAAAAATTTGTTTTTGAAAACTATATGAAATTTATATCTTAAATATTTTCAATTATGTTTGCTCTATAGTTTAATTAAAACTAATCTAAATCTATACATATGATATAATAAAATCTTAATTAAGCCGAATCTGTACAATTAATATTTTTTGGAAAAACTTATTGAAATAGACATCGATACAGACGCCAAACCTATGGTTTTTAGATTTTTTGTTTTTGACCGCGTCACAGAAAAACCACTAGAGGGATTTGATAAAATTTGGCATGATAATAGATCCGGGACAACATATAGGATACTTTTTACTGCTAGAAAATATCTCACCTCTGAGAAATCTATACTAAACATTAAAAAGTAACTCTCAAACGGAGCGAGGGAGTCGCTAGTATAATTTAAAGTCTTCATTATACGCGCTCTAATTTATGTAGGGAGCATATTTATTTTATTATGGATTACGAAGTTAATCCAGAACAAATATAAAATAGGTATATGATTTCGTTTGTTTTTCAATCGGGCTCTAAAATCTCAGTTAATCCAATCCATAGACAATGTCCTATCATCCGGTAAAATGCAATACGGTATTCAGAAAATTGAGATATTTAATATAATCAAAATACTAATGAATTTGAACTTTTTTAAACTTGTTAGATTACGAGATATCGTATACAGAAGTACTGATAATAAAATAATTTGGATAGTTTTTGACTTTCCAAGTGCCAACACAACTATCAACAAACAAGGACTCAGTTTTTCGAGATGTTGACGTTTGACCGCGTAGCAAGTGAAAGTGTCACGTCAGTCGAATTACTGTCAGATCTGTGAGACGTCTCTCTATATTTATTGGCTGCTTTTTATTTAAAGTTCTGGTAATTTAATAAAATAATATATAACGGTTAAAAAAGAGTGAACAACAAATTTTAAGTTACTAAAATTCAATAGTATCGTGATTTTCAGTTTTAGGTTAAAACCGGGAAGATGGGTGTTAAACCTGCAATTGGAAGAAAAACTAACAAGAACCCCCCATTCTTTAGTCATGAATTTGTCATTCAGAACCATGCTGATATTGTTTCGTGTGTGGTGATGGTCTTCTTGGTCGGACTTATGGTACAGGTATGTGATAAGTGAATGCCACGTAGTGCGAAAATTCTTGTTTTTTGACGCTACCTGTTCAGGTTTAAAATTGAATATATTGATAACAAGATTTAATATTGCAGGCGACAAGTCCTATTGCAAGTTTATTTATCAGCCTGCACCATAATGTAACTGGAGTAGAACCAACGCGCGAGTCACCGAAAGGCGAACCATTCTTATACGAAGCTGGTTGGAAAGATGCTTGTGCAGTTTTCTTTTATTCTCTTGTATGCATTGTTATGCATGCAATACTTCAAGAGTACTTTTTAGATGTGAGTTTCATTTATAGATTTATATTTTCAACTTTGAACTTTTTGTTCATTTAAATTATAAAATGAGCTTATAGAATATGTTGTAAAAGTATGTTTCTTTTTAGAAAATATCAAAGAAATTTCACCTCTCAAAGTCAAGATTAAGTGCTCTAAATGAATCTGGCCAGCTGGTAGTATTCCAACTTGTAACTTTGCTATGGGGAGGAGATGCTATTCTTCGTGAAGGATTTATTTTCAATATTTCTCAGTTATGGGATGGTAAGCTTAATTACATCTCAAATAAATTGACCACTTTCACTTTGTAGGCACCATATGCTTAAATTATTTTACATATTTTTAATATTGTTAATTAGCTTAGTCATTCCTGCTTATGAATTAATTACATAATTAATTAAATATGTTTATGATACATATGTAATAATAGTACACATAAATACAACATAAATTTTATTTTAGGCTATCCAAACCACCCAATGAGTTTCTTATTAAAGTTATGGTGGGTAGTCCAAGCTTCTTACTGGATACATACTATCCCAGAGCTGTACTTCCAGCGAATCAAGAAGGATGAGTGGTCAGGACGCATAAGACATGCTGCTGCTGCCTTTGCATTTGTAGCCTTAGCCTATGGTTTCAAGTAAGTGTAATTGATACTTAAAATACTATTTTTGATCAATTTGAAAACGGATTTAATAGTTACATGGAAGTAACATTTTATTTAATAAATAAATAAATATTTAAATAAATAATAATAAATATGTTGGGACATTATCACACAGTTCCATCTAGTTTCATTGTAAGCTACAAGACTTGTGTTATGGATACCAGATAGTTAATACACTATTGACTATACAAATATAACTTTAAATACATATATATTATAAACATAAACATCCATGACTGGAGTGCAAACATTCATGCTCATCACACATGGATGCCACCAGAGGGACTCGAACCCGCGACCACATAGCAAGTAGCAAGTAGGGTCATTACAAACTGAGCTAAATGTGTTGTCAAATTGTGTAAAAAAAATTTCTTAATTAATGGATATCAAATTAAGATAAAACTTTTATTAATATAAAATTTAGGTTTATTTATCAGTCTGAATGACTTATTTGTTAAGTAATTGTTAATTTCAATTAACCTTTTAATAGAAAATATGAATATGTTTTTGTTAATAGATTCCAAAGGGTTGGAGTTTGTTTGGTTGTCCTGCACTCGTTGGCTGAATTTGTGGCCCACTGCTACCGCCTCAATACCATTCTTCGAGGAGAAAGGGAAGACTATTTGGACAAATGTAAGTTGCTTTCTTTTTGTGCTTAATCACAAAAAATATATAAACATACATATTAATTAAATGCGAAAGTTTTTAAGTTAGTGTTTATTACTTCTGCATTCTGTAACGGCTCAACAGATTAGATTGTAATTTGGAATAGAGATATAGGATATATACTAATTCAAATCATAAATAGGCATTTTCACTACTACACGGGCAGCGGACAATAACTAGTAGTGGCTGTAGTGATATCCGGCAAGCTGTAAGGCTGGATGGACAGATATCCTAGGCCGGATAATCAGGTTTTTGTCACGTTGCATGTTCAGTATTCAGGATTCTAGTGTCATTTTGAGAATTTTAAGTATTAGCGATAGTTAATTGTTTATTTGCTCAATCACTTTGCGACTCTTTGTTGGTGGTTGTCTTATTTGAAGCACTACCCTCATTTAGCAAAATATGACAATCACAAATAATTGTTTTCTTGTAGTTTAAAAAAAAAGTATCGTATTTTTTAAATATCCCGTATCTGACCGGATAACACTATAGAGCCAAATGCCGGATAATTGCCGGATTTCCGTTTCATTTAGAAACTAGTAATAAAAATATTTGATTCCCAGTCCTGGGTCTGCTAAATGGGTCGGTGTTCGTGGCCGTGCGCCTGTGCTCGCTGGTGCTGGGCGTGCTCACCTTCTACTTCGGCGTGGCGGACGCGGCGCCGCTGCTGCTGCGGATGGCCGCCCTCGCCGTACTAGTCTTCTTCCAGGTAACCATCGATAGAGTTCTCTAAATTGCATTGACCCCTTGATGGCTGCAGGGACACTTGTCCCAAGAAAATCTTATAATCTTATAAAAATGTTCAATTATTGAAATCATAATTTATAAGTATATAAATAAAATCCTCTAAGTTAAATCGGATTAGTATTAGAAATACGAAAGTTTAGATTTGCGAAACTCTTAAACATTTGTTTGAGAAAATCTCAATAATTATTATTGCCCTATTCGAACCCCAGACCTCAGGATATACAGCTGAATGTTGTTTATATAAAAGGCATCAACCATAACTTTACGTTAGTTATGTTCTTGGTGAAAGGATTTTTTTATAAAATCACACTAATATGATAATTACATAAGTTCATTAGTTTTTTTGCTAATTATTATTATAATTCTTCTAATTTATGTGATGCAAGTATATTAATATTTTGCTCTTTATGGACGATAAATATGAAATATTATATTTTAGACAAATATTATCTTGCCATGGTTACCTGGAATTGTTTGTTTAAAACTTTTTCTATTTGAACAGGTTTACTTGATGTTTAACTTCATTAACGAAGCTATTAAGCAGCGTCAAGAGGCTCGCCAGCTCGCGCAGGCCAAGCCTAAGAAGGAAAAGAAAGAGAAGCCTAAGAAAGAAAAAGGTATATAAATATTATTTTAAATACGAACAGAAAATGAAAAACTTTTAAATATTATTAAAATTTTCTTTACTACAGCATGCTTGTTTAATACAGCGTTATGTACAACGTATTAGTAACTGTATTAATTAATAATATGCTTAGTGTGTTATCAGTGATAGCGTAATTAATGTTTGTATCGAAATTTAAGTTTTTATTAACGTTTATAAAAAAATAATTATATCGTTTTAACCTCTTTCATTTTTTGTACAATTCCTCTTATAATAATATTAAATTAATGTTATAATAAAATTTACAGTAAAGAAAGTATACAATGAGGACTCCGACCTCCCAGAAGTAGATCAGAACACGAACAAGACTCTCCGACAACGGCAAGCAGCCAAGACTAAGTAAACGCACATGTTGACTTCAACACCCTTCAATGTTAGATGTAACTGTACCTTCTGTTACTTTCTTCCTTAAATGTCGATGCACAAAAGGAAATGTATGTTTAGACATCGCATTATATCCAGTCTTAGTCACGGTTTATAAGAAAACTTACTATTAGAATGCTAAAATCTGATCAGACTATTTTTATGAAATAAAATGTATAATACGATGTCTGATATGAACATTTAAATTCTTTATAATTTTAAATAGATAAAAATAAATGGAAATTTTAGTTTGAGATTGTTATTGATGTTTTATACGTATGTGTGAGTTGATGGCGGAGGAGGCGGTTGTTCCACCCAGCGTATAGCAGCGTATGCAGAAGCGCACTATTGTCATTACGTATAGTGGATACAGGGTTGTAAAAATATCTCTTTAAAGTATAAAAACTTAAAGTATAGGTTAAAATGTTGTTTATATGAATATATTGATAAGAATTTTACAGTACTGTGTTCGTACACGAATAAAAATTCCATGTAATTTTGTGCATTTCGATCGCCGTGAAGTGAATTCCAAGTTTTTTTTTAAATTTATATTTTATTTTTATAGACTATACTTCTATTTGACCATATCTATTTTTGTATGACAATAGACATTTTCTATTGCACGTCAAATGATATTTCGGTGCTTTTCATCTCTCTTATACTTACGATCTTACTATACAATATTTATATACACGTAGTCAACGATTCAGGACCTAATTATAATATTAAAATATATAATACATATGCAGCGATTCCGCGATGAACTTTTAATGAACTGTGAGTGAGGCCATGATTGTTGTTATACTCGTATCGGAATTAGACATTAATATAATTATTCTTCCTAAAATGAATTGTGCTCATAAATTATTATATAATTTTCATGAGGATTGTCAATTTTAAAAGCTTGATGTTATTTTTATTTCTGAATAAATTTTTTTAAAACTTATTGGTCTTTATTTTCTTATCTTCAACATAGCATTATGTATAATGTAACATAATAGTAATGATAATTATTTATTTATTATAAAGGCTTACTAACTAAATTTACATAAAATATGTATTTAACATTATACTGTTACCTATTTGTATATAAATTTAATTTAAAAGTATGCACAGCTTTTTATAGAAGTATTCCATTAAGATTTTATGTGGTTACCAGTATATAAGGAGCCATTTCAGTTGTACAATAAACAAGAGAAGAAAAAAAAAATCTAATCTAAATATTTAAATACACTTTCTTTTTAAATAAATTTAAACTATCAGTTTAATTATCATTAAAAAAAATTATATTATGCGTGTTGATATAGCATAAAGTATATTTAGGTCCCTATTGAATTTATAATAAAAAATAAATAATGATAAAAATAATTTAATATTGTAACGAATCTGTTGTTTTCTGAAATAGTCGCTTGGATATGATTTTATGGGAAACTTTGAGTAGTAGTTATATTATTTAGCCAGGTAAGGTTTTCCCTCTTATGTTCTCTTTTCATGGTGGAATCCTTTTAAATCTTTTGAATTTGCTATCTCTAAGGATAAGGTACAATGAATAATTACTTGACTAAATAAATAATTTTGCGAGTTTATATCAAAATCGGTGTAGGAAGCCGCGCTTACTCATTTAAACTTGGCCAGATCCTAGAACTTTAAAGTTTAGAAGGTGCAAAAAATATTTTTATTTTTGTATGAAAATAAAAGTTTAATAAATAGTATATTCCCAAAAGGTTTTCAGTAAATTAAAAATGACCCTGTATTTATATATATATCGGTCCCGTACCGGTCGCGTCGAATAGTCGTCCCACCGGAGTATGAGATTGACAGGAATACACTTGTGCACTATAATATCTCCTGCGCAGTTGGCTAGTCTCAATGAGATTGGCCGCCATGGCCGAAATCGGTCAGGAGGAGAACATCATCGTTAGATTTGTCTCATTAGAATAAGTGTTCTTAGATAGGTGACATAAAAAATAAATAAATATGGGGGCTGCTAGATTCCATAATGTGAAAAAGAAACAAATGAAAATCGACGAACTATGTCAAGTGGGGTATCGTTGAATAGTTTAAAATCGGTTTTAGGTTTCTTTCGTCATATTTCATTTTAAATAACAGTTTATTTAGGATATAGGTATAATGATTTAAAGTTGGTTAACAACCATTCTCGCTCCTTTTCCTACTTAAAGAGCTGTAAATAAATATATTATAAAACTAAAAAACCCGACTGCATAAAAGCTAACTAAAAAGATGAAAACAAGTTGACGATGGAATATATAGTATTATGCAGTCGGAGACATACATACGAGTATACATAGGTACATCTCGCGGCAAAGATGATCTAACGATATCTTACCTAATTAAAAAAATATTGAATAGTTTAGAAGATATGAGGGAATAAAGAATATTACAAATAAATATACAAAGATACGACGCGAAAAACATAACCCTTTCCTTGCAGTCGGGTAAAAAAGGCAAAGGAAATGAATAATTAAAATTAAGGTGTCGGTCGTCTTATCGGCTATGGCCCCAAGATGCAAGTGGGCGCTCCGTCACGTACTGGTCGCTTAATGTGGCTCTCGATAGTGGAGCTGCTCTCGCGGCCCCGGCGGTGTCTATTGTTGCGTATATCGGAGCGCAACCTACTTGTTATGGACGCTACTGATGACGCCATATAGATGGCTCAGTTAAATTGTTGCCATGAATATGCCAAGCAATAAATCACTATTTATTAGTATAATTGCAAAATGTGTATGTGTGTGTATGTTTGTTACTCCTTTATGCTGAAACGGATGAACAACTTTGGATGAAATTTAGTATACAGATAAATAGCTGATAGACCTTTTTTTAACGTTGGGATATGCATTTAGGCACGAGATGACTCATCGGTAAAGCCAGTACTACCCACTAAAACTCAACGGAACCTCCCCCGTCTTAATGAGGCGTCGCAGGATCGCTTACGCACTCAACCAGGATCTGCCGAAGCAGACCATAACGGCTATGGGGTTGCTCCAACGGACCACTCTGCTATCACAGAAGTACCAGGCGCAACCCACATGGCACACTACCCACCAAGGTGGGCAACATAGAGTATATTGCTACATATATAAAGTGGACCACCTCCCTGTGCGTTTCTTGGTTTACGTAGGTAGAAGGTACTATATGAAAAACTCAAAATAATTATTAAATACATAATTATATACTATAATTTAAGTAGACGGTTATAAGAGTCTGGTAGAGTCGGCATAAGCCGACGAAATTGTGGAAATATACATTTCTATTTATTTAATTACTTGTCCTCACGTTCCTGAATCACTCTTATAGAACACACTTATTATAATCCATGCAAGCCACGCAACATCGCTCTTCTTTGATGCAATAGTAAGTAAACACAACTTGGCTTTTATAATATTAATATCTAGGGATTTTTAAGCCATAATACGTGATAATTCTTTTAAAAAAATATCAATCAATACGAGTATAAACTGTTAGTCTTACTAGGTTTAGAATTAGACAAATGGGAACGACATAGCAGTTATGTGATGTACAAGTAGATACGTACGTATTTCTTGTATGTGTTTTTTCATAAGCATTAAGCTAATAGATCGTACTTCACATGTTCATATGTTAGTCTCCATTGTCCTAGTAGGTAAATTGTTATTATTAATAATAAAATTTTATAGCAAATTATAAAATTAATAGGTAAATAAATAGCATGTACCTACATACTTGTTTGTTAGAATTATCTGAGTTATTGGAGGTTTTCCAATTAGTAATGTTTTCTTAAGGATACAATTGGCCATGAAATAAAATGTTTAGCCAATATGTGGCAGATACTACATTACGTTACTTTTTAGGATCCAAAAGGCTAAAACGAAGTCCTTATAGTTTTGTCATGTCCATATGTCATAGCAATTTTACTCGAAGGGGACGCACTGCACCAAGCTGATGCTGAACGGTGAAAAAAAAATAAACCCACATACTTGTGTGGTATCTCTGGGTCTTTAAAATTCAGGTCGATGTTTATAAGTGACTTTTTTGTTCAAGACAATAAGTAGTTGCAGATTTACGAGTATATCGTCGTAAACATTTTCTATTTCATTACGGGATCCTCGAGATGCGAGTCAGACTCGCATTTGTCGGATTCTTTTCATATTATTATGTTAATAAAAAGTTACAAAATATTATCTAAATAGTAATTATTTATAATTTAATCATAATATCTAATAGTATTTACCTATCTTCAATAATAACAGTAAAAGGCTGAAAAAGTTGCAACATTTGTATATGCAGGCCATAAATAATTCGATAAAAACTACCTTTAATTATATTTATAAGCTACCTTTTATTAACGTAAACAGCCAACAGCGATTCTCAAATGATAAATGATAATTCAATTAAACTTCAGTAATTAACACAACTGAGTTAAGAGACGTTGGCTGAGAAAAAAGGTAGGTAATGGATTTCCTTAAATTTGAAAAATTGAAGATTATGTATATTATATAATTGTTAATGAGTTCTCTATCTTCTAAATCTAAAGTACTTATTACAAAAAAAGTCGAGAAAAATCTTGGGTAAAAATTTGTTTTGAGTTCTGGATATGTTTTTGGAAGCTCTGTAAAACATTTATGGGTTCCTTGTCTATGAAAAATTTCATAGGAAATGAGATTTGAATATATAATTTCAAATATGTCTATCTTTCTAGTCAAACTCTTTTAACTAATTTACTATTACGATTAGTATAGTATTATGTCATCTGTGCTATAATGCTACTCTTTTTTTACATTTAGTAATTTTTAACTTAAATTCACTAAATATTTCTCTTATCATGTATGAAATCAATAATATTGAGTAAATACTTAATAAAAAGAAATTATAAAAATAAACAACTGCTTAAAAGCTAACTAAAAGATGAAAACAAGTTTCTGAACCCAAGTTAGAAGTTTCTGTCTCAGAAATTCTGACAATGAAGACAAATCTAACGAATTATGAATCATCAAAATTAGCCTACGCTTGGTCTCTAGAATGCCACATAGGAACAAATAAACAAACATACACACATACACTGATAAACACATTATACTCCTTTGCATCGCGCAGTCGGGGAATAAAGAAAAATTGCTATTATATTTGTTTACTCCAATAAGTTCTGTAATAACTAGTTAATATCACGTCTGTTATTGAAGTGGGTCATTGAAGTGGATCATCGAATGAGTGATCGTAAAATTGATCTAGTTAATTGACAACCTGATATAATAATACATCTTATATTTTATTTTGTATATGTAGCTCATTACCAACTTGGACCGTTATACGACTTTATCGTTGATGTCTAAGACGTAGTGTGCTTCGTACAAGACGTCTGGCGAGCCGGCAAAGGTATAAAGTATATAAGTGGTTGGAATGGACGCAGAAGCCAGTTTAATCCCAGCATCTGTGGAGGTACAACGTCGACATGCAACGCGCTACTTTGCTCGTACTCGCGGCCATCGTGGCCATGGCTCTGGCAGGTTAGTGCCCTCCTGTTTTTGCTATCACTCACGCTGACTCGACGGTTGTTTCCCCTTTTTATTCGTTGTTTGTATGAGTAATATCCTATTTAATTTTGTTAACGCTATTAAATTTCGTTTTCTCATTTCCTTTTTGAGTATCTTTATTGTTTACTCCTTATCACGATTTTGCCAAAAGGTTCCTGTGCTTAGGCATATACATATGTATATATATTGTATATGCACCTAGTATATTATGATGTATTCGTAGTACTTTAAATAAAACGTCCTTCTACATAGTTCTTACTTAAAAGCTTCTATAATTTTTAAGCTCTACGATAAAGCTCTCTTAGAATTATATTTTGCATTCTTAAATAAATCTTTAAAAAATTACACGTACCGACCTATAATTTCGAAAAGAAATGTAATAATATTGGCTATTATTACTATTTGCCTTTTTTCATATAAACTTCTTTATAAAAGATTAACTAATTTACTTTATGTTACACTTAAAATCTTCTATTTGATGGTGGAATATAATCGTGATAATTTGATGTTAAGATTTGATCGGGATCAAGCTGGTATAATCATTGTTATTATTTTTCTTTGGGTGCTTGGGGTGTAATTGAAGACAAATTAGCGTTTTTAGAATATTTGTCGTTTATTGGGATACCATTTCAGCATGAAAGATTTTTTTCAAGTAGGGAATGAAAAGCTCAAGCTCTCTCATATACCTACATATTATATGAGATATATCTACATATATGTAATATAATAAATATAAGTCTGAGAAGGTCGCAAAGATTCAGTTATGCATATAGATATGTACAATCTATGTATCAAATGTACACACAAGAGCCTCCATTATAACAACTAAGGTCAGATTTCTTTAATAGAGCTTTTGAGGAAACTTCAAATAAATTAAAATTTTTATAACCATTAGGTATAGTTTAGTGATCACGGGTGAAGTCATACAACGAGGTCGTAATTTAAAAGATCACGAATTATTAGATATTTATTGGTAGTGATGTTTAGATGATCTCAACAGGAGTGACTAATATGCATCTTTAAAAGAAGCTTTAATTTTTTTTTGTGTACAGAAACATTTAACGTTTTCAATTATTGTAATAAATGAAAAATAAGTGATCATTTGTTTCCATTTACCAACAAAATACTCGTTAGGCACTTATTGAATCTCTGCCTGTCCTTGTCTTATATAATGTAATAAGTTGGTGTTAAAGATATTGTCCATAAATTGGGATATGTAGGGACATTAACACCCAGCACCATCTAGCTCCATAGTAAGCTACGAGGCTTGTGTTATGGATACCAGAACAGTTGATACACGACATATATATATACTGAATTTAGAAAATTGAAAAAAAAACTATTTTTCTCCCCATTTCACGAGGCAGCTGGACATCGGGGGCACTTTACGAATTTCTATTTGTGCGAATGTTTTAAAATTGTTAAACTATAGGTTCCGGATTCCGATCGGACTATACCTACTATACAAATAATTGTTATCCTAAAACATTTCAGAGGGTCAATACTACGTGCCTCGCTCGTACTATGTGATAGACGCGGAAGGTCATGCGTCAGCTCCAGTGCCGCTCCGGAGGCTTCGCCGTTCTGTAGGCCCGTACCCGTACGTGCCCTCCGGAAGGTCTACAAACGCTCAAGCCATCGCTGTCGGTCGTTAGTATATGTTTCATATACTTAAACTTTATATTTTCATAGGTACTAAAAAAGTAATTTATGTAATGTATGTTTTTAACGTGTACATATTTATGTCGATATACATATGTACAGATCAAAAACTTATACCCTCTTTGGGCTTCGCCGCCATAAGTTAAAATGAGCAGGCTTGTGACATTGATCTTTAAAAATATTGATATTAATTGATACATAACTTATAACTATTAATGTAGATATTGAATCACATTCTTGGGCATTTCTTAATATTTATGTGTCACGCAAGTTTCTATAATATATGCTTATCACTAGCATTGCCCGCGGCTCCGCCCGCGTTCAGATGACCAAACAAATTAAATTCTTAGGTTTTACATATTAGTATACTCTTACAATGCAGTTTTTGTACTTTTTCTCAGAAATGAGATGTTTTCCCACGCTAAAAAGCATCCTATATGTTGACCCGCATATCCAGCTATCATCATACCAAATTTCATCAAAATCCCTCCAGTGGTTTTTCTGTGATGCGGTAACAGAGAGATAGACAGATAGACAGATAGACAAAAATTCTAAAAACTATAGATTCGGCCTCTGTATCGATAATAATGTCTATTTCAATAAGATTTTCCAAAAAATATTTAAAGTACAGATTTGGCCTGGTTACAATTTTATTATATGAACAAGAAACGCACCCTCTTTGGAGGGCAGTGTACCATGCGGGTTGCTCCTGGTACTTCTCTGATAGCAGAGTACTGTGTCGTCGTAGTTGAATGCGTAAGCGATCCTGCAACGCCTCATTAAGACGGGGGAAGGTTTTGTTGGGTTTTAGTGGGTAGTAATGGCTTTGCCGGTGAGTCCCACACCTCGTGCGTAAATGCATTTCCCAACGTTAAAAAAAAAAAGGTATCAGTTGTTATAAATGTTCCATTGGTACGATTTCTAAAAGTAGAGTTAGTATAAAAATATTGTACAGAGCACCCCGCGCTTTTTTCACAATAACATAAATTTTCTCGTTAATCACTTCATTTTTGTACTAAAAAATATTTTTTACTTTTTAGTTCGGTTTTTTAAACTATAATTTATTATTAAAAAGTAAATGTTAAGTTATTAATTTTTAATAATTATATAGAAATATAATTTATACATACATGCATAGTTCATTAAAATAGAATAATCCGATAGTTACTTTACAAATAAGTTTGCTCAAACTCTAACTCAAAGGCCAAAAACCTTTATATGTATGCACATTGTTTGCAGTCCACTACTGACTACAAGCAATGTAAGTAAGTACGTGAGTGTCTTAAGTTATTCCTTCCTGTTAGGTGTTAATAAGTTTCAAGAATGCTATTTTAGAGTGCGGTTTCTAGACAGGTATAGTTTATTAGGTTAGTCCAAATATACATGCAAAAAACTTCATTCCATGTATATATAATTTAATAATTTTATATAAATATATTTAGGGCTTATTTTGTATACATCCTTTTAATCCGCTTATTTGTTTTTATGAAAAATTATCAAAGTTTAAATACAAGCAAATTTACAACTATATATCTACCTATGTATAAAAGATATAAATGAAATATGAATCTAATACAAGAGCCGAAAACCTGTAGCACATGGTTTATTTGGTGTAGTTGTTAAATATTAACAAGCGTGCTGCGTGTATTATTTCCTAAAACTAAATAAACGTAACGAATCGTTAATATCATCGTTTGATGCACACCTAGCTAGATATTTTTATTTTTACTGACGCTACTAATATGTATAGTAATAATAATTAAATCGTGCGCGTATATATTAGTATTTTACTAATTTAACTGTATTTTGATAATGATAATTTACGTTTTTTTTTAAATAAACAAGATGTCATTGCACACAAAATTTCAAGTATAAGTTAATTTACATGTAACTTTATTAATTACAGGAAATGAATAAGCGAAAAGTCTCATTCGCGTGCCGGAAATAGTTTTGTATTCATTGCCTATTTCCTTTGAAAAAAAAAAACAGAAAAATAGTCGAGCTCTTTGGACAAACTCAAAGTATTTTCATTAGCAAACAAACAAGGCTCGAATGGTTCGTAAAAGTAATTATGTATGCAACTTCTTACTTGAAACTTGGTGTGACCGCTTTAAAGTAGGTATGTAGGTACAGTGCACTACATGGCGCTCTAACTACATACATACCTACTGCCATGGGAAATATTTTGAATCTCAGATCTCAATTAAAATTTAAATAAATAACTTAGTTACGTACTTTTACAAATGATAACGTTTTTTTTAGTAACGACTACCCAAATAAATAATCTTAATGATCTTAACGTTTTTGTTACAATGTGTGACAATTGCCATATTATTTTGTTAAAAAAAATAAAGTAGGTAGGTATTAGTTACCATAAACTTAAATAATGTAAAAAAAAAATCGCAGATATTTGATTACAGTCGTCTAAAGAACTGGGCTAATAAGCTAGTTGCATTTCCACTGTACTATACAATATTCTTAAACGGAGCAACAGTAACAGTAGAAATATACGTGGAAGGTAAGTTCAATTGCCGCCGGCGCCGTTTCCGTTCGTCTAACGGTTCGTAAACACCGGTCACCGGCTATTTCATGTACCAGGCATGAAAGTGATCTGTTCTAATTTATTTTTGTATGTAATAACACTTATAAAATACCTTAGTTAATTTATCACTGCAAGTACAATTAGTCGTCGAATAAAACACATATTAATTATAGGCATCCGCAGCAAAAGGCAAAAATAATTAGGTTATGTCCGTCTATCCGTATATCACAGCAATTTTACTATATACTTGTATGTACTTAACTGAAATGTGAGCTAAATGTTTGTCAATGACTTTTTTATTTCATGCAAAAGCTGACCAGTTAGAGGCACTCCTTTGTGTCCCAATAACTCAAAAAATTTTGAAAAAATTGTTTTGAAGATGGGATACTTTGAGTAATCATTTGTTAAGCAAGTAATATATTAACTTTAGAGTTAACTCGCAAAAACATTTGATATCGGTAAATAAGAAGAATTCGTTGTTACTTGAGATAGCGTGACAAGAATAAAATTAATAAGTACCACAAATAAATATAAATTGACCGAGAGCTTTCTATTCAAATAGATATTTTAAGGAGCAAAGTGCAAGTAGCAATAATTACATTTAAAATAAATATTAATCTTATACTATTATTCCGTTTCGAAGTACCTATGTAATTCTAAGCGATAGTTACATGAAAAAATGAGTATGAAAATGCATTCTAATAATAAAAACTAAAAGGGCAGATTGACTTCCAAATCGTTACACACTAATAATAAAAAGTTACACACTAATAATAATAATGATTAATGTCCCTGAATATGTGCACCTCAGGCCAATAATTTTTTATTGGTCTGAGATGTGCACAGAGATATCAGAGTACGCAAGTAGGTAGGTACGCGCCGAAACACAAGCGCACTCTCTATTACTTTTACTTTCTTTCTGCTCTCCGATGCACGGGACGGGGGTAAAACACCGCCAACTTCCCAATTCGGAGCTGTTACTGAAGATTTCTTACGATACTTAAGATACTTCAGAAACTTTATTAACTTACGAAAATCTCAATAACTTAACCCAACCAAGATCAGTCCGATTGACTCGAACCGGCAGACTGTTAAGAAACATGCAACTGAATAGAGTAACTCATATTTTCCAAGAGTGATTGTTAAAATGTATCAGAATAATTTAAATCTTAAAAACATATTTCATATTACATGTTATTACACCTTGTCTTCTTAATTATATACCTAACTATTGCGTACAGTGTAGTGCCATATTTACATAGTTCAAGAATATAATAGGTAGGTGTGTAAATTATTAAATTAAATAGTAAATACATTAATCTATATTATTTTAATTTAATAAATAAATAATACATTATATCATTATCATTAGTATTTTACACTACTGCAATATATAAAATTTATTTTGAGTTTAGTTGTCAGTTTTTCATTATCACATCTATACATATAATAAAATTGTAACTAAGCCGAATCTGTACATTAAATATTTTCTGGAAAATATTATTGAAATAGACATTATTACCGATACAGAGGCCGAATCTATAGTTTTCAGAATTTATGTCTGTCTGTCTGTTACCGCATGACAGAAAAACCACTGGAGGGATTTTAATGAACTTTGGTATGGTGATAGCTGGTTATCCGGATCAATAGGATACTTTTTACCGCAGAAAAATATTTCATTTCTAAGAAAAAATACAAAAACTGCAATGTAAGAGTATACTAATATGTAAAACCTAAGTATTTGGTTTTTGGTCATCTGAACGCGGGCGGAGCCGCGGGCATCGCTTGTCTTAAATATAACAATATTGTAATGTCTTAAAAATAACTTAGCGAAATCTGCACATTGAATATTTTTTAAAAACAATAACTGTAATGTATTTTGTACAGAACGTAAAAAATATTTGTTTGTTTGTGTGTGTGTGTGTGTGTGTGTGTGTGTGTGTGTGTGTGTGTGTGTGTGTGTGTGTGTGTGTGTGTGTGTGTGTGTGTGTAGTACTGAATTTTAACTAAATTTTGTGTAGTGATAGCTTATTACCTGGATCATATATAATATATAATATATAATAATAAAAATATAATCCATTCCAATATTATAAATGTGAGAGTATGTTTGTTTGCCCTTTCACGTAGAAACAGATGGAGGATGGAGGATTCGCGTGATTTTTTGTGTGGATGTGTTTATTATAATATAATCCCATTAAATAATGAATATTATAAATGCGCAAGTTTGGATGGATGTTTGTTACTCCATCACACCAGAACGGCTGAACGGATTTGCATGAAATTTGGCACAGAGATAGATTATTATAGATAGAAAGTCTGGTCTGGATTACTGCCTCGATGGTGTAGTGGCTAGCAAGTACGGCTGCACATCGAGAGGTCATGGGATCGAGTTCCGCGTCGTGCCAAGTTTAGTTATTGAATCTTTCTATTTAGTAACAACTCGGAGTTGAGAAGTTGGCGGTGTTTCATCCCCGTGCCTCGGAGAGCGCGTAAAACCGTCAGTCCTGTGCCTTAACTCTCACCGGTCGTGTCGAGCAGTCGTCCCACCGAGTATGAGTGGCAGGAATAGAGAGTGCACGTTGTATCTACGCGTACACTTGTGCACTAAAATATCTCCTGCGCAGAGGCTAGTCTTAATGAGACTGGTCGACGTGGCCGTAGTCGGTCGGGAGGTCATTATTGTGATTATTAGTCTGGAATAGGGCATAGGATACTTTTTATCCTGAAAAAATGTACGGTTTCCGTAGGATAGATTGGTTTTTTACAAAGGAAGTGATCAACTATCTATTTCGTTAAGACGTACCTAAGGACGAACTCGAACGAAGCGAGGTGTGTTGCTAGTACTAAATAACCTACAAGATAACAAAGATTTTTTTGTATTGATAATTGAATTTTTATTTGTAAACACTATTATATCAGACTTTTATATTTCAGCTAATTCTAGTGCTACCGCTACGGCTACCAATAACGCAGCTCCGTCACTACTAACGAAAAGCGATATTGGCGAAGGTGGGTGGGATGTTCCTCGCTATACTTACGGGTCGGCAAACCCTAAAGCTCTAAGGTATTTATTGTTTTTATATTTTTCATATCACCACAACTTTTTTCGTGTTAATTTAAATAAAGGAAGCTCTGTTCGCAGACATCATGCCATATGAAATAAATCTAATTACAAAACAATTTATACTAAGAAATCCATACAAACGTAAAACCATTTTTCAGGTGAATTGCTGCTTTAGTCGAGGAAAGCAAATATTCATCTTATTATTAAAATGGGTATAATCATGTTAATTCAAATATAAAAATTCATCATGTAGCAAGCGCTTAATTATTATCTTATAAAAGGCTCACATTCCTTCGTTTTTGCTTTTATTTTAAAAATTACCATGATGATATTTTATACATTTGCTAAAATATCATCATGGTCAGTTCCGCAATTAGGAGTAGAAGTGAAATAAACAAACATATTTCAATTTAAACCTCCACATCCTCTTTCTTCACAACTTTATTAAACAAAGTTTAAGCGCGTCAAAGTTTAAGATTTTATGAGAAATGGATTTCGTATCTAAATGTAAAATAATTATAAATGCTTGAAAATATCTATCTCGCAAATATTTATAAGTTTTTCTTTTATGTTCCATAGGCACTAATTGATAGTTCTCTAAGGAACTAATTAACTCCATGGTGTCGGCTCATCTACTAGAACGCATTTTCCACCAGTTGCAAGCGTGCGCCGCCTTGCGCCTGCGCATCGCCGTGCAACTGCCGGAAGACATATTTATTATAATTAATATTTTATGCTAAATACTAATAAACATCTTTTATTTGTTACATAGTGTTACTCATTTTTTGCACCCTGTAATAAGAATAATAATAATTCTACAAAGCTACTTGTACATAAAAATCTCATCAAGCCATTACAACATTTTTGCTTTATTATCAAACTAGCGGCTAACCCTCGCTTCACTCGGGTTCGTCCCTAGATAGGTTTCAACGGTTAATATGGAATAGATAGACTACATAATATTGCTCCGCTCAAGGCTAGGAAACTGGTTAATTTTCCGAACTGGTTAATCTATAAATACTTACCTAAGAAGTTAATATTAAGGTTTCGTGCCTAATAAACCGGTATAACAAAGGTTACGTTCAAAATAAACTCTTTTTACGGTTAGGGCTATTTAACCGCTATGAACCGGTTACTAACCCGTCATTGGTTATGTCAATTTTACTTCCGTTCTCGGTGACGCCGATCCTATGCACTGGGATGTTTAGCCGACGATTTTTTCAATTATCTTTACATACATTTACTTGGTTCATTGTTAAAAATTGTATTATTTGATAATAAAAGAAAATATTTTATCGATCATAGTATATAGAGATCATAAACAAAAACAGTTATCATGTTTACACAGGAATTACGTTTGCAGCAGTCAGGAGGTCGAAAAAAAACCGAATAATTAATAATTATTTATTAATTTTACATTAATACAATAATTATCTATCTTAAAACTAACGACGTCTTTACTCGAAGTATGAATAAAGAGTGATTGGAAAAGTATTACAATTAATAAAATTACTAAATTAAAACAATGCGGCATTACAAAACTAATTCGAGGAACTCTGCGGTGGTCGCCTGGGAAACGTACATTTATTTGATATGTCAGCATATTCGTGGGATTAGGGTTCCGTAACTCAGGTCGTAAAATTTTGTTTTTAAAAATATGGATATGAGAAGTCATTTTTGAAGTAAGAAGCATATATACAAGCTTCTGGTTAGAAATAAATAAATATGTATGTCAGCATTTTTGAAAATCTAGCCCCTGAGGATGAAATCGGGATGAAAGTTTATACGATGAGTTCGTCATTTTTGAAGTAAGAAGAACGGAAGGAACGACGCTTCTGTTTATCTAGGGAGGGACGAACCCGAATACAGCGAAGGTGTGTCCGTTGATAAAATTTTACAAATATTATAATATAATAAAACGGAATATTCTATTTATACATACTCGTATAATCTATACATATAATAAAACAGTAACTTAGCGAAATCCATGTGCGGGTTTCACGCAAGAAGTACTGAACCGATTTTAACTAAATTTTGTGTGATAACTTTATTATTCGGGTGAACATTTAGGATACATTTTACTACAGGAAAATCTTTCATTCCCACGGGAAAACACAATAACTGGTTCCATCGAGTCATCCTTAGAAATTTACATGTCTAACTAAGCTTTAAGAGATACATTAAAATAATATTCTAGCAAATTGTAGGTTTTAATAAGGCCTGCAGAAAAATCTGCAATAGCATAAGTCTTTCACCTAAGGTACACTCGCAATAACTATTCATATTTATTTAAAACATACCTATGGACGCACCCGAGCGAAGCGAGTGTAAATTACTAGCAGTACTAGTATAGTATTATATGATCTGTGCTTGTAGTAAAATACATTAACGCGTAGCTCTCCTAGTGGAAAAAAATGTTTTTTCCAAGAAGAGTACGAAAATGAACACAAGTTTCAACACAAACTTAGGCTATATAATAAATAGATGCCGACTGATACACATATTACGATAAATGTTTCTTGTCTGTTTCTGTTTTTACCCGACTGCAAGGGTAATGTTTTTCGCGTCTATCTTTGTATGTTTGTAATATTCTTTATTCCCTCATATCTTCCGAACCACTCGATGGATTTCTTTAATTAAGGTATCATTAAATATGGGGGCTGCTAGATTCTATAATGTGAAAAAGAAAAAAATGAAAATCGACGAACTATGTCAAGTGGGGTATCTTAGAATAGATATTTAAAAATCATTTTTAGGTTTCTTTGATCATTTTTCATTTTAAATAACAGTTTAGGATATATAATGATTTAAAGTTGCTTAACAACCATTCTCGCTACTTTTCCTACTTAAAAATACTTAAAAAGCTGTAAATAAACAAATACATTATAAAAATAAAATACTCGACTGCATAAAAGCTAACATACTATTTTATATACGCATATATATATATATATATATATATATATATATATATATATATATACTTAATAAGCGACATACATAAGAGTATACATATCTACATCTCGCGGCAAGGATGAAACGTGTATTTCTCCGACTGCATAATACTATATTCCTTCGTGAACTTGTTTTCATCTTTTTAGTTAGCTTTTATGCAGTCGGATTTTTTTTATTTTTATAATATATTTATTGCCAAATGTGAATCGATTTTCATAATTCTTTTTTTGGACCAGCCATATACAAAAAACTATCCTAACTTTACGTCTAATTAAAAAGTAATTATTGAATAGAAAACATATTAATTAGTAATCGTATTATTATATTATTAAATTGACTTTAGTTTTCTTATTTAATCAAATGAAAAATAAACTTTGACGCTATACAGACCAAGAGCCTACGACGGCCAGACCTTCGTTTTTTTATAAAAGCTGAAAGTTTTTCTGTGCATGCCCCCTATATAGGTAAGAACGACCAGCGACTATAGAGTTTGTTGTTTGTGGTTACTTGGGCAGGTATCAGGTAGTATTGGTGGAGGGGCTCAGTAGTGCCCGGCAATCTAACCGGGCGCGAAGCCAAGAAACGCACAAGGAGATGGCGCACTTCGGTGAGCGGTGAGAGGTGGCCGTCTTCGGTGGGCGGTGTACCATGCGGGTTGCTTCTGGTACTTCTCTGATAGCAGAGTGGACCTTGGAGCAACCCCGTGGTTGTTGTGGTCTGCTTCGGAAGACCTGCCATCGGGGCGTCGTAGTTGAATGCGTAAGCGATCCTGTGACACCCCATTAAGACGGGGGAAGGTTTTGTTGGGTTTTAGTGGGTAGTACTGGCTTTTCCCATGAGTCCCACACCTCGCGCGTATATGCATTTCCCAACGTTAAAAAAAAGGTATCAGGTAGTAAAGGTGTATAAAATAGTACCTTAAATTCGTTAAAGTATAAAGCTCAATTTTTTAAATTTTCTTCGGGATGACTTTAGAAATCTCACGGATACTTATGACAGTTGCAACCCTCTGCCAGACACCTCTAAACTAATAAATTATAATTATACTTTCGTTATAGTATAAAAGCTAAATTTTATATATGTTACTTGGGGACCTACAAAAAAATGTTACTCAATAGCCGGATAGTTTTAATGGTTTTTGGGTAATTCTATTCTACAGCAAAAAAAGTGTGCGTTGGGAAAATTAACATGAATTAATTTACTTTATGGTCTCATTTTTAGCTTTTATAAAGGATCTCGATCATAATTTTCATTAGCTGCAATAAATTAGTTATAAACTTTTATTTTTCAAAAACTTTTAAGGGTCGGAAATGCTAATTGTCATGTCCTGTTATCTGTGGCTTTCATATGTTGTAACATTTAGGTGACTTTAAAAAATATTATTATTAAGTCTTTAAACCTGTTACTATTATAATTAGTTTTTAAATATAGCCCAGTTAATGATACTTAAAGCATATAAAATTGAGCGAAGCATATGAAAAGTTATACATAATTCTACTTGTGTTACAAAATATTTGTCATTTCTGTTATCAGGGGTAAAAATGTAAAAAAAATCTAGTAACATTGCTTAGCTTGGTCAAATTCAAGTAAGTTGCAACATTACGTTACCTGTTATTTAGATGGCGGCTTCAGAGTGAAAAGAGTTTCATTCGTTTTTTAATAAAAAAATAATTTATTTGTAATTTTCACTGTGTAAAAGTTCGTGCGTCATCTCTGCTTAAGCTGTGCAAAGGTAAGGTTTTTGAAATTAAATGTAAAATCACTCGGCTTGCATACGTTTTGATGTTGCATATGATACTAATGGAGTTAAAGTGTTTAACTTTGTTATCGAGAGAAATATGGCGGGTAAACCTACGTTCCGTCATTTCTGTGATCGTCACGCCTGTTATGAGCATGATAACAGAAATGATGTACGATCACTGAAGTGACGATTTGGATTTTTTTAATGTTATATTTAAATGTTTGAGAATAATATTAATTAAATATTGGTGATATTGCTACTTTGATATAAATAGGTATTTAAAACTTATATTTATGACGAAATATTGCTTGTGGAAATGATTAATAGACGAAAGGAGCTTATAGATAATGTTTGTTATTTTTAGCTGCAAGGGGCTCCAAATGCAAGATAAAATAAGAAAACTAAAAAAAATAATTCACAGAAACGTAGAGAGCAAGTAAAACACGCCATGAGGCGACACCGACAGAAGTTATCAGAAGATCAACTGGAACAAAGGCGAAAAAAAGACAGAATGATACAACCTAAGAAAGAACAGGGATTGATAAGTAACATCAATGAATTAACACCTCGAGCTCAAAATAAAATAATAATACAGTAGTGGAAAGAAAGACCGAAAAAATATCGTGATAAGAAAAAAGCAATGGAACAAATTCATCAACAAACTGAGGATTTTGTTGAAAATGACACTCCTCCAGATAGCCCTACATCTTCTAGTTCTAGATCAAGAGCAGAGTCTGGTAGGAGGATAGGAGAAAAGAACAAAAGACGTTTAAAATTAGAGAACCTTTTGCTGAGAGAAAAACTGCGAATAATGGAGATAAGACTGAAGAAGTACAAAACGCGTAACAGCGAACTACCTACCATTGAACATTTGCTGTCAAGAAGTTTGACGCAAACGTTTAAAAGTACATTCACCATACACCAAGTAGCTTGGAACAAAAATAGCCCGGGTCTTCTTCATGCTCGAAAATTAAGTTGCACTGAATGTCATCCACATCAAATCTGTCCACATTATGAAATAGGTATAATCAATACAGAAGCCATTCGTGTCGGCTTCTGTGAAGGTGAAGTTCTTCCTTCCTCGTCACATAGTGATCATACATTAGACACTTCAGACAAAAAAACATATAAGAAAGCTCGCGCATCAGAAAGCAGTTCTCCTCCTTGTACCGAATCTTTAATACGATTTGATAATTCTCACTCAGTTCGTCGTATTCTACAGGAACCCAATCCTTTCCTAATGGCTAGCTCGTCTATTCTTAAAGAAAGAAAATGCTCGACACTTTTTGATGATTCTGAGTGTAATGATTCACGTTTTTTTGAACAGCCCGGATCTTCTCACAGAAATACCGTATTATGTGTACTTGACGATGACAATCTGTCAAATTTTGACGATTCAGATCATGAACATAATCCTGTTGCGGTGTCGGTTCTTTGACAACGCAGCCGAAACTTTTACTACAATTCTTCTTCGGATGAGAGCGTTGAAAAAGAAATAAAGAGAAAAAAATATATAGATCGAATATTTACTTCTGAATTTGAAACGGAAGTACGAAAGCTTCTTACCTGTATATGGGACATGCACAGAAAAATTTTCAGCTTTTATAAAATAACGAAGGTCTGGCCGTCATGGGCTCTTGGGCTAATAGTAATGGATTGACGTGTTCAAAATAGAGACAGTTTAAGGTATGTAGAGCGACTTACATAAACGTTTATGCTATAAACTTTAAGCTAGATTATAGTTATATTAGTTCTTTTGTATCGTTTGGATATTAGTTTTCTTGAAAAAATACAACGTAGGTACTAGGTACTTCTAGCCGCTAGCGCGTCTAGATATAAGATCTTTGAAAACCTCAACTGAAATGAACTTCTTTCTAATTGTACATATTTGTAATAAGCTAATTAGGCCTAATAGAAATTTATAATTATTTACTACTAGTCGAGTCACTCTCGCTTCAGTCAGGATCGTCCGTCGTGTCGTTCGTCGTAGGAATGAGATAATTTGCCGCGGTAAAAAGTAGCCTATATCACTCTCCAGCCCTCCAACTATTTCCACAAAAAAAAAATCACGCCACGTGAAAGAGTAAGCATGGATATATGTATAATACGTATTTTATGTTATGTATGTATTATTCTCAGTGCGGGACAAACTAGGCGCCAGTTTGGACCTGTACTAGATGGTCGCTCAGTCTCTGCAAGCACGTCCGTCGGTATTGATTCTTCAGGCAAAGGATATTATGACCAGTCTGCATCTGTTTCCAATTAAATCACTATTTAAGCTTAACTACAATAATAATGCTAAATCCATGATGGATAATTTTACTTAAAGAAATAAAGAAAATGAAACAACTATAATTCTTACCTATCCTAATCACCTAATATATGTATCTATCTAAGATAACAAAATTCATGAATAAAGAATGTAAGCAATAAAAGAAGTTTTCTTTAAGTTTCTTATATTTATTTAAGTATAAAATATACTGTGTTCATAATACTGCAAACGAGCCTCCATTTCATACCCGTATTCTCATAAAAAATATTTTATTTATAATAGATAAAACTTAAATTCGATTCGAATAAAATTTCACATTATAACATTAAAATAATAATATTATTGTCATCTTTACACTACAATAAAACTAGTTTTTACTTTAGAGGAAGTTCCAGACGATACTGGGGTTTATTGTAGTGGTATCCCGGAGAAGGTTCCGGAGCGGGTTGAGGCACTGGCTGTGGTGCCGGCTGAGGCAATATAGGCACATGTGGAGGAGTCACGATCACAGCATCGTCTGTAAGCCCTATATCACGGCCAGATGGGAAAAACTGTTGGTGATATTGTCCATTATAATATTGTGGCTGGAAATTTGCAGGAAAGTACTGTTGCTGAGGCGCTACTGGTACTCCATATTGAGTCGGCAGCTCCATGCGTCCGAACATATTTTGTAGAAAAGGAAATTTATTAGTCAATTTGGTCCATAAATTTGGATTTCCACCGACTTGGTTGCTGCCTTGATCATTGCCCCAAAATAATCTTTGAGATGGTTGGATGCTGAAATTTGGATTAACCTCGACTGCAAATGGGTCGTTTGGTCCTACATGGTAAGGTAGTTCACGTTGTATATTATAAGATACAACGCCTCCTAAAATGTTAAAAACATATATTTTAATGATAAATAATTTAATATTAAATCAATAAATATAATAAATTATATAACAAACTCATGTATACATACCTAAAATACTACAAAATAAAACGATTGTCGGTGCATACATTTTCGCACGAGTTACTGAACCTCAACTGTGTGTTATTGTTGCTTGTGATGGCCTTTATACCGATTCTGTTTACTTCTAAAAGTAGACCTTGAAGAAAAATTCTCGTAACCCAATATTGAAAGTGTGAGGTAATGTATGGTGAGGTAGCGGCTCACCCAGCGGCCGACGGATGGCACGGCTCGGACAATAGGCGCGACATCTAGGTGACTCGTGCGCCGCCTGCATGCACAGGCTGTGACAAAATGTACCTACTTTTTCTGATTGATACGCAAAAGTTGTTTTGTACTTACGAGTAATAAACCGGAGAGCACCACTTGCGTAACTTACGTAACAATGCTTAAAATAAACTTGTGCCGGTGACAATATTCTACAGTAGGTACATGTATCACAGTTGTATTTAAACACAATAAATATGAAGTCCATGTTATTAGTATACATTTTTAATGTCTTAATAAATAAAGCTCCTTAAACTGTTTATACAGCAATATTATATCAAGACTACTTACTAAGAAATTACAAATAGGTACAATCGAAAAGAATATATTTTATCACATAGGTATAATAATAACCAAGAATAAGTCATCAATTTTTAAGATAATGTTTTAAAATATTTTACAACACAACAAAATTTCCATTTTCTTCAATTATCATTGTTATTTTTTTTTTAATTTTTCTTTTACGTCTAACTTAAAATATTAATTATTTTCTTAAATTATTTAGCACATCCTATAAACAATACTTTATGTGAAAAATGCAGAAAGGCGTTCGTGCGTATTTGTTCAACATAATCGGCATTATTCATAAGATAACAAGTGTTTGTCTTCGATAGTTGTCACGGCATTGTCATAGTCCGTAGCACAGAAGCGTTTGCGAAACGTTGCCCAATATCAGACTTTACTTACGATTAGTAGTTATAAGCTCTACATAATAAAATTATTTTATTTTAAATAAAATTAGAGGCAAATACTGTTTTATATCATTAGGTATTTGGTCACCAAAACAGTTAGCGACTCGTAATCGGCTTGTGATGAAAGCCTAATATGGGAGTGATTTGTAAAAATTTTAATTATAAAGGCACCTACCTACTGTTGAAAATCCTTTAAATTAGCTTAATATGTAATTAAGTATGATAGCCTTTATTAATTCATAAAAAAAAAATTCAAAATTTTTATTCAGCATTAAATTATTACAATTTTTTATTGAACGTCATGAGTCTACTACCATATAATAATAAAATATCTATGTATATATTTCCTATAAATGATACTATATGTGAAAATTGCACAAAAGCGTTCGTCACATATCACCTATTTTCGTTTTTATTTATAGCGACAATTTTATTAATTAATCAGATTCTTATCTCAAAATCTAGCTTAAAGTTCAACTATGATTAACATTAGGATATTGGTCAATTGGTCAGTCCAACTGTTAATAAAATGTAAATTAAACTGGAGACGCTACTCATAGGCATATTAATATTTTTTGACCTTTTGTGTCAAGCCTTTTGCGTAACATAAATGTACTTAATAAACATATGTTTTTTTTTTTATATTAGTCAACAGATTTATTTACCGACAAGAATCCTACAAAGACACTATCGTTGAGATATCATTTGCCAGAAAGTTATAGTATAAGTATACCTAGTATTATATGATCTGTGGTTATAGGTTTAAATAATAATATAGTTTTTTTTTTCCTAAAATTTTTAAAGAAAACTTTCTAAAGAACCAAAATTAAATTTGATATATGAGCATTATTGTTTAAAAAGGATGTACGAGTATGTGTTATATGCGACATATGATTATAATAAAGCTCAATAAAGCTTTAAATAAGTAGTGTTCAAGTTATTTCACAATAAAAGTACCTAAATACATAATTAAGTAATATATTGCTGTACTGGGTCGCACATTGTGCGCCACAGATGTTTCTTTATTTATGACATATTAAATGCCAAAATTTTCCGCAGAGCTTTCAATTAATAATTTTGCAATAGGGCGACACACCATAACATAAAAACAGGCTCTTTGAGTTAAACAAGTAGGTGTGATTTCAACAGGAATAAAATAAGCTACTTTAAATATAGTGATATGTAGTTATATTTATTTTTTACAATTTATTTTACAGTTTAATGTGTAATGCGAATTTATGTAAATTGTAATGAATATGTTTAGATATATACAAAAAAATATTTTTATCTATACTAATCTTATAAAAAGGTAGTTTGTGAGTTTGTAAATTGTGAATGGACGTTGTAGGGGATATTCTCTGGATCTACTGAATCGTTTTATATGAAATTTGGTAAGAAGATAGTTTGAGGCCCTGGGTAGGACATCGGACTTTTTATCCGGGAAATCATCCCTTAAGGGCGTGAAAATGGGGATGAAAGTTTGTATGTGGATTCAACCCAGTGACGAACCCGAGCGAAGCGAGGGTGACTCGCTAGTTTACTTATAATTTATTAAATAAAAGTAGCACTATGATTTCGAAAGCAAAGACAAAGACAGACACAGTCGCAAAATGTTTGGTTAATTAATTGTACAAAATATTCTATAGCATTATTTGTAATTCCAAAGACGTAACCGTATTGACTACATCGTTTACATACTACTTACTTATATTTATTTTAATTTCTTAAAAGTTTGTCCAATTGCGAAAATGGTGTATTGGTTTTAAGTAATGAAGCGTCCTATATTTATTTAGTCTTATTTGTTGTTTAATAGTATAATATAGTGTTGTTATAACAGTGTTGTATACTTGCATGTTTTGAAGTAGTATGTAAGTATACCGTAAATTGTGTAATTAAAAAATCGGTCAAATGCCAGTCGAATTCGCACACGAAGGGTTCCGTAGCATTGTACATGTACTTTTTAATAATATGACTTTTACTCTTTGTATGTAGTAGTAGTTCGATGATTTTTATTTTTATTATTTGTTGTTATAGCGGCAAATACATACTCTGTAAATTTCAATTCTCTATCTATTACGATTCATGAGTTGCTCTGATAGACGGACACACGGACAGTGGAAGCATAGTAATAGGGTTCCGTTGGCACCCTTCGGGTATGGAACCCTAAAAGATGATAACAGTTTGGACGAATATTAGTGTTAGCTGTAGGTACCATAAATAACAACGAATAACGATGAGTGTACCGGAAGTAATGGTTCAAATACAGTCAATTATTGTAAAAACTCACTCATGCAAAACCTATACATACTCAATAAAAAATAGATATATATATATAGAGTAGGAGTCTCACAGTACCTTGCCCGTTATGATGGCCGGCAGGGTCCCCATGATTGGTTTCCCCAGCGAAAAAATATAAAAAAATATAAAAAAAATCCCTATAAGTTTTGGTGACCCAGGAGAGACCATGCAGGATTCTTTATGGACTCCGTTTTTAACGATTGAAACTAAAAGATATAAATGTTACAAGATTCGATATAATAAATTGATTTAAATATCAACTTCGATGGTTCGAGGTTGATATTTAACTTAAGGTTTTCGTTACGTATGTGAGTTGTAATTATTTAACACATCCCTCACCAGTTTCGGATTCTCATTAGAACAAATCATCTATATCTTTTACGTATATAGATAAGGTAAGATAGTTAACCATTTATAATACCAACCTGCCACAAAATTGAGATATTTCCTGTTCTCTGATTTGATGTAATTTATGTAATTGTTCTATTATTATCTTAACGGCCGTAGTGTTGTAACTGCCTCGTTGGTTAAAAAGTAATGAGTTCAAATTCCAAATAATGACTTCAAGCCAAAATAGTTATTGGGGTTTTCTGTCAGAAGAATATCTTAGTGGAGGTGGTTGTGGTTCCAGGCCCTCGGACTCGGAGCGCAAGTAAATGCGTCTTTCGTGCGCCTTCATCTCCTGTTATTTCTACAAGCTTTACTTGAACTAAAATACCATGACAAAAGTGACACTTCTGCACTATATGTTCTATTGGTATATATTTTGTATAGTAGGTACTTACTAGATGGCCAATCTACAGCAGAAAGCTCCGATAATAATGCATTTTTTTAAATACAACGTACCTATTACCTACCACTTCATATATTTAAAATAGATATTATATATATATATACATGATTGAAAGTTAAAAAAATAATAGCTTCTGTTCAGAATCAACAGTAAACACAAGCTGTTACATACGAGTACATTGTAAATTTTATATACATGAATCACCTCTTTAGTTACTCATTTATTACGATCTCTTCGGTAGGAATAAGTAGAAACAAAAGAAGTAGGTAAATGTTTTAAAATTGAAATTATTAATAATTAATAGGTACATAGTCAAGCAATCTAAATTTTTTTGTCTTAGAGACCCTACAATATTTATTACCTATTATCCTACAATATAATTTTGGAGCATCTTTCAAACCACTACTTAGTTTTTCTTCGCCGAGCGCCTTCGATTAGCCTGGGCGCATCTTTAATTTAATAACTCACCAATATCTCAAGGGAATCTAGTGCTCTTCAAGTTCCAACCCACAAACTATATCTACGCAAAAATCACATCCGATCCGTTGCAATTTAAAACAAGAATTAACCAGCAAATACTTTCTTCATATATAATTTTAGGAAGGATTCATAAAGATTTAATTTGAATGTTGTTATAGCAAACTAAAGTATAGATACCTCCATTTTATGAGAATGTATGAATTATCCTTATTTTATAAATGTATATTTAGGAGATTGTCTAGGTATGTTTGGTTTTTCCTAATAAAATAGTGCAAAAAGACTTAGCACACTGATATAAACAAATAATAAACGTGGGCGGTATATTACATCATCTTGCAATGAATTATTTATTTCCAATCCACAACCTTCTCGCGCATGTGAACAATGGATGAGCTGCAAGAATGATTTTATCTGCACATATTAATGGTGATGTATTTACGGATAGGATTAGTACCTAATCTTTTTCTAGGAAATTTACGAATTATTTATAATATTTCATGTTTTTGTTAAACTAATTACAACATCTAATTCATTTTTTCTTACTCAGAATGATAAAATACTAGCAGAATCCGCGACTTTGCTCGCGCTAAAATAAAAAAAAACTCTAAAAAGGTAAGTTTCATAAAAACTTACCTACATGTTCTATTTTACCCCCATATGAGATGAATTTCGAAAAATGCTAAAACACATGTTCATTTAATTGTATTGAAAAGCATTAATACCAAGTTTCAAGTAATTCTGCTCATAAATACTTTTTTGGTTTGTATTATAACGTGTTTTCCTGTGGGAATAAGATAATCTCTCAATGTAAAAAGTAGCCTATTGGCTATGTCACTGGCCAGCCCTTCAACTGTCTCCACACAAAAAATCAATCCGTAATTCCGTTTCCACGTGAAAAAGAACAAACAAACAAACACACTTTCACATTTATAATACTAGTATGGATGTGTGTGAGTTCGTCTGTATCAATATAACGATGAAAGCTTTGTTAGTGGTACGCACTACGCTACATGACTCGCAAATTTTGCGTGTAATGTACACATTCCCAAATGACAATAGAACAATTTGGTATTATTGAGCTAATCTTAGGATGGAGTCAAGAGGTGGGTATTAGAACTCATCAATGGTTATTCGTAAATTCTTCGAATACGGGCATAAGTACTTAATTTGTTTTAACAAATGCAATATTATGTAAAGCTTGGGTTTGAGATTCTAATTTTATCTGCTTTCTTGACGAAAGCCTATGTATATGGTACATACTTTAGTTTCTTAGTAAAATATAAATAAATTCATAAAAGAATTTCATATATATAATATTTTTGATATAATTGATATTTTTAATGGCACTAAAAAAGAATTATAAGTATATTTTTTATGCATGGTCGTCGATTTCTTACAACATTGACCTAAATTCTTTAAGGTATAATACGGAGGTGGCTCCTATATACATGTTGAATCAAAATTGAACAATCCATTTAGATATAAATAGATAAAACCATTAATTTGAATTATAGATAAACTATTACACAGAAATTTGTAATATAATATTTGTCAGATTTTTTTACCTTGCGTAGACTCCAACTAATACAATATTTAATAAGAAAATTAGAATATCCTGTTGTTTATAAATAACGACAATAATTTATTTATAAACAATAGTAAACATATCATGTAAGGCTTTTAGGATCGTCATCAGCGACATTGTGGAGCAAGTAGACACGGAACAAGGATGTGAGCTGACTCAGATGTTTTACGGATCGAACCGAGTCTACACAGCATTGACATTTAGATGATTGTTATAGTAATATATGAATTTGAACTCATGTGCATCTAAATGTAAATTTTGTTTATATCTATCTATACTTATTATAAAAATAAGTCCCCCGGCCGCGTCTTTCTGTCCTCCTGTCTGTCCTCCTGTCTGTCTGTACGCGATAAACTCGAAAACTACTGAACGGATTTTTATACGGTTTTCAACAATAGAAAGAGTAATTCTTGAGGAAGGTTTAGGTATATAATTTATTATGCTTTTATGTAAATTAGCTGAAATACGGCGACAAATGTTGAAGAGGTCGCAAAAAATCTCGCCAAATGGGAACTTTCCACGCGAACGCCGCGTAAACTAGCAAAGATACAGTTAAGTAATGTACTAGAGAATTCAAAATCTATAAAAATGCTACAAAAAAGTCCGCGATAGCATATCTCTATCTCTTACGGTTGACTTACAATAACCACTTTTATGTTAACATTTTTAATTAAAAACATTACGTTATTTTCAAAGTTATTTTCTTTAGTTCGGTATTAATCCTTATCCAAATGAATATTTTAGTTAGCTTAGTCATTTAATGCAGATTAAAATTGCTCTTTACACTAAATCAATCAGATGAATAGTTTTTGAGATATCGTTGTTAGAAGTAATTAGTAGCGAAACATTTTTAATGCTTGGCGAGCATTGAGATGCCTACGGCGAGTCCATCCCCTCTGCCCCGCATCGCTCGACCGCCTGCTCAAGCTATATAAACCGGGCGATGTAGCGCGCGATCCTAGGATACTTTTTACCGCGGGAAAATATCTTATTTCTGAGGAAAAATACAAAAACTGCAATGTAAGAGTATACTAATATGTAACACCTAAGAATTTAGTTTTTGGTCATCTGAACGCGGGCGGAGCCGCGGGCAATGCTAGTATTATGATAATATAAAAATATTTATTGAAAGTCCAAATAACTAGATCGATTAATTCTTGTGCCTAAGGAATGAAGACACTATGTAGAAATGTTACCATCTTGCTATGAAATTTTTTGTAAGAAAAGGGATTCTTGAACCATTTCCCACACTTGTCATAGTAGGTACACCAGAGTATACTTACCTTTCAGCAACTGCCTTTTCTAGATAATTTTATATTATTTACCTCGCGGATTTTTTTTTTGTTTTGTTTAAAGATTTTTTCAAATGTGTCCAAATAGTAAAGATGTAACCGTATTGAACAATGTAATAAAAAAATATTGAAGAAAAGGCCAACACTAATTTAATTTAGATTTTTAGCACTTATATTGGATTAACATATCCATTATTAAACATGTAAAAACTAGAGTTGTGTGAATTTACTGCTTCTTGTGAATTCACACATCTCTTTATGTATTTTATTTAAGCATGTTAGTTGTCACGTATTACACATTAAACAAAGTACATATTATGTTTATTTTTATAATTCTGGTAACGTTTGAACAAAAAGACGGAGACCGGTTTAGGTTAATTCAGTACTGTCTTACATTACGATAATATTATGAGCAAACGTTACGTCATCTAATCTAGAATGCCTACCTGCGTGTAAACTTAATTTAAAGGAATCTCAATCTGTAAATAAAAATGAATGTAATACTAAAGTGCTTGCTAAAGTATGTATTAAGCACAGAACACTTTTACTCAGGAGGTACTAAATCATTTATCCTAAACTTGGGCACACTGTTCACTGTTCTGTGGAGATGACAGGGCATAGTACCTTTATAAAGAAGTTAACTTTTTTAATTTATATAATTTTAATAAAAAAAAACATAGATTCAATTATAATCTACGTGAATATAAATTATTAAATCTAAAAATGTTTTGGTAAAAGATATATGTTTTTATTTTTGCAACAATTAAAGGTAACATAACCAACCTACTAATTCGTAATCACTAAGTAAAAATAAATGGGTCACCTTTTATTTATAAAAATATTTATTACATAGTTACTAAATAAATGCTAATCTCACATGGAATATATCACAAATATTTAAGTAAAAATTGCCATCGATGAGTTACGATAAGTCTTTTATAATTAGTCGATTCACCATACTATGATTGTGCCGTTATTGTACTTCGTTTCGTAGATTTTTACTTTCCGTAACCTGTAAGAAAAATTATACTTTATTATCTACACTAATAATATAAAGAGGCTTGTAAGTTTGGATGTTGCTTTTAAATAAAACTGTCTTTTCGGAATTTTTCGCGGATTTATTTGGATTTTAGTTTTATTTAAAATGTCAAATATTCGCGTAAATCTAAGAAAGTATTGTTGTTGATCCGATTTTAAAATTCTACAGGCCATTTTTTATTACAACATAAAGAGACGCACCCAAATAAAGATAGGTAATTCGCTAGTAATCAATACTTTTGATATTTTCTCTGCAAAATCGAAATTTAGCACTTTCTTTAAACTGACTTTAGTTTCAATCGACATATTAAAATTTAAAAGATTTTTAGTATTTAAAAAAAAATGTATGTGACTTCGACAAAGATTTTCGATACAGAAATCATATACGTATAAGGTATATCGTGTAATATATGTATGTAATTTAATACGATCGATTATTACCTCCTTTAACTGCAGCACCCGCCGATGCATGTGCAGATGCGAAACTTCTTCCTGCTGCTAAGCTGCCAGCCCCAGCGCCAGCGATACTTTTAGCCCCCGCTGATGAACCAGCTGCATGATTTAATTCATTGTGACCAGTTTTAGGATCGCCGAGACTGTCGATATTCGCTAAATTTCCTTCAGAGTTAACGTCTGACCCACAGCCGGATTTGCATCCAGTACCGCTAAAACCTTGATTGGCACCAAATGCACCGGCACTCGCGAAAGCTACGGCGTTAGCTTGTGCACTTGCATGGGCTTGTGCTCCTGCATTAACTTGTGTCCCTGCTTGAGCTTGTCCTGCGGTAGCTTGGTTGGGTGAGACGCTTGGCACCTTATCATTATAACCCGAGTCAACATTACTTCCAGACAATTCGTTTCTACCGAAAGGTCCACCAACATGGTTAGCTTTAAAATGTTTTCCATCATCGAAAGGTTTTAATAGTCCTGGTGGACCACCAAACCCTCCTGAGTAGGCGACTGCTTTGGCACTAGCAGATGCAGTTACAGCGCCAGAACCTTCATGTGGAGAAACATTTGATTTTTCACTAGTCATGGCAGTCTTGGCTTTCGAACTACAAGCACCAGTGGTACAAGATAAGGGCTTAATATTACCTAACGCCGATGAAGGTGACTTCTCTGGTAAATTGTATTCGTTCGGTTTTAACAATCCTGAGGGCGCTCCGAAACCACCAGTGTACGGTATCTTTGATTCTTCATTATTTGGCTTGGGTACAATAGGTGAATTGGCAGCTGTGGTAAAACCATGAAGTCCATTATTTGAAATATCATGATGAGGCGGAATTAAGCTATCACTAGGTTTAGATACAACTCCATGTACGCCTGAATTTTTATTAGAGCCCGAATTGACACCAGCGTCATATGATGTGTGTGTTGTTTGATGTGGTAAATTATCGGTGAAAGACGGTGCTTCGTTATGTCCTGGTTTCGTTGCAACCTGTGTCGCCGGGAAACTTTTGTCAATAGGTCCTGCTGGTGCACCAAAACCTCCGGTGTATACAGGCGCGTCTTTTCCAGGTAAAGTCACACTAGAATGTGGCTTAGTCGACGATCCAAGGGACCCTTGTGGGGAGCCATGACCAACAAATGAACCACTCGGACCTCCAAATCCACCAGTGTACGCAGGTACACTAGGGTTAGGATGGAGTGATGAAATACTTGTACTTGGTTTCGGTGTAACAGAATGTAAACCAGTATTTATACCAGCCTCAGCTGATGTGTGTGTTGTGTCTGCGTAATTCCCTTCATGTCCTGGTTGTGATGTAGGCTTTGTCCCTGCCGGAAAACTTGTATCAACTGCTCCTGCAGGTCCACCGAAGCCACCAGTATATGTAGGCACATCTTTCACGGGGGAAATTGTACTTAAATGTGGCTTAATAGTACCAGGGTATCCTTGAAAGGAGCCATGACCCAATTGCCCACCATATGATCCACTCGGAACTCCAAATCCACCATTGTACGAAGGAACACTAGGGTTAGGATATGGTGAAGAAACACCTGTACTTGGTTTCGGTGTAACAGAATGTAAATTAGTGTTTACACTAGCGTCAGGTGATGTGTGTGTTGTTTCCGCGTAATTGCTTTCATAGCCTGGTTTTGATGTAGGCTTTGTCCCTACCGGAAAACTTGCGTCAAATGTTCCTGCAGGTCCGCCGAAACCACCAGTATAAGTAGGCGCGCCTTTCACAGGGGAAACCGCACTTGACGGTAGGTTAGTAGTACCAAGGGATCCGTGAAGAGAGCTATGCCCGAAGTTTCCATTGATTGATCCACTTGGACCTCCAAAACCACTAGTGTAAGCAGGAGCACTAAGATTCGGAAGTGGTGAAGAAATATCTACACCTGGCTTCGGTGTAACAAATTGTCCAGCGTGTGTTGGAAGTCCAACGTTTGCATAACCTCCGTTGTTTGAAGGACCACGTTGACCAGATTCTACATTAGGTAACAAAGGTGTAGTATGTCCTGGATAACTAGGAGAAGTAAATGTACCTGTATGTGGTTTTGAAGATAATGGTACAGAAGGCAAATTTCCGCCGTTCGATCCTGTTGGGTTATATCCACCATTTGGTATTTGTTGTTGGCTGGGCGATAAATAGTTTGTATTTGGTTTTGATAAATCTAAAGTAGCTTGCTGAGACTTGACAGATTCATTGCTGGTGTATCCCCGGGTATTTTGTGCATCATTTTGAGAAGAACCTACGGCATAGCCAGGATGTAAGTTTTGACTAGAATAACTGGGACTAGAGGATGGAGCTCCTGTAATAGACTGTGATGGGTACGATCCCTGGACATTGCCATTGATTGAATTAGTGGTACCTCCAACAGTATGTTTAGGACTATCTTCATTGGGGGGTAAATTGCTTAGAAACGGTTTTGAAGAACCCAATGATTGGTCAGTATCTACAGATCCACTGGAGCCTGTATAAGTAGGAACATTTTGTTGTGCTAAATTTGGTTTTAAGGGTTGGACAGAATATGAATTTTGATTAATATTTGATTCATGTTTTGAACCCTGTCCCGAGACATCTGCTGATCCTGGTTGATATTGTACTCCGTAATGAGGATTTGAAGTATCTACATGTCTCGTGGGTCCGGAAACATCATTGCTATCTGAAGGATAGCTAGCGCAGTTCGGACTACTACAAGCAGCTGATGGTGCTTGTGGACCACTTGGATAAGTACCAAATATTGGGACATTGTAACTTGTTGGAAGTTTCCCATTAGAATATGAGCTAGGAGATGCTTCATTGCAGTTATGACTTGTACACGCTGGACCAAGATTAGGAGTATTTAAAAATACGGACGGTTTTTGATGTGATGGTGCTGCTGAATCTGAAGATTGTGAAAGTGGAACAAATAAATCATCTTCTTGTCCTGTCGAAGATGTTACAATAGGAGTATCTTTAGAATCACCATTATTAGGTTGTTGTTCAGATCCATATCCACTTGGAGCATTCTCTTGTTGGATAGATAGGTTGCACTGACCAGATGCACAATCAGTTCCACTTTCATATTTATTAAGAGGATGTACTGACTGAGATTGAGGTTGCAAGTTTTCATTTGAACTGCATTTGCCCGACGAACATTTGTTGCCAGAAGTATCTACACCATCACAGTTAGCTTCTTTACAAAGATTGCCATTGTTACTGGAGTATGCCTGCCTGTAGCCTGCTATTGCACCAGCTGCAGCAGATGCAACAGCTCCGCTGTTTTGAACTCCATTAAATGCTGAACCGTGCACCGTAGAGGGTACATTTCCATCAATCAAACCATTCTTGCAATTATTCGAATTGCATCCAATGCCACCAATCCCGTTAGCACCGCTACCACTAAAACTAAATGAACTTGAATGAGCACTTGAGCTCGATGATGCAAAGCTTGATGAAGAAGACTTGGAGAAACTTCCCGTAAATGCCGCTCCACTTGGTATAGTCAAGGAAACAGGTTGTAAGAATGCACCGGAAGCAGCATTGGCTTCAGCTAGAAAAAAAAAATTTAATATAAACTATAAGTATTTATAATAATATAACATTATTTAAATTTCTAAAAATATGAATGGGAACCATTTTTAACTATTTACTCAACTATTTATAGCAATTTACCTTCGCTTTGCTCGGATGTATCCTTGGGTACCTAAGTGTATATGTTACCCCAGATCATCATACTTTATCTGTATACTAAACTTCATCCAAACTCGTCCGTCATTTCAGCGTGAAGGAGTAACAAACATACACACACATAAATTCCACATTTATAATAGTGTAGTACTTAGTCCGATTTAATGACATAAGGATACTATTGTAATTCCTCAATAAAAATCAGAATAGTTCTTTTTAAAATATAACTACAAATAATTGTGACACTTTTCCCCGTTTTCAGATTGGTTGAAAATCTAGAACACAATATTGCTCAGTATAAAAGTAAATTTTTATTTATTAATTCAGATATCAATTATATAATATGTTTATTATTTCACATTAATAATAACTGGTGTCATTAAAATATTTCTCACCTTTTTGCCATTTTGTTGCATGATAAGTATGCAGCTATTATGATTGACATACGATGGTTAATGATTAGAATATGCTTAGTACCTATACTTTATATAAATAATTAAAATATGGAAGCTCTACCTGTCTATTAAAAACATTACCTATCCTATTTATATTATTCATATTTTTAGGTTTTAATTTAAAATAAAAATTAGCGAAACAAATATTATTCATCAGGTCATTTGAAATTGTTTTTATCTAAAAACTTTAATAAACCATTTGAAATATTGACCATATTTTAATTGTTTATATTTTAAACTAATTAAAAAATGATTACGAATTATAACAGACCTTTAGCTAGTGCGCCACCTTTTACACCATATCCATGGGGAGTTCCACTCACAAAGCTCACTAGGACTAGCGCGATTACACCCGAGAGCTCCATCTCGGTGAAGCTTGCCGGTCACAATATTATTGTTTTGCTGCCGCTAGCCTTTATAAAGCGATACACAAATAGACACTACTACAGTATTAAACAAAAAAACCTGTTAGCGTTTACTGCGAATTTGAACTCGTGTAGGTAGCTGACGTTGTTTCCTGTAGGTACTTATAATACAAACACTTCACATCATATAGTAGATAATGGAGTGTTGAGATGATCGCTCCAAAATTTATTACTCACGCCTCTTAATATTCTAATGAAACTCATTGGAAAATACTCTGTCCGATTTGAATGTCCGCAATGGCATTCACAGCGGTATGATAATATTGTGGTTTATTATTGTGATTGTGATACTAATGAATTTGGCGTTTTACTTAGTTTAGGCTGTTGCTAAGCTTACTATTTTGTTTTATTTTAGACTCACATTTTCTAAATTTATCTTATCTTCCATTTACCTTTTGAATATTAAATGCCAAGTCATCTACAAGTTTTCTACTCGAGACGAAAGCGATGTTTGTTTTATTATTGTTTAATTTTTAACCAACTTACAAAAAGAAGGAATTTCTCAATTTGTCGGAGACTTCTTTTTTATGTATGGTCACCGACTACTCGAAGAGGCCTGAACCGATTTGGATAATCCTTTTTTAATTTAAAGGGTATACTTTACAGGCGGTTCCATTTAAATTTTATCGAAATCGGTCGAGCAGTTTTTAAAGAATCAACAATAAATTAATTTCAAATAAATAGCGTAACTGAATATGCTATTAAAAAACCTTCTTCTTATAAATTATCTGCTTATTAGGTCTACACTAAAAATGGAAAAATAAAAACTTAGGTGCCAGTCGACAATTTTATACTCATATAGGTAAATATGACAAGGTATGAGCTCTAATTATAGTTACAATATTATACATTAATTATTGATGTACATATTTATTTATACGTATTGAAATAGATTTATTTTGCTTTGCATCGGCTGGCCCCGACTTGAAAATATCTGATTAGGTATCTATTCTAATAGGTACTTTAAGAAAAAAAATATATGCAGATTAGTCCTTGGAACCAGAACAAGAAGAACGTACCTACCAAAGAGATTCAATAAAGCTTTATAGGTGAAATCAGCAAGATACCAAAATTTTATTCTTTTCCCTTAATTCTTAGTTTTGGTCATATCCAAGCTAATAAGCATTCAATAAAAAAATAAAAACGATACACTTTTTATAAAGATAAGTATAAATTATTAAAAATAGTTATAATGCCCTCCTGACGGATTCCAGCCACAGGAGATGTTATAATGCATGAAATGTTATGGTGCGCAGGAGATATTATAATGCACAAGTGTACCATCACACACTAGTGTAGTTTCTATACCTTTCACTCTCAAATTCCGGTGAGACGATAATTCGACACGACCAGTGGTAGTTAGGCGCAGGACCGACGGGTTTACGTGCTCCCAATGCACACAGGTGAAACACCGCCAACTTCATATCTCTGAGCTGTTACTATGAATTTCTTGACAGAAAAGTTTAACTAAACTTGGGGCGACCCGAGACCCGAACCCAGGACTCCGGATTTGCGTACATGCTAGCCGAGGCAGTGAAAAGAGGTTAAGGAGGAAAAGTTTCACTATCATTCGTAACTGATACCTGACTCCATTATCATATAATGTCGATGGTATAAATTTATTGTATTACCATCCAGAAATCACATTCTTACAAAGTTTTAAAATGATACAACTAAAAGTAAGCTAAAAGCGACTTCCAAAATATGATTTACTTGGTAGTCAAAAAATAAAAGTGAAGATAGGTAATAAAAACGTACCTATTCATATAAGAAATACAATTTCTTGTCTCTTAATATTTGATAATTTATGACAATGTCTTCTTGGACCATTTATTTTTCAAAAATCATATTTATTTTATTATCATTCATCCTTGAAAGAACTGGAAATATTTTTTTTGTCGTTGAAGCAATCTATACTAATATTATAAAGAAGTAAAGTTCGTGAGTTTGTAAGATTGTAACGTTGTAGGGGGTAATCTCTGGATCTACTAAACCGACTTAGATGAAATTTGCTAAGAAGATAGTTTGAGACCCTGGGAAGGACATAGGATACTTTTTATCCCGGAAATCAGCCCTTAAGGGAGTATTACCATCTAGAAGCTTATTTTTTAGATTTAGTATTTATTAGATTGATTCCCAATACATCTATATCTTTTAGATTATGCCACAAAGTAGAATGAATCCTTTCATACCTAAAAGACGCATGGCAAAAACTGTTCGATGGTTTATTTCAAAAGCCTTATCAATCAAAGGACATGAGCTTATATAATTTACACCACAAGTGCACTTCACTGCTATTTTGAAACTTACACGTCTTTCACGTGATAAGGGCGATGATAGCTGAGAAAACGGAAAGAAAAGTTGAGAATTGTGTTCTCAGTTTATACAGAAGTCGTCGTCTCCAGCATCTTTTCATTTTTTCGTTAACATACTGGTATCCTCAGTATTAGTTTCGAAACTGCATCGATTTCCTTGAAAAACAAAAATAATTTTTGGTACCGGCTTACGCGCATGGTCACCTCGCTTGTCTTTTCGATCCATTTTTGAAATACACACGTCTATTTCGTTTAGAGCTCAATAATGTTCTGACTATTTGTAAGGATACCTTGCGTATTGGACCGCAAGAGGAGTAAGTGACAGGGAAATTCTCCAAGCCAGAATACAATGGCCACCGTGGTCGAGGTACTGCGGTCGAGGGGATGATTACCTACCTGACCTGCCGCGCCCAAACGCACCGTAACCTTTAAGCCTCTGACACTATAGGAGTTCTACGAATTTCAAAGTAATATTTACACATTTACAAACCCCCAAATTATAAGAAAATGTAAAAATAAGTAGAATTTTTGAAATTTCTAGACGGTAATATTAAAGGGGTCATATTGTGATGAAAGTTTTTATTGGGAAGCAAGCGAAGCGAGGGTGAGTCGCTAGTTATTAATAACTAGCAGAGCCCGCGACTTCGCCCGCCCTTAAACTACAGAAAAAACTTTAGTTTTATAGGTAAGTATAATATCTAATATTTTAGTGACCGAAATTATTTTCAAATGAAAATATTTATATATTTTTGCTCTGATCTTTAAATGTTCAAATTTCCTACTTGTCCGATGGAATTACCAAGAAATTTTTTCAAACTGACAATTATGAACTATGAGCTACAGCGAAAAAATCTGCCAAATCGGTCGAGCCGTGATGCTCCGTCATATTATTATGTGGCAGTAGATTTTTATTTACATAGAGAATTATTATATAGGTATATATAAAAAATCTGACAGATCGGAATTTCCATTAAATTATAAGTAATTTTTATAAAATTACTACTATTTTTTCGTTCTACTGAAATCTAAATGGCTTTTTTAGATATTCTTCTTGCTCTTTGGAAGGACGGTTCAGATGAAACCTTAAACTGCCAGGGTTGTGTGGGCATATCATCATCAAAGTAATTAGATTCGATTATGATAATATACAAGTTGAGCAGCAATATATAACGTTATATACAATAAAGAAATCAAGTGACAACAACATTTAGCGAATTTATAAACTTATAAATATCAGTCTAATAGGTAACATATCAGAGGCGGATCTGCGATTCCCGGAGTTGATATAGGTAATTTCATATAAATATTCAATAATAATAAAATTAAGCATACATAAGTGATTCCACTGTTAGATGCGTGTTTGGTAATTCATATAGAGGTACACATGTCGTGAGACCGCATCATGCATAAAAAAATACATGTATCCAGCGGATTTGTACCTAACACCTACATCCGGGTATCACATCGTTTGAGTCTTCACATTCCATTATATAAGAGCTCATAACATATATCATAAGCCTGATATCCACTTAAACGGTATGATTACTATAAAATATTAGCACAATTTTCCATTATACACTCAGAAAGACTCAACAGTAGAAAACAAGCTGCAAGCTTTTAAATTGTCGGTAATAACAACCATTACTTGTCTAAGGAACAAATCCAACACTAAACGTTCAATTTAGAGGTCAAGGATTTACAACTACTTGACTTGTATAGGATACGACACTATTTCTGTAGTGATTTAACAATTCTAGTTATTGCCCCGAGCCATGAGTGAATAATAGTATACAGCACTTGCATTTTTTCTCATTGAATCAGTCACATATTTATACGTCTTACAAACATAAAGAAACTTATAAAAATAATAAGTAAGGAAAAGATCTCATCGTTGCAGTATTTACATAAACGTACATTTGATGACACGTTTGGCTCAGTTTGTAGTGACTCTACTTGCTGTGCCGGCGGTCGCGGGTTCGAGTACCGCTGGAGGCATTAATTTGTGTGATGAGTACGAATTTTTATACTCCAGTCATGGGTGTTTATATTTATAATATGTTTGTATTAAAAGTTATATATGTTTAGTGTATCAACAATCTGGTATCCATAACACAAGCCTCGTAGCTTACTATGGAACTAGATGATGTTGTGTGTTAATGTCCCAACATATTTATTATTATTTATTTAAATATTTATTTATTTAAAGACGAGAAAGCCCAGTGGCAATTCTTCCAGAAAACAAATAGAAATATTACTAAAGTATATTTATGAAATAGTTAAGTTACGATACGATAATCTTTTATAAATGTTTAGTTTTAACTCAAAAGAAATTATATATATCATATATGTATGTGTTGATGTTCCGACATATTTATTTTATTATTTATTTATAAATAATTTCGTACATTAAGTTAAAATATTAGTGGCCATGCGATGGTCTTTTCCTCTATATTTCTTCAAAGACAATTTCGGAGAACATTGTTGGCACAAGGTTGCATATTGCTCATAGATAGAAAGATTTGCACGATTTGGAATTTACATTAAGTGATTACAATAACCACAAACAATTTCGGGGTAGAACTTTATTTGTTAATATAAAATGTGTACTTATTTTTTCTTTGAACGTAGGTGTAATAGGTATAAATTTATATATAGCAAGATCAGGCATGGTTATTTAAAGAAAAGTTCAAATAAACCATATAATTTACCTAAAGAAATTGAGCTACTTATTGTTAGTATGGCTACGTATGGTTGCTTTTTAATTTGATTTCGTTTTTAATTTGAAAGTTCAAGAAAAATATAGCTTTTATATATACACGTAAGCTTGCAAGGCAAACATTATTGCCCACACACTTCACCTCTCATTGGTTTAAATTAAAAAATACTAAGTAGTTACTATCCATGTTAGTTAACAACACATTAGTATAGATGTTCTATCCATTTCAGCTTCATCTATCTATACATATAATAAAATTCTAACTAAGCCGATTCAGTACATTAAATATTTTTTAGAAAATTTTATTGAAATAGACATTAGTTCGATATTCGACAGGCCGAATCTATAGTTTTTAGAATTTTTGTCTGTCTGTTACCGCATCGCAGAAAAATCACTGGAGGGATTTTGATGAAATTTAGTATAATGATAGCTGGTTATCCGGGCGAACATATAGGATACTTTTTACTGCGGGCAAATATCTCGCCTCTGAGAAACCTATACTAAACGTTAAAACGTAAGTAGGGACGAACCCGAACGGAGGGCTAGTAATAGAATATGCGTCTATATATAAATAGTTTTAATGTATGGTTTGCAATGTACATATTACATGTAATTGGACCATACTCTTCTCCTTTCCCACTCTATTTGTAACAAAATTTAAAATAAAATCATATTTAAATACTTTTTTGCAGGCATCAATATACGATTACAATTATCTGATTATCTAAATAAAAAAAAGCTGTCTACATATTATCCTGTTCTGATCATTTAAGCACTTAGATCACATATTTTAGCTTTGAGTAAAGTCAAACTGCTTTTGTTATCAACATACTTTTATTTCGTCATAAAATATATTTATAGGTACTAAGAACTACTTTAAAATTTTCACATCAATAAGCAAACTCTGTAGCTATTTGAATTCGTGATAAACTAATTTGTAAAGTACACTTTGAAATTTGAATGAAGTTTTCAACGTTGCGAGCGGTTAAATGAACTCGTCTGGATCCCGAGGCGCGTCCAAGTCTCGGTAGTGTATGACGGGACGGAACTCGGCGCCGCCGCCCCTTTAACAACAACCACAACCCACACTTTAGTACGGACAAGTCTTGGTACACTCACTATCACACTTGTTAGTTATATTTGACTGTCAGTATGTCACAAATCTCAGCTTCCCGGGGGACAAGTACCCGTTTAAATTTACTTTTATGTTTTAAGACAATGAGATTATAGTATCTGTTGAATTGGAAGGATTGGAAGGATATCTGGATATTATATAACAAGGAAGGAATAATAAAGAGATTAGAGTTTGCGGACACTTTATTAAAGATTTCATACATAATTATGTATTAAATAGAATTTTCTGTAAAATTATGAGATAAATTCATTTATAGCATAGTTATTTTAACTATACAGAGTCTATATTTAATTGTAAAAATTTACATCAAAATAATTTATGGAAATGTAATGATTGTACAGTGCGAAATTTAAAATAAAGTTAAAAATTTGATCTTAAACAAATTGTTTGTAACTTAAAAAAAAAAACACCTATACTATTAAGTTGTACATTATGAGCTTTTTTAATACAAACAATTTAAAAAACGACAGGAAAACAATGTCCGATTGATTTATTATAATAGTTTTACAATTAAAATGTCCGTCATGGTGTTACAACAATAATTCCTAGAATATATCGCCACTATCCGGGAAGTCGAGATCGTTGTAAGCAATAATAGGCCGGGACCGATCCACGTTTTCCCTGCAAATTATTTACGAACTCAACAAATTTTCTAGAAAGCTCTTAATGATCACACTAAAGACATTTTTCATCAAACAATCATAACATAAAGCTAAATAAAAATAAATATAGTGCATAAACAGTGCGTCCGATTAAGCAAATGTTAAGGTCATGCAATACAAAATACAAAGCGCTCGTTTGAAGCGGGTCACGCGAGACGGTGGGACCGGGGATATTATGTCATATTACTTATACTTATATAGTATTTTATTACTCCACCAACGCTACCTTGAACGTGGTTAAATAAAGTTATGGGACTAATATATTCAAAGCATTTAAACCTTTGCCATAAAAAGTTGTCTGGTTCGCGTTTGTAATTTTAATAAGGGTAGCTTACTAATGAAATAATTAGATTAAATTTTACATAGTAGCTAATATTTTTTATACAAAGTAAAAATAAATTTTTATGCACATCTTCAGACAAGTGACCTATATGTGTTAAAAAGATAAAAAAAAACTTTGCAGACAAGAGTTTTATTCTTTTTCTAATGTTGGTATGATATTTTCTTAGGTATAGGATCGTTGTTGCCACTCAGTTTTAATGATGTTTACGTATAAATGGATACTATAAAAAAAATCATTAATTAGGAGGAGAGGTTGAAATGACAGAATTTTTAATGCTAATTATTATCTAGAATCTAGATTAAAGCGATCAAATAAAAACAAAAATTACATACATAATGTGACTCTTTAAAGAAGGTCACACCTGAGCAAAAAAAAAGATTAATTTACCCTCTACGGATGTATAAGAAAGGCAAAAGAAATATATCTAGCATTAGCAGTCGCGAGTCGTTAGTAATGCGTGCGTCATATACTATATAGATACTTATATATACATAATATGTACATTGTATATATATATATAGTTACGATAGATGCCTATATTGGACAAACCTTGGTTAATTTTACATTCTATTCATTTACAAACTAGATTGTCATAAAGCTTTAGAATATGGGAAACAAACGCGGCATGCGATATAATCTTATTAAATATGGATATAATTTTCAAGCCGGCTTATTAAGTTATTAAGTCACAATATATAAAGCTTGCATGTGCAAAGTCTCTATGACTATGATTTAGTAAGCAGGTTTTATATGGTTTTTTTTTCATCATTTTTCATCTAGTTATTATATATTTTTTAAATGAAACGAATTTTAACAGTAAAAAGCTACAAAGCCACAAAATATTTTTTTTATTTTGTATAGGGTCAATAAGTTTTAGCGGAAGCCATGCTTAAAATTATTATAATTAGAAAAATAATAGTTAACATGGAAGAGATTACTAATCGCTCTCAGTATAATAAAAACGCCATTTCTTATGTATAGCCGAAAATGTTATACAAGTTAAGCTTTTATTTTAATAAATATAAAATCCTTTCATATATATAATAAATATAATAAAAAAGGCATCTAAGCAAACTTTAAATTAAAAAAAATATGTTGTAGTTTAGACAAAAAAATTACATTAGCGATTCAAGTTTTTTCTTCATGTTTTAATCAAACATGAAATTATAATAATTGAATTTTTGAATTTTAATATATTATTAATATTATGTTCGATTATAAGTTTTCGTTGCAATTAACTAATAGATACATCATGTATGTATGTTTATTAGTTCAATTGGTCATGTCTAGTTTTACAAATAAAAACTATTTCTTGACCTTATACTACCAAAGTACAAGATAAACATGTAATACAAAATATAAGCACCAAAACTGACGTCATAATAAAGAAGGCCCCTAACTAACAATTTGGTCAAAAATGACTTAAATGCAGATTCGGAATCAACAAAAAAAAAATGCTACTTGATAGTCTTACTCATAAAGTCTTAATCCGGAGATACCATAATCATTTTCATCATAACAACGTCAAAACTACTATTAAGTAATAAGACAAAACTACAAATATCTCGAAAATCAACTTTGACGAAGTTGCGGCCTCCCTTTTGATGACGGCAGAAAAAGTGTTTATACAAATTTTTATTCTACGACATAATCTCAGACTAAAGAATTATATACCTGACATGACACTGCCAAAAAAGGTTAAAGTCAAAAAAGGGTGTGTGATTTTGCTTCGCAATTTTTGAATAGAAAATATGATAATAAATAATAAAAATAAGCATTAATTATATTTCTATCTCCCTTCTTCTTCAGGAAAATAACATAATTAAAGTTTTTTATTACGAAGAAAATGCGTGGTAATTTTTATTTTAAAAATTAATAAGTAATATGTATGGTTTTTTTAAATAATATGTATATATAATGAGGATAATCATTTTTTTTATATTTTAGAAACAATGCAACCTTGTTTTTAATATTTATTTAACTAATTATTTAAAAGTATAATTATAAATAAATATATAGTGAATTCATGGAATATAAAATAAAATATATAGAATCCAATAAAAATATATTGTTTCGGGAGATTATATGAATTCGTGGTCTACTCTACTCATTCGTTTCGGTCACTCGAAAGATTCAATAAAAAATTCAAGATCAAAGGTTTGAGTAACACAAAACAACGATTGTTTAACTTCAAGTTTATATACACATATGACTATATTTTTTCTATATAATTCTTTTAGTCTAAGAATATAACATATTACAAGCACAGTATAAAAATCCATACAGTTGTCAATCGCCTATTGGTTTTAACGGAAATACTGTCAAATGCAAGGGTTGTCAAAAACATCGAGTTTAGGAGTTAAAGCGCTGCGGCAGCTCGTCGGCGAGTTACAGTCGTATCGTCAAGCCGTTTCTCGACTGTCATATAAAAATATGACAGTCCGACTCACCCCGCACGATTGCCATGTCTATAATATGTTTTTTTTTAATCTCAGGGACTAAATTGACACATGCAAATGCCAAATTTACAAATAACGCTGCCAGCTCTTTTGTACAGTGTTGTACCTACGATAGGGTTTGTTGAATCGTAACTTTTTATTTTTATTAGACGATTCGCTTTAAAGATTTACGTATTCCAAAGAGTATCATTAAAATTCACATTATTAATTCTAAATCATTAAATATCATATTTATTAATTTTAAATCATTAATATCATTAAAATCCACATTATTAAATTTAAATTTGCATTATTAATTTTGTATTAAATAAGTACCTCCACATTATTTCAGGATAACTTATTATAAAAAAACGATACTCGATTTTATTAACGTTAATTTTCGATAGTGGCATATCACTATTTAAGAATTACACAAAACTGGCAACCCGCGTGATGTCAGTTTTGTCTCTGAGATTAAAAAACAGACTGTAGATGGCTTGCGTCAGACGGCTGTATGGATAAGTAGAGTACCTGGGCCGCGAGAAGCGCGGGTGGCGCGGCGCGTAGGGCTGCGGCGGCGCCCAGCCGCCCCACGCCCAGGCGCGCGCGCCCGCGCCCGCGCCGCTGTACCTGTTCGTTTGTTGCCTTTTATATTCATATATAATTGAACATGAGAACCGTTTTGTCATGGATGTAAGTCCTAAGCATTTATTGGCCATTAGCGACTCATGTTACTCCAGGTTATAGTCCATCTGTGTATCAGATTTCATTTAAATCTGTCCAGCAGTTAAGAGTGATAGAGAAAAAACAGATGTTTTCGTTTCATTATAAAAAAATTGTAGCATGTCACCAGACAATGATAACAAAAACGGACACCCTCGATTAAATCGGATCAGTAATTTAGGCGCTACAGTTGAACACGAGTAATTACAAACATACATACATACACTCTCAAGAACATAACAATTCCTTTTGCCGTAGTCAGACAATGATACACATAGAACAAAAGTATAGGAATGTCATAATTACGGGTGCGCGGGCGGCGCGTGCGGCGCGGGCGCGCGCGCCGGCGGCTCGGGCTGCTGCGGGCGGCGCACGTCGCGCACGTACGCGTTGAAGTACGCCACCTCGTGCCGCACCTCCTCCACCTGACGTTGGGACGTTAACACACGGCACCATTTAGTTCCATGGTAAGCTACGAGGCTTCTATCATGGATACCGGATAGTTGATACACTACACATATGTATAAATAGTAGGGTCACTACAAACTGAGCCAAACGTGTCGTCCATACGATATACCATACAAAATTGTTACGTCACTTATGACCTGGCACTCGAGTTTTGCGTGTTAGAAATCTCTATCTAAATACTAATATTATAAAGGCGATAATTTGTTTATTTGTTTGTTATCGATGATCTCCGAAAGTACAAAATCGATTTTAATAATTCTTTCTCTAATAGATAACTACATAATCCTAAAGATTTAAGCTTTAGATTATATGTATTAGTAATTTGTGTTTTAGTCGAAATTTTACGGTTTTTGTTTAGCAACTCAAAAAAAATTGGGCTTTTCAGCGACTTATTACACAGATTAAAACATTTGTCTAAAAGAAATGTGACACTTAACCAGTTGTGTTAGCCACAATTATTCAGGAAAAATAATATTACTACAAAAAATATTTCATTCTTACGATGCTAAATGCAGGCAAAAATATAATAAATTTTATTCATTAATTTTTTATAACAATAAAATTTTCTTATAGATCCTCACTTTAGACAGAGAATTATAATTGGTAGTAATTGCGAGTAATTTGGAGAATAAAATAGTAGGTATACAAATAAGGTTAAAATATGAAATAGCTCCCATCTTGTTTCTAGGAAAGATTATTGTATATTTTTAAAAATGACCAGCACGGTAAATCTTACGGCCAGCCACATCGGTGGGTTTTTCTTACAGTGGGTTTTCATCTAAAATGTCAAGGTAAGTTGTTTACCTTTTATTTTATTTAATAATATAGGTTTAATCACAGTCAATTACTTAGAAAATTAAATTTGTTATATAGTTCTTCAGCATTCGTATAAAATTTTATCACACGTAATTATCTTAATTAATAATAAAATAATATGTGAACGGAATTTTTATCGCTTTTTAGATTGCTTATAGGTTATATCTATATTTATATAGGCAGTGGTAGCCCAGCGGTAACGCGCTCGCATGAGAAACCGAGTAGAAGCGAGTTCAAATCCCGGTTCTTGTAACTCTGATATTTTTGTGTGAATCATTTCTAATATGGTTACCACCTTGTCTTACGGTGAATGTCTGAGAGAACCTAACAAGTTTTCGAAAGACATGTGAAGTCACCCGAATACATACATACCTTCATATTTTTTCGAATTTGTTTTTCTTATACAATTAGCAACGATTATCTATTGGGTAATAAAATTACTAAGGAATTACATTAAAATAGTATTATTGAAAAAGTAAATGACCAAATTAATTACAAAATTAGTTTCGATTTTACGAAAACCAACTCAAATGATGCGAGACGCGCGTCCCTTTGCAGGCTCTTATGAGTGATTTTGTAAGCGCTATATTTTATTTGATTTTGTAATATATAGATAATTAATATTAATTGTTAGCAGTTTATACCCCAAATTATAACGATACCGTGTCCTTAATATAAATTCGAATGATTTTGAGAGTTCACTTGTTTATCAGCACTTCTATGACTAAGCACTTCCTTACAAGCCCAGACAAGTCTAGGTGCAACTTAAACGCAGCTTGCTTATTCTTAGAGTATAATTGTATTTAAAAAAAAAAACATTAATATAAAGGATTTCCATATGAACCATCTCTAGGCGCGCCTCGGCAGTATAACTGACTCGTGCTATTACGGCAAACGTTTATTTTTTTTATTAACGAAACTCTATTTTTACTTTATTTTACTCCATATTTCGCTATAGATTTTTATTAATTATGAACTCTAATATTAACATAAATGTTTTACATCTGCCGGGCGTCCCGTAACGTTGGCCTTTTTTTTTAATTTTTTATATTTTTGTATTGAAAACCAATTATTGAATACCTATATTTAATCTATGCCATTGGTTGTCATCACACTATACAAATATAATTATTATGATAATAGTATTTTTATTAACTGTAAGATAAAATAAGAAATATTTACCTTCTCCCCGTGCTTATTAAAAATATGTTTTCTGATAAAATCTGGACCTTTGAATTTCTTCCCACTCAGTGGGCACAACCATTTGTCTTTAGCTAGTTCTTGTGTATTTGCTTGAATGAATTTTTCCACTTCAACATCTGGATCCTGCGTGAATAACATTTATATGTTGTATTAGAATATAAGAATCATCCTAATTACTAGTTTAAACCATGTAATGAAACATGATCTGCTTCTCGGTGGTGTAGTGGCTAGCATGTATAGCTGCACACCCGGAGGTCCTGGGTTCGAGTCCCGGGTCGGGCCAAGGTTAGTTATTGAGTGTTTCTGTATATTAAGCCTCAGTTGTTAACAGCCCGGAGTGGGGAAGTCGGCGGTGTCACACCCCCGTGCCGAATCAGAGCAGTGTCGCGTCGGTCCTGCCGCCCTGCGCCGACACTCTCACCGGTCGTGTCTCGTGTCGTCCCGCCGGAGTATGAGAGTGACAGGAACAGAGAGTGCACGTTGTGTCTGCGCTCTCCCTCACACGCGCTGCACTATAATATCTCCTGCGCAGTTGGCTAGTCTCGATGACATAGGCCGCCGTGGCCGGAATCAAAATTAATAACATGATATACGCCGATTTCTAGCGAAGACTAGCCAACTGCACATGAGATATTAGTGCACAAGTGTACGCACAGAGATTAGTGCACTCTCTATTCCTTTCACATTCATATCCCGATAGGACGACAATTCGACGACCGGTGAGACTTAAGGCGCAAGGTCGACGACTTTGCGTGCTCCCTGAGACACGGGGGTGAATGAAACACCGGGAACTTACCAACTCCTTAAAGAGAATCCCTTAAAAGAAAAACTGGGGCTCGAACTCAGGAACTCTGGATATGAGGCCATACATACTAGGCACTAGACTAACGAGGCATTTAATATAACATATTATCGTAATTAAACCTTATTAGCGTTCAATATTTACCTTGATTCCAAGTTTCTGCAACTCTTCGTCAGTTAACGGTTTTACATCTTGCAAGAAAGCAGACATTTTTCCTTGAAAAGTTTTGATATAATCTTGGATCTCTTGTTGAGTAGGCTGGTGGGGACAAAGTAAGTTAAGAATTACTATTAAAATTGAAAATATGTATTTTAGTAATTAAAATTTCGCGTGTACGTGAACTGGTGGAAATGTGTTTTATGTACAAAAAAAGCAACATCTATAGCGCAAATCAATTGCATATATTTATTTCTGTTTCTCGAATCCTAACTCGTAAAAATACCTGAATATCTAAAGATACAACAAATATTCGAAATGCAAATGAATTTTCAAAATTCATTAGTTCACATTGTTAAAATACAGAAGTCATCTCTTTTAATAATAAATGTAAAATGAAACACAAAACACACCTTGTTAGCGGGCGGTCCGGAGCGCGCGTGCATGATGCCGCAGCGGTTGGGCATCTCGTCCTCGTAGGGGTACTCGCAGTGGTTGTAGTAGTCCACGGAGTGCACGATGCGCAGGTACAGCACGAGGCGGTCCAGCACGCGCAGCAGCGCCGGGTCCGCCGGCTCCGGCGCCGCGTCGGCGGGCGCCTCCAGCCCCAGCAACTCCTCCTCTTCCGTCGACGCTTCCTCTATTAGGTGTTCTGTGATTTTGTGGAGAACGGGGTTTTTCGAGTTTAGGCTGAAGTTCTGTGAAACAAATGGCAAGTTTGTATTAATTGCGTCTAAAATATTGTTATTTATGTCTTATTACATAATGTATTTTTAATCGAGAAATACAACAATTAATTTGTAAAAAGACATTTAATGGGAGCATAAGTTTCAGGGTATTGTAGTGTTCGCAAGGGATCTTACGATGCCCCATTTCATTTCGGCGTTAGGGTTTTTCTGTGCTTTAAGTTTGTAAGAATGTCTGTCCCCTGTCTGTTGACAGCCGGCAGGCACTATGAATTACTCTAGTGATTACAATAAAAATGTTTTTTTTTTAGTCAGAGTCCCCCGGTCTGTTGATTGCCGACAGGGATCCTATATAATAGGGATATTAGAGTGGTCAATAGGTTTTCCGAGCGACATAAAAAAAATGAAGTTCAATAAGTCCCATAGTTCACCTCGGCGGGGTCGTCGTCGGGCCAGAGGCGCGCGCGCGCGTCCAGGTGGTGCGCCAGGCGCGCCGCCAGCCGCGCGTCGGCGCGCAGCACGGCGCGCTCCAGCGTGACGCCGGCCACGGCGCGCACGCGGCGCTGCAGGTCGCGGTTCACGATCGCGCCCAGCTCGCACTCGCGCAACTGCACAACGTTCAAACTGGACGTATACTTAGCCACATACTACGAGTATAATAATCCATACAGTAGGCGATCGCCCATTGATTTTAATGAAAATGTCGTCAAATACGAAGGTTGTCACTAAATATAATTTTTTATAGAGAATGGTTACAATTAAAACAGTTCAATCCTATTTTCTGGCAAATACAGTGATGCTATAATTCGTATAGGCTTTCTCCGACTGTCTCTATAAAATAACATATCTATGTCAGTTGGAAGCGCCTCACCCGCGTTTCCCTCGCCTAGCACGATTGCTCTGTTTAAACGCTTTTGTTACACAACTGTGTTGAATGAATTCATACTGTAGATTTGACAATACGATACCGAACAATATGGGAAGGATATGCTGGATAATATATGCGTTACGATAGCAAAGTCATGGGTAAGGACTATTACGCATATAATAATTACTAATGTGCATAAGGCAATTAATGTAGGTACCACAAACAACATCTAAAACTAGTACCCGTATATTATTGAGATTCCAGCAAATGTCCTTGATGTTGACCTCGCGGCGGAAGGTGACCCAGCCGCGGCGGAACCAGCGCCGCTCGGGCAGCGGGTCCGCCAGCGCCACGCGCAGGAACCCGCCGTAGCGCTTGCACATCTGCACGCACACCACGCAACACACATTGTTAATACACTTATAACTTACACGTTGGAACCATCATATTATTTTAACTGTGTACACATGTAACTCCATCGAAAAAGTATACATACAATGTATTTTTTAGTTTTTATTTATTACCTGGTTTTGCGCCTAACAAAAATAAAATAAACATAATATGAACAACAAAAATATTTAATTATATAGGAATAAGTGCATATAAGTTTAAAGCAAAGTTTATTTGAGTACAGTTTTTTTTTACTTTAACTTTATAGCATTGCCTATCTTGTAGTTTTTAGAGAGCTAGTTTAGAGACAGAGAGAGAGACAAAAACTTAAATAAATCATAATATAATAATATTTATTTAACACTTACAGCCTCAACCTCAGCCTTGGTAATTGTTGGTGCTAAGTTCCTTAAGAAAATGGAAGTTGTTTTATGAAGAGCTCGCGATTCCTTCTTTTCAACTACAACATCGTTAGACGGCTCCGATTTATCATTGCTCTCGTCTTTTTCCTTATTCTCATCGACTTTTTCAGGAGATTTAGAGGGTTCCTTCTTTTTTGGCGATTTGTCTGGCGTCTTTGATTTTGACTTGGATTTGGATTTACGACGATTTGTCGTTTCACCTTCGTCTTCTGAGCTCGACGATGACGAACTTGATGATGAGGAGCTTGATGAGGAACCAGGTGGAGCTGAGAATGAAAATGTTCGAAGACATACAATTTTAAATATAATCATAAGAATACTACGAATATGCCATAAACTTGATTATTCTTACTATTATTACTTTGAATTATATATTGAAGAAAAAAAGTTATACAAAATTCTCATTCTAAAAATAACAATAAAATTTGGTCCCCTCTAAGTCTAAACAATAGATGTGAAGATTATATACATTTTTAATGTTCTCAAATCAGACATTAATACTTAATAATAGTATGCAAAATACATACGAGGTTCTTTTTCAGGAGCTTCTTGTTCAGGTTCTGTTCCAGGAGCTGAATTAAAACGGGAAAATAATTTAGCTTGTTCTTGCAATTGGCGAAGATGCGGGTCTATCTCCATTGTGAGTGGAGCGGTAGATTTTGGAGATTCAGCCTTTTTCTCCTGCAAATTTTAATAACTACATTAATATTCAAAATTATAAATGACTAACGGCTTACCCTTGCTTCGCTCGGGTTCGTCTCTAGAAAAACAAAAACAAATCTATCCCTCGGGAACAGTATATTTTTCCGGTATAAAAGTAGCCTATGTGTTATTCCAGACTATAATCTATCTCTGGCCAAATTTCATCCAGATCCGTTCAGGCGTGAAAGAGTAACAAACAACTATACATACTCACAAACACATTCTCACATTTATAATATTTATTATACAGACTAGAGAGTAGCGACTCACCCTCGCTCCGTTCGTCCCTAGTTATGTTTTAACGTTAAAAAGTATCCCATATGTTGACCCGGATAACCAGCTATCATCATACCAAATATCATCAAAATCTGTCGTGGTTTACATATGTGATGCATTCCCAGAGAGACAGACAAAAATTCTAAAAACTATAGAATCGGCCTCTGTATCGATAATAATGACTATTTCAATAAGATTTTCTGAAAAATATTCTCAGAATTTTATTATATGTATAGATTAAGTTAACTGGAAAAATGTGTTCAAAGTTTTGATCTATTTATTATTTAATTTTGTACAGTTTGTATAAATAATAAGTATTCAATTTACATTCTTGAATATTATTACCTTGTCTTTAGTCTGGCTTTCTTTTTCATCTTTTACTTTAACTGCGTCAACATCAATGACAACAGCTTTTTCAGCATCATTTTTATCTGAAATAATAAAATACATTCAATTGACATCTAGTAGAAAACACAATTTTTTCATGCTATAAAAATTTTTTAAAGGCTATTTATGTAAATATTGAACAAACATACCTTGTTTGTCATTAGTAACTTCTACAGGAGCGGGATCGTCAAGAGCTTTCAGGTCTTCTTCTGTACCACCCTCTAACTTGATGACCACTGTATCAAGTAATCGTATCAACTTGTCGGACTTGTCCACGTCGACAGTCACCTTATCCAGCTCACCTTGCTCCAACAGCTCAAGGAATACGTTCAGACGATTCTAAAGGGAACAAATAAATTGTTTTTTTAGTGCTTTATATATTAATTAGACAAATATGTGACGGCACGCGTCGTAATCGTATTTATTTACTAATTGTTACTTAGTTTCAATCGATAAAAAATATTAGCTTGATTATTACGAATGTATTTAAATCTATCTTTATTTTTGAGCGGGTAACACTGGATGGAGTTGTAATTATCGTCGTCATATCGAGTAGGCTGTCAAGCTTGAACATGACGTACATTTGCAAATCCATCTCTAAAATGCTATTCTATTAAAACTAGATTTAATCTAATTTGTAGAAATTGGGACCTATTCAATAAATATAATTTTTTTTTAAAGTGTTGTACTTAATTTAAATTCTTAAGAGTATAAAGCACCCGCAATGGACAGATAAAGGTCCTATTGATATACCTGCATGTATATCTATTTTCAAAGTAAAGATTTTACCCAATTGTTATAGGTTTGAGTCCCGAGTTAGCTTAGTTATAGCAATTGGATTTTTATATTAACAATTCTTAGTAGCAACCCAGAACCAGGAATGTCTGTATGTGCCTAAACTCTCATTACGACCATAAGAGTCATCCCACCGGGCTATGAGAGTGAAGAGTAGAGTACACTGGAGTCTGTGCAAATACATTGAACTATAAATTTCTGCACTGATGTCGAGACTTTATTTGTTTACTTTCCTATTTAAAAAGTAACAAAAGTAGTGTTAATTAAGGCATTCTTATTGTTTAATGTACCTTTAATGCAGCTAGCTGTTCCTCTTTGCGCTTCACAGACTCTTCTGGGTGGTATTTTATCTTGAACCTATAATAACAAATAATTCCATAGACAAAATTTTGCAAAACAAGACCGAAAGGTCTACAAACATAGAGTGAGTTAAAGACCAATTTCCACAAAGGAAACAAAATTGTGATGATATTTGAAGTGTTTTCAATGGTTTATGTTCCACCCACAATGCAATTAAGGAATTTGGTCCTATATACCTGTTAAAGTAAACCTGTGAATTAAGTACACAAACTAATATTGCTTTAAAATATTTAAAAAATCTTCATAATCTCACCTGTTCCACATTTGTGGAAAATATAAACCCTACCCCTACCAATAACGAAACCCGTAGCATTGCGCGCTACGGGTCAACGCGATCATAACTAGCTACACACAGCATTTATCATTTGCAAAAAGTTTGAATTATTTCTCTTAACGACGTCCGGCAAATCCATGTGAATACGCTGTAGACTGTTGGGAAAAATTTTTTCTATTAAAATTTGCAAATTTAAAAGATTCTAACCATAACTTAAAATTATAGATACACATTTAACATAGATATAACTTTCATGATGTTTCAGTAGTTATGGCATAGAATCTTTTAATTATTAGCAAATTGATGAAACATGTAAGTATTTTACATAAGAAATTGATACAATTTTTGTTCACAAATTTCTTTCATTTACTACAGTTATGAATTTAATCTCAATATTTACAAATAACTGTAAGTTTTGAATTTTAAATTCTAGTAACAAGAATTCAATTAAATTCTGATATATCTTACCATTCTTCTTCCTTATGAGCAACAAAAAATTCATTTAGCTGCTGTCTTTTGAATTCGAGCTTGTATTCATTGTACTTCTGTATGGCATCATCCACAGTGATTGAGTCATCTTGAGCGGCTAAGAATGCTTTGAAGGACATCATCGTGGGAGGCCCATCTGCTGGGCCCATGGGTAGCACAGCATCCCTAACATCATAATCACTGTACACATCAAAAAATTCCTTCAATATTTTAAACAAATTTCATGATAATAATTAAAATTTCATTCAAGTTAGCAGATATTTTATTAACAGCATATTAATATTTATTTCATATATTTTATACAAGTTTAAAGTAGTGAATATGAATAATAAATTTATATTAAGATATTTAATGGTTACAAAGTACAAACCTTAATGAATGGTATGCTTATATAAACCTAAAACACAATTGATTATTGTGGAGATAAGTTACCTTGCTGGTACTGGTGGCATAGGCTGACCATAGCCTTGGTGTGCTGGATGAGGGCCAAAATGGTCATGTGCCCAGCCATAAGACCCATATGAATCATGTGGCATGCCTCCATATCTTCTATCATCAACAGGCCAATCAGGTCTAATACGTTTATTTGGTGGCCCTTCTCCTCTTACTGGAGAATAACCTCTGCTGGCACTTGCCCCTCCACGGTAATCTCTATAGTCAGGGCCAGAACGACCGCCTCTAGACCTATTTAATTAAAATTGTATAATAATTCAATCACATTCATTTATACATCACATTATAAACTTTTTTTTCATTTTGATTACTATATTAATTGAGCTATATTATTTATAACATCAAACTTCTAGTCTTACATTACCCATATTTATAATAATATAAATAAATATAAATGTTTTTAGACATCTGATTCATACAATTTCCTAAAATATATCTATGTTGGCACATTGGTTCTGCTTGCAAGTGTCCTTTCCTTACCATTTTGTTCAACATATGTTTAGTACCTAACTTAATATAATATTATCAGTGAGATATTACCTCACATTGATAACAAATGAACGTTTCAATGTTTTAGGAGCTGAAGTAGATAATTTGGAGGATTCTAAAGGTTGAGGAAGGGATCTGTAACAGGTTTTATAAAATATAAGTGTAAAGAAAGGATTAAAATACTCTAAAATCAGTAAGTAATATCAAAGACCTAACAAAACATATACCTTTCGGACCACTCTTCACGACCCCGACTTCTTTCTTCCCGCCTATCGCTGCTTCTATAACTACTTCCTTCTGCTGTCCCTCTTTCACCACGAAATTTATCGCGTCTCTTACGGTCGTATTCATCATCACTGTCAGCCATAGTTATAAATTAAAGGTAAGAATTATGTACAATTAGAAAGAAAAGTTATTATTAGTACTGCAAAAAATGCAAAAAGTACAACTAATTGAAGCACAGAAAAATTAGGGAAACCAAAAGTGACAACATGTTACTTGATAAGCCTAAGCACAGATTATGCTTGAAATTTTAATCTTGTTATGTTATAAAGTATAGACAATAGACATGCGTAGCATATCTATATAGTTTGTGGTATAGACTATAGACCAGCCATACTCAACTTTTTTTTATAGGAGCCACAAACACGTTTCAGTCATGGTGTGGAGGCCGCAAGCAAAAATTTTAAATTATTTAGGTCTTAATGAAAACGTAATTCCAAGTTAACGATGTAGTTACTTTTCAACCGACTTCAAAAAGGAGGAGCTTCTCAATTCGACTGTTTTTTTTTTTATATGTTTGTTACCTCAGAACTTCGTCATTTATTAACCGATTTGGAAATTTTTTGTTTTGTTTGAAAGGGTATACTTACCAGATTGGTCCCATTTAAATTGCAAAAAAAAAATACCACACCTAAGGGTGGAAAAATAGCTAATGATGAATTTAACCTACTTCTAATTGTCATATTGACTTGAAACTTTGCAAGTTCTATTTCCGTTGATAGTACAGTGGTTCGGTATTGTTGACCTGATCTGATGGTAAGGCCAGAAGGTGGATAGGTGGAACTCTTCAACGGCTAATAGTAGATACTTTGAGTTTGGACTTATTTTGTTTGATTCAACAAGCCTAACACGTTAGAATTCTTACTTTGCTACTACTGTCTACACAAGTAAGTAATTAAAGCCTACCTATTAAATACATACCTAATCAAATATTTTCGAAATCGGTGCCAGCCCATACAAAGCAAAGCACACCGACTTCGAAAATATTTGATTAGGTATGTATAGTAAATTAAAACTACCAATCAGTTATTTTTTACTTTTTAGTGCTTTTGTTTGAAGTCGGTTTTTATTTTTTTTGTTAAAAAGTTTTTTTAACAAAGATATGTTAAAATGCGATTTTTGATGCAGCCGCATGCGGCCCGAGTTCCGCAGGTTAAGTATAGCTGCTATAGACTATACCAGTCAAGTAGTCAGAGATTAGGAAGATTAAACGGCTCACCAAACCTGCCCCCCACGCAGGTTTTTTTTAATTTTTGAATTTTTAGGTATTGTTATACACATCGTTTGTTTTTGATTATTCGCCATAAATAATTTATTGTTCGTAAATTGTTTATTTATACATAAGTAAACAAAAATGTACCCCCAAAATAGCCCCCTCAATCGTAAATTATAATTTTTCTCTTTAAATATTCATTAATGTTTGTTCGCTTATAAAATACGTTTGTTCTATCGTCATATAGTGCTTCTTTTTTGTTAAATTAACTATTTTCATGTAGCTCAATTATTATTCAGATATACCTGCGTTGCGCATGCGTCATTTAACGATTAAGGCGGTTCTTTTGAAAAACACAGTGACAATTAATGATATATATGTAGGATTCCTAATAAATCTTCGAGATATTCCTTGCTTATATTCTTATATTCAGTACTTTTATAATCGTCAGTGAGTTACATAATTTATAACCATAATTTTCAGTATTACAAACAATTTGCGACTAGGGTGGTACTGAAACTGACATCTCTGTGCAAAAGCGCGGGAAAACAAATGAATATCCGCGCCCTTTTTTATTTTTTTTAAAACACATTCCTATCAGCCAAGGTCACATAACTAAATGTCTCATACATAAATCATTACCATGGATTATTAATAAACGTATAGACCATATACACTGATACAGAGCACAGACACACACAGATACAAACGCTAAACTTATACCACTCCACTTTATAAGACAAGAATTTTTAAAGACCTTCAAATATTATATTATATTACACATAAAAACTGTATTATTTATAATATGGAAAAAAATGCTTCATGAAAGAACATTAAAAAATAGTTTGGATCTAATTAATTATTTTTGTAAAATTAATATAAAACACGTTCCCATATTGCATTGCACGTGTTTTATATTAATTTTACAAAAATTAATATAAAACACGTGCAATGCAATATGGACGGTGATTAGATTTCCCTTGTTGTTATATTCAGAATATACAAGTGTTGAATGAACCTTTACATGCCTAATGAGTAATGGTACGAGAGCCGGTGACTTTTAAAGTCCCGTTATTAAATTTATCAAAGATATTTGATTTGATTTTTTTTTATGAAAATCGAAATTTGAAGTGAAATCAATATGAGAAGCTCGGGGCATGGATTAAATTGCTAGGTATGGTATTTTCCTGTTACCAAAGATTTTAACTTATTTTTTTGGTCGAAAGGGTCTAGCAATCCTATTTGAACGGTGTTTTAAGGTGTAAATTTTTTCTTTTAACATAGAAATTTTTTATTTATTTATTTTTTCATGTTACGGGTTTTAATGTTAACTTACAATAAACTTTGCTCAGCTCAATTTTCTAATTTAAATAAATTTTCTAATTTTAAATTTGCATAGCTCAATGTATCATCAATCAGAATCAATCATAAATATTATAAGTTTAATTTTTTTTGTACCTTAATATGTTCATTGAAATAGTTGATCCTTCCCTGCGATTTAAAGACAATTATAATTGTGATGATTACTACTTGGATGATTATTATTAATTAATAAATACTCTGTGCACAAGTAATTATTTCAAACTTAACATATTATTTAGATTAACTAGCACATATTAAAATTTTCCTGTAATTCTTTTTCCTATATTGGTCTCAAATCTCCATACATTTTCACATCTAGCCCGCGCAAACAAACAGCTTTTCAAGAACATTACTATTAAAAATATAAAATGTCTCTTACTATTTGAAGAAAGTAAACGATATGTAGGTACTTATGGCAAAATCGATAATAGTAGCATAAACAGCAAAATCACGGCAATATTTTTGACTATGTATTCTTTGGCTATTTATTATGTATTTCTATAAATTCTGAGGAAATATCTGATAAATGCGTTTGTGTGCTAATATCAACAGAATACAAACAAAAAAAATATTGAAACTTTTTTATATTTATAAAATAAGGATAAATTCAAAAGTTCTTTTTGTCCTTTAATTTTTTATTACAAAAATTAAAATAAGTTATTTTAATATAATAACTATAAACGGAGACGGTGATTTGGTCAATGAGAAGTGTGAGTTTATATCACGAACATTGGACTTCATCTGTACCATCTCCACAGTCATCTCGTCCGTCACACTGAACACCACGTGGCACACAACGGTGGTTCTTGCATTGGATTTCATGAGTTCCACAAGCTCCATCACAACCTTGAGGCTCATCACTGTTATCAGAACAATCTGCTAATCCGTCGCAAAATCTAGCAGACGTTATACATTGACCGTTCGTACAGGTGAATTGATTTTGAGGACATTCTAAAAATAGAAAGAGACTATAATGTATAATAAATACGTAACATCAATAGATATTACAGAAAGTAACCATAAAACCCCGTTACTTTTGAGCGAACTCATTCGTAACCTAGTTATGTGGGCTACTCAACGGTATAACAATGATTTACATTATTAAGAGAATAAAGATATATTTATAAAATAATATCTTATCTCTTTGCCGGATATGTTTGGAGCATTGTATTTCTTGCTAGACACTCACGGTTGCGTTCATAATTATAAAGAAATAGTAAGAAAAAAGAAAATTGTGATTTTTACGTAGAATGCGCTAGATATCACCCCATGATAAGCTAATAAATAAATAAATGACACTCGCGTTATCAAGATGATTTGAATGACGTATAAATCATCAAGATCGGTTAAGCCGTTTAATAATTACGAGGGAACATAGGATCGGACATACATACAGGTCACACATAACCCTCCTATGGGCTTCGCCGCGGTTGGGTAAAAAAATAGCCGAAAGAATTGATCCAACAGTTCTCGAGTTTTGCGCTTAGCAACACGTTTAGCCATTCATTTTTATTTAGGTATTTTTAGGCCCCTGACCACTAAATGTTAACCATTCTTGTATTTGTGTGTCAAGAAAGGCGAGCTTAATAACCAAACACGAAACAATATCACTCGTATACCTAATGTGTACCTATCTATTACTCGTATACCTTTCTATTAAAATACAACTGAACTTAGTTATGTATATTTGGTATACCTAATAAAAAGAACCCTATGAAAATCCGTTCAGCTTTATTAATTATATTTTTTTTCTCCACACTCAATTAGCCTTTTTCAATATATTTAGATTTCATTATCAAAATATACGTACCCATAGTACAATTAAGTTCATCATAACCATCCCAGCAATCTATGAAACCATCACATATTTTTTTATTAGAGAAACATGATATAGAATGTCCACATCGAAATTGCTTGGTTAGATCGCATTCTGAAAAAGGAAAAACGTCACAAAGAAATTACTTAACACAGTATCACTACTTATTTTATATGAAAGATAAATATTTTATATGAAAGATAAAGATTCATACCACAATGCATTTCATCTGATCTGTCATAGCATTGAATATATCCATCACATCTTGCTTCTGAAGGTACGCAGAAGCCATTTCGGCAACGCCAGTCTTGCGATGAGCAACTCACTTGAGTTAACAGTCGGCATACGCGTACACCGCGAACTTTATCCACAAGATGACAAGCTTCGGTCTCCATAGCACATAGTCCACCACAACCTATAATGATTTAATAACAATATATTTACTATAGTTGAAATCATATTCATACACTTATATCATTACGTATATAAAAGTATTGTTTTTGTTATTGGCTTACATTACAAGAAAATTAAACATTTTGAGTCAAAATTTTTGCTTTCTAATTAAGGTTTTTACAATAATTTCAATGACCAAATATACTTTTATGTTACAATACCTGTAGGGTCATCGATGTCTACAGCTATCTTACAGACAGACTTTCCACTTATCTCGTCTAGCATACATACTTCATTTGTTTGGCACGAACAAAATCTTTGTGTTGAATTTTTATTTATAGTTAATATTTTTGGCTCAATATTTTCTTGTCTTTTATGTTCATCCTTTGGGTAAGTTTTTATATTTTTACGTATTTTAAAAATAATGTTGCTGATTAACGAATTATTTTGTGTAGTAGGTAATAGAGGAGTAGCAGTAGTAGGATCCGTTACCATAATTTGCTTGGTTTGAGGAACTGTAAGGTCTGTATAAAAATTGACAATAGCTGAAGAATTTTCATGAATATTTATGTTCTCTGTTGGCACTAAGCTTGTACTGGTATAATTTTTTATGTTATTAGAATTATTAAAAGTAGTTAAATTAACTAAAATCAAACTAATTACTACTATAGCTATGATCATCACACTTATTGAGCAGGCTTGTATTTGTGTACGCCTTTTTTTTGGACTCTCAGTCAGAGACCAGTTCACGACACACCCAATGCCGTTTAGACTTTTACTCAGTCTTCTTTGACTGACGTCATTTTCACACTGTTCATATTGTTCACTTGTATATTTATGACGGATACTGTTACTATCTACTTGTCTGGATATCGTTGGAATATATTGTGTAATTTCCAGGTTATTGATATTTATGTCGCTGATAGATGATTTTCTACCGGGAAAACTATCATCTAAGTTGTAAGAGTCATCAAGGCAATTTTTATAAAATTCTGATGGACTTCTTTCTATTTTTTCGTGAATAGGTTCAACTCTTGGAGTAGAATGATTGTTGGGTAGAAAATGTTCTTTTGGGGGTGTAATACCATAATTCCTTATCTTCCCTCTACAGGTGTAACAATATTTGGTTAATTTATTATCTTTGCATGATGGATTTATAATTGCTTGCCTAAAATTACTATTAGACCAGAGGTGGGAGCAATATAGGATATTAAAATTTGAAGTATCATCGTGTACGCAGCTCGATTGCGCCAAGTTATCGCTTATGTTACCCGTTAACGTCATTATAACATGTGCAACGGTTATAAGGTTGTTGAAGATATCATGTTTCTAAAAGGTTCTCTGCACCTGTAACAATAGTATTACATTTATATTCGAATTATTACTAAACAGCAATGTATGTTTTTTCTTTACCGAATTTAAATGACATTTCTTTCTGTGCGTGTAAAAACTTCATTAACCTCTGTAATATGATCCAGCATGTTTCAATGAAATGCGTATTTTATAGGTCTTTAAACGATACTTTTCGAATTGAATTTAAGAGGTTGATGCCCTAAACTAAAATTAACCGATTATAAAGTGGAGAAAGTTCTTAATTTGGGAGTATACTCATATTTTATCCTTATTTCAGTGTGATGAAACTAGTATTTATTTAATAGTAAGCGGATAAGAATATTTTGTGTATCCTGCGGACCTATATTTTAAATATGTTTTTCAGATGTACGAGAAGGTAATTTTAATTGGAATAATGAAAAAAGAACACATGTAGTTAGACGTAGCTCATACATATTTTTATTTTTTATACCAATTGATTAGGTATTGAAGATCTTTCTTGTGATGTATGCATTACGCAGCCATATTAAAATAACTTATTAATTAAACTTATAAGTATAAACATAATTACTATCACTTAAATCACATTTGTCCCCGTAAGCTTCCATAGCACCAAACACCTCATGTTATTACACTACCTGTGTTTTTTTTATTCAATTTCTTTCAATTGTTTTATGATGATACCTAAATCCTAATATAAAAAAATTGCTGCGATTTTCGAATAATTCAAACAAATCAAGGTTTTGCCATTATAGCTACGGAGCCATAAAAACGAGGTACAATCTAGGGTTACGTAGACATTCTATGTCACATTTTTGTAGTAATTCATACTTCATATTTAAATTAAGCGTATTACCTAATAAACATATACTAAAATTCTAACTCAGGCGAATCTGTACATTAAATATTTTTTGGAAAATCTTATTGAAATAGACATTATTATTGATACAGAGGCCGAATCTATAGTTTTTAGAATTTTTGTCTGTCGGTCTGTCTATTACCGCATCACGAGAAAACCACTAGACAGATTTTGATGAAATTTGGTATATGATAGCTGGTTATTTGGGTCAACATATAGGATACTTTTTACTGCAGAAAAATATCTCATCTCTGAGAAAAATACAAAAACTGCAATGTAAGAGTATATGTAAGAGTATATTGTCACTAATATGTAAAACTTAAGAATTTGGTTTTTGGGCATCTAAACGCGGGCGTAGCCGCCGGTAATGCTAGTTTCTTATAAATAATATTTAAATTTCAATAAACAAAAAATATTATTACGTATAATACTTTCTTAGATTTACGCGAATGTTTGACATTATTAAATAAAACTATCTTTTCGGATTATTTCGCGGATTTATTTTGATTTTTGGTTCCCGACGTTTCGAATGCTTTACAGCATCCATGGTCACGGGAGAGACTGAGGTGTTACATGTCTTAAAGATATAGTTGTTACAGACAGCCTACCCACAATTAACAAAATGAAAATTGCACCAATTACATTACAATATTTTTAACTTTAAACATTTTTTATAATTTTAATTATAATTGAATATGGAAAATTATTTATTTAATTTTTGCTATTATTTTTTATAATTATTACAATTTTAAAAATATTAATTAGTAATCTATATTTAGTGTTGCCATTATTATATTTATAACCATAAATAAAAAATATAAAAAAAAAAAAAAAAAAAAAAAAAAAAAAATATATAGTATTAATTATTAAAGCCATATAATTGTTCTATGTGTAATTTAAAAAGTTAAAATTAATTACGGATAATCATTTTAATTTAGTTTGCTATTATTTAAAAACAACTTACTAAGCAACACTATTAAAATATACTTTTACAAATGAAAAATATTAATCTGATATGCTGTCATTTTGATCTACACAGTATGAACTTACTACATCTGCCTGTCTGTTATGTTTATATTTATTATTTGATTTTATTATATTAATAACAGGATCCCATGACGATGGTAGTACCCAGCCATCTTCCCTATTGAAATTTGGATGTTTTTTAATTTCTATGGCTTCTCGAATCATTCTAGGGCGATATCGGTTTTCTTTCGCCAGGATTTGAGGTCTATCGAAACGAATATAATGGCTTGGGCGGTCCTGGCTATGTTTGCAGACAGCAGATGTTGTATTGCGACGGTGCTTCACATCAGCTATGTGTTCTTTGACCCGGGTTCTAATGGATCGCTTTGTTTGTCCAATGTAAGAGAGCCCACAATCACAATCAAGCTTGTAGACTCCTGCATCTTGTAGAGGGATGTGGCACTTGACAGGTGGTAAGAACTGACTAATTTTCTTTGGCGGCTTGAAGTAAGTTTTAATTGAAGCTCGCTTTAGAATGTAGCCAATCTTGTCAGTGACTCCTTTCATGTATGGCAAGACTGCAGGGACGCGCTCGACTGTGGCTGGTTTCACTCGGTCACTGTGAGGCAGGCGCGGCACTTGCAGCTTGTTGTCACGCAGAACTTGCTTGACATGTTGCAGTTCTCCGGCCAGGTGTTGCTCGTCACAGATCCCGCGCGTTTTTTTTTTTTTTTTTTTTTTTTTTTATATTTTTTATTTATGGTTATAAATATAATAATGGCAACACTAAATATAGATTACTAATTAATATTTTTAAAATTGTAATAATTATAAAAAATAATAGCAAAAATTAAATAAATAATTTTCCATATTCAATTATAATTAAAATTATAAAAAATGTTTAAAGTTAAAAATATTGTAATGTAATTGGTGCAATTTTCATTTTGTTAATTGTGGGTAGGCTGTCTGTAACAACTATATCTTTAAGACATGTAACACCTCAGTCTCTCCCGTGACCATGGATGCTGTAAAGCATTCGAAACGTCGGGAACCAAAAATCAAAATAAATCCGCGAAATAATCCGAAAAGATAGTTTTATTTAATAATATTATTACGTAATTCTAAATGTAATATAACACAAACAAAAAAATCTCAAAGGCTTACTATCACATATTACTACTATGAGTTATTTGTATCAAAAATATTCATATATTCTATCTGAAAGTTTTGGTCGCAAATTCTAAAATTCGCTTTTTCTTTAAGTGTTTTTTGTAGGTCAAATCGTTCGATTGAAATTGTAAAAGTCACTGGAAAGTGCAAAGATAAAAATGTGAGTAGAGATACTATCAATGTAACTCACGTGTTTCAAGATGACTGCACTTTTATAACATCACTATTAATATTCATTTATTAATTTAACAGACACGAGTCACGACTAGAGGAAAACCTTCAACACGTCTAAATGTTCAAGAGCGGCATGGCATGTATCGGACTACCGTTGCCGATGACAACGTCTAAACAACTTTGCACCAACACCAGCACCCTGAGTACCGTAACCAAACGACAAGAGAGATGTAAATATAAAAACGTTATATGTGAGAAAAAGAGAAACAATGGGGCTAACAGCGTTCGGTGTCAAAGTCTTCCCGTGCTCAACCAAGAGTAACAGCCTGCAACTGAATGAACAGCTGTTTCCCTCGCAACCCTTCGTAATGCCTTAGTTGCATGTACTTATTCATCCATTACATTATTTTACATTAAATACACAATAATATGTTTGCTTTTTGAGTAATATGAGGCTAGTCATCAATCGAAAATGTTGAATGAATATTATGATTAGTAAATTTTGTAATTAAAACACTTGTTATGTTTAAAACAGTAAATATCGTTGATTTAGATTTGTTTCCATTTCCAATAAATAAGCTAGTTTTTCCGCAAATAATATTTTAGATTTAAGCTAACTAAAAGAGAAAATTTTAATGATGTTGCTGAATGAAGTTTCTACAGTTACTTAACCTTTATAATCAATATTATTGGTAGAGTTATATTCTACTATCTACAAAAAGTGAGACTTTGCGCGCCAAAGACGCTATGAATTTTCAATATATCTAAGAGCCCTACATAAAATCTATACATATAATAAAATTGTAACTAGCCGAATCTGTACATTAAATATTTTTTGGAAAATCTTATTGAAATAGACATTTTTATCGATACATAGGCCGAATGTATAGTTTATAGAATTTTTGTCTGTCTGTCTGTTTGTTTGTTACCGCATCACAGAAAAACTACTGGAGGGATTTTGCTGAAATTTGGTATGGTGATAGCTGGTTATCCGGGTCAACATATAGGATACTTTTTACCGCGGGAAAATATCTCATTTCTGAGAAAAAATACAAAAACTGCAATGTAAGAGTATACTAATATGCAAAACCTAAGAATTTGTTTTTTGGTCATCTGAACGCGGGAGGAGCCGCGGGCAATGCTATTTTTTCTATAAATATATAGTAATTTCATTTATTTCTAGATGAAGATATTAAATTATAACATGCGAGGTTTTATCACTTTTACAATAAATAACGATGTGATTTTTTAAGAAATAAAAACTTATTATCATAATGTTTTGCACTCCGCACAATGTAGAGCCAATTAAAACGATAAAATTAATAGAGTTTAGTGAACTACATATTTTATGTCGTCCATTTCATATCATCAGTCAATGTTGAAATTTTGTATTAATAATTATAAAATTTTCATGAATATCGAAAAAATATATTTATTTTACACATGTAAAATATACACTTTTAATTAATTGAAACCTATTTCATGTGCAAGTACGGAAAGGACTACCTTTCTAATTATATAGTCAAAATGAACAATCTATATTAAAATTTTACTTTTAAACCTAATATCCCCATGTGGTATAATGCATAATTAACTAACAAACTCTCACATCTCTGCTTACTTTAATCTTGTTTATATTCATTGATTGGTTTGCTGAATTCTAATATGTTATATATAAACCTAAAAAATATATAAGTGGACAGTTTACACTGTATTATGTGTGTACACAAAGGTTTGTCGGGTGCCTGTCGCGGGGGTGTACCACTGCGGCACCGGCGTGTGTGCAGTGTGCATCTCGCGGATGCAGCCGCGGTCTCCATCGCTTCAATGCGACTGGTGCGGCTCTCGCTCGCAGGCTGCGGCACGCGATCAGAGGAAGGCAGAACTCTCACTGCGCGCGCCGAGTGCGGTCGTCAACGCGAGCCTACTTCGACACTGTTCGCCAACTAAACTTAAGTGTTCGTCTGCGTAGCCGTCCTTATGCACGTAATAAACGTAGATCGCGCAATTTCTCTCGAAAATAATTAGTATGTGAATGCGAATTTTTTTATTTGTTCTGCGTGGAAATTAGTGAAATGCAGCTGTTTGCGTACTGAACAACTTCACTTCTCTACAATTTCGAACAACCTCCATGAGGAGTTGGTTGTTTATATTTTGCTAAGGTGAGCTAAATGAATTTATAAGTAATCATATTGATACTTGTCTAAGATCTTTGATAACTTGTGTTTATTTGATGATGATGATGATTATAATAATGCTAAGGATACCTAATATGAAACATTTTCTTTTGTCTGTGTATCATGAGAAAAAAAATATTTGCGTATTTCTGCATGTTACAAAAAATGTACTTGAAAGTAATTTCTTAACTTTCTACCCATGAATCACTTACTGTAGGTATTTAAAAAAATCTACATAATATAATAAAATTGTAACTAGGCCGAATCTGTACATTAAATATTTTTTGGAAAATCTTATTGAAATAAACATTATTATCGATGCAGAGGCCGAATCTATAGTTTTTAGAATTCTTGTCTGTCTGTCTGTTACCGCATCACAGAAAAACCACTGGAGGGATTTTGATGAAATTCGGTGTGATGATAGCTGCAGGTTATCCGGATCAACATATAGGATGGGTACTTTTTACTGCGGAAAAATATCTTATTTCTTAGAAATCTATACTAAACGTTAAAACGTAAGGAGAGACGAACCCGAGCGTAGCGGGGGTGAGTCGCTAGTCATTAATAAATCAATCATTTTTTGGAATTAATCTAAATATTACAGAAACGTTTAGTTTAAGTAAAAAAGTTTATTTTTCTTCAAAAATTTCGATCAAAAATGTACAGAGTTGAATCAGAAAAAGAAACTACCTACCTTACATAATTTTGTTATTTTTTTCGCGCGCTACAATTTTTTTAATGTTTTACATACATAAAAGAGAAACTATGCAGATTTGCTGATTAAAAGTGACCACACTATTCCTTTTTATAATATTTTTTAAAGAAATAGCAGATATAACATTAATGTTATTTATTTCTTTTGTCAACTTGGTGTCATCAAAATGCGAGTAGGCCAGTGGGATTCTGACCTACTTGTGATACTAATCGAACAACATCGAGTGGTAAAGTGAAGGCTTTCGTAGTCGGTTTATTGCATAAAATATTTATAGGTGTTGAGTTGACATTCAAACAAATATTTGGCCACAGCATACCTAAAATAAAAAAAGTACTGTGATAAAATTATATAAACAGCCAATTAAATATTTTATATTTATATATAATAATATAAGTCTTATCTACACATTCCGCTTATTATAAACTGCAATAAATTTATGATTCTCACTGACAATGAAGCCAGTGATGGCTTCCTAACGGACATACATTCTACTAAAATGTAAAAATTGTGAAAGTGCTTGACACAGTCTATTTGAATTAAAATATATTATTATTTTGAATCTGTGAGACTATGTCAGATAAATCTCTATGCAAAATACGTACTCGCGAACTTGGCAACGACAGCAGTTAGTTGGACACAGTTCACTGCCGATGATCGCAAAGTAGATCGTACAGAATAACTAATATAAAAATATATTATGTCCGCTCGGGTTTGTCCCTAGGTAGGTACGTTTTAACGATTAGTATGGATTTCTCAGATATGAGATATTTTCCCGCACTAAAAAGTATCTTTAATGTTGACCCGGACGACCATACTAAAAATAAAAATCCGTCCAGTAGTTTTCTCGTGATGCGTTGCCAGACAGACAGACAAAAATTCTAAAAACTATAGATTCGGCTTCTGTTTCGATAATAATACCTATTTCAATAAGATTGTCCAAAAAAGTATTTAATGTACAGATTCGGCTCAGAATATTTATATTTATATAACTAACTATAACTAAATAAATTTATCTTCTCGAATTTCGGAATTATTTTGATTTTTGGTTCCCGACGTTTCGAATGCTTTACACCAATCATTGCTTCATTCGAGTAGTCTCTCCCGTGAACCAAAAATCAAAATAAGTATATTCGCGAAAAAACCCGAAAAGATATTTTTTTAAATGTCAAATATTCGCGTTATTCTAAGTAACTATTTTTTGATAAAAATAAATACCTAAATATTTGTTTTATTTTTTTTGCACAAAATATTCTGTTATATGAGTATTTGGGCCATGTAAATAAAATTTAGGACAAGTTCATTTTGCTATTAACTTCATTGTTCACGTTCACATGAACGTGTGGATGCAGGAAGTACATACATATTGTTGTTAGTTAATTTAGTACGTAGTATAGGTTCGTCCCGCAGCGATGATTTTACTTTACATTCCTGTTGCATTTTATTCCTTGCTTATATATATATATATATATATATATATATATATATATATATATAATTAAAGTGAAATATTGAAATCTATACTTATTATAAAAATACAACAATAGAAAGAGTAATTCTTGAGGAAGGTTTAGGTATATAATTTATTATGCTTTTATGTAAATTAGCTGAAATACGGCGACAAATGTTGAAGATCTCGCCAAATGGGAACTTTCCACGCGAACGCCGCGTAAACTAGCAAAGATACAGTTAAGTAATGTACTAGAGAATTCAAAATAGATTAAAATTGCTCTTTACACTAAATCAATCAGATGAATAGTTTTTGAGATATCGTTGTTAGAAGTAAATCTGAACGCGGGCGGAGCCGCGGGCAATGCTAGTAAATTTATAAAATACTTTTATTATTTATTAGAAAATTCTAATTAGATCCGTTCATTAATGAATCACGAAAAACCAAGATAGGAATGTTAAAGTCCCTAAATATAGATACTATCACTAGGTACTACGAGTATAATTAGCAGGTACTAGATAGATTATATTCGAACACGTGTATTAAAATATTGTACATGAAATATTAGTAATAATACTTAGCATTTAATATGAAATAAATAAATGTTTATTTTATTAATGTATATCGGTTTAGTGTACTTCTAAAATTGCTTCGTTAAATTCATTAAAATGATTTTAATTAACTGCATACTTGTTCAACTGTTTTCTTGCACAGTTATTAGTTGTTCATTTTGGTTAAACAAGGAGTAGATCGCAGATTAGTATTAATAAGTTTTGTTTGTACAGACTGGACTTCTAAACCGAACGTGTTATATTTAACTATACACTATAACAAAAAAGTCGAAAATCAATTCAGTTAATTTTGAATAAAAATACTAATGATATCTGTAGATATTATTGCAAACAGCCGATAATAGGTATTGTTATATAATTATATTTAGTAATTATATTGCTAAGTGTTTATGTATTGAAAAGTAAACATTTAGATAAAAATATCTATCGTTCGTTTGTTAAACTCTTTACATGCAACAAAGGCTATTTAATCAACCAATACAAAATAACTTGACTATACTATAAATAGGGGCACATAAATATTATTGACATTGAGAAGTAAATATATAATTTTATTTAATGTACATATGCGTATTCAGTGGCCACTAAACACGACCCTTGCTTTTTGTGATGGTGTATAGAAGAGAGAGATAAAGCTTATATCTCTCTGATTGATTGATGATATTGATCTATTTAACCATTGTCATTAAAACTTAACTAAAATCTAAAATAATCATAGAAATTCATCCGGAGATTGTTGAGTGATGTGATGTAAGTGTTATTTGAGCGCTTTATTCTTCGAGCTCTACATTTTATAAAACAAAGTCCTCCACCTCGTCAGTCTGGCTGTCTGTTCGCGATAAACTCAGAAACTACTGCACTGATTTTCATGCTGTTCTCACCAATGGATAGAGTGGTTCTCGAGGCAGGTTTTAGTATATAATTGTTAAGTTTTTGTATATATTGGCTTAAATATAACGATATTTGTTGGAGGTGTCGGAAAAATAAGCCGTCTGGGAGCTTTCAACGAAAACGCTGCCTAAACCCTTTGAGATATAACAAAATAATGTATGGTGGAATTGTGTATCTTACATAGATCTACAGAAAAGTCTGCGATAGCATATGTCTATCTCTTGAGGATATCATACTATATCCATTTTAATTTAAAACGTACCTAGGGACGAACCCGAGCGGAGCGAGTGTGAGTCGCTGGTATTTAATAGTTTTGGCCTTAGCAAATACGGGAGAAGTTACTAGTATTGGCTATTGGCTAGTAGTTTGCATCACTTAACGTTATCTAGAGAACGAATTGATATATTCTGGGTAACTAACTCTCTTTATTCCACAAGGGAAAGTTAAAAATGATATTTATTAGCATTTAGACATTACAAATATTTATGACGATTCGGCACGTGACAACTTGACATTAATCAAAGTTTTTGTAAAATTAGTAACTAGATTGCAACTATTCTATCTCTTTTAAATAGTTAAACTCAGAACTAACTCTCTTGAAGCCACAAGAAGCTTTGTTAAAACAGTGCCATCCTTTAGGAGGCCTACTTTCTTCAATAGTCCAAAGGAGGTTAACGGCGATTTTCGATGAGTATAGAATTACAAGTAGAGGCCAATTCTTATTTGGACTTATAACGAATAATAATATATGGAGTACGTAGACAAATTAAATCATAGTATTTAAAAATATAACTACGTGTATATTTTCTTCTATTTAAAAATAGTACTTGTAGGTAATTATGAACTATCGGATACTACATCAATATCAAATCGTATGTCAATATTTTTATACAAAAATTTCAATATTTAACTACTTTTACTGTATAGATTATAGATATATTTATTACCTGCAATAAAAATTTTGCTTGTCTCTATTTTTTTTTCATTATTGCTGATGAATAATCAATGATCTACGTTTTGTACGGCCTCAAAAAATCATGACAATAACGACAACGTTCAATAGGTAAAGTTATCTAACCTACAGTATATTAAAAAGTTTTAACTCATACAACTCCCCTGGAACGTACCATACTTTAACTAATCTATAATAAAGTGTATTTAAATTTAGTTGTCCAGTAAGTAAGATAAAAAAGCAATGTACTTGCACGTATTATAACTGTTATCAAATCTTATTCCAATTTTAAATAATAATAATAATAAATGTTTTTATTTCAGGCTTATTCGACAATATTATTCGATAAAATATATATGTACATAAAAACATTAAAATTGTTTTATAATATATAATTTAAAGTAGATT